ACGAGCTGTTGTCGAAAAAGCTGAAAAAAGCAGTATTTTCTGAAGCCCAGCGAGCCAGAATAATAGCCTAGAACTCCACGCACTGATGTTCTTTTCAATTGTTTACGTCATGTTAAAGCAAGAGCGCGCGTGCTCAATATGACGCAAACAATGCAAAAAGGACGGGAACGCGCACGTGCATTGTAGGGCAATACCATTGTCCAGTATGGGTGAATAGCACTGCGTACCATATATGTTTCCGTACGTGATGACTGCACGGGCACATGCATTTTGCAGTCGATTGAACCACTATTGTAGGCGGTGGATTGAGCAACCTTACTTACGTAGGTGAGTAGCTGCACGGGCGTATTGGTGAATATCAGTGCCGGGGATGGCCTGGCGACATGAACAAAGTGCGCTCAACCTATGAGTGTGAGTTTAACCTGTGAAAACAACACAATAAGCCATTTGCGTGTAACCTATACCCTTTGGGATTTACATTTGAAAAACGTCTGGTACAATGACTTGCTCAGAATGCTTGGCACATTTTAACTGTGAATTCTCCAGACCAAAGACACTGTTGCTAATCACATGATTCGGGGCAAGCTCTTGCATAGTTACGTAAGAGACGCTCAGCACCAATTCATCGTTCACAATGGGTGAGAATGGCACAAAGACACCAGACCAAGCCGGAGCTGGGGGTTGCTAGCATAAGGCTTGCCCCGAATCACGTGATATAGCAACAGTCTCTTTGGTCGGGAGAATGCTAGGTTAAAACGTGCAAAGCATTGTATTAAGTCAGCGTTCCAGATTTTATTCAAATCTAACACGCAAGTGGCTTATTGAATCGTGTGCGTTGTTTGCATGATATGAGCATTTTTAAAATGCCCTTTTTTTGACGGGCCCTGCAAAAAAGGACGGGCACATTGTAGGGCGATAGCACTGCACACCATGTCTTCGTACGTACATATACGTGAGTGGCATGCACGGGCACATGCATTTTGTACTCAACTGAGCAACCATCACTGCACTGTATGTGCCGGGGGGGGGGGGGGGGGGGTGACGACATTTTGTGAGTTTAACTTGCCAGTGTGCGTTCACACCGTTGAATAATGTGCGTTGTTTGCACGAGCTGCAGTTCTCAACTGCCCCTTCCGAACACGCACATTTTCGACTGGCCCTGCACTAGTCTATACTACAATTCCAGGAATCTCTGTCTGTCTGTCTGTCTGTCTGTCCGTCTGTCTGTCTGTCCGCCGATTATCTCCAGAACCGGGCACCGTATGAAGTTGAAAATTGGCGGGTGTATTGCTCGGGACAACCGAATGTGCAGTGCCAAGTTTGAAGTGGTTTGGACTACGGGTTCTCGAAAAAGCTGCAAAAAAGCAGCATTTTTTGAGCCTCAACGTGGCAGATTATTAACTTAGAACACGCACAGTCCTTTTCGATTGTTTACGTCATGTTTGAGCTAAAGCGCGCGTGCTTAATATGACGCAACAATGGAAAAAGGACGGGCACATGATGGGGTTCTTTTCAATTGTTTACGTCATGTTCGAGCTAAAGCGCGCGTGCTCAATATGACGCACCCATTGCAAAAAGGACGGGCACATTGTTATATGGCGATAGCACTGCACACCATGTCTTTGTACGTACATACGTAAAGTGGCATGCACGGGCACATGCATTTTGTAGGCAACTGAGCAACCATCACTGCACTGTATGTAGGCGGTCGACTAAGCAAGTCTAATACAATATGGTATCGCCCTACAACTACGCCCTACAGTTGTAGGGCGATACCATATTGTCCAGTAGGGGTAAATATCAGTGCCAGGGGGGTGACGACATTTTGTGCGTTTAACTTGCGAGTGTGAGTTCACACCAATGAATAATGTGCGTTGTTTGCACGAGCTGCAGTTCTCAACTGCCCCTTCCGAACACGCACATTTTCGACTGGCCCTGCACTAGTATCTTATAATTACGACTTAGTAATTGTTAAATCATAATTATGACTTATATCTCATAATTATGACTTATTATTAAGTCATATTTATGACTTATATCTTATAATAATGACTAAATACTAAGTCGTAATTATAAGATATAAGCCCTGCACTAGTATCTTATAATTACGACTTAGTAATTGTTAAATCATAATTATGACTTATATCTCATAATTATGACTTATTATTAAGTCATATTTATGACTTATATCTTATAATAATGACTTATTATTAAGTCATGACTTATATCTTATAATTACGACTTAGTATTTAGTCATTATTATAACATATAAGTCATAAATAAGACTTAATAATAAGTCATAATTATGAGATATAAGTCATAATTATGATTTAACAATTACTAAGTCGTAATTATGATATATATCATAATTATGACTTAATAGTCATTATTATAAGATATGTCATAACAATGACTTAATAATAAGTCATAATTATTTTTTTTTTACTTTGTCTTATGTCCCTTTAACGCTTCCGTACGGATGGACGCTGCCAGACCGAATGAAATACGGAATAGCTGCATGAAATGCGAAATAGCTGCATGGAATGCGAAATGCAGAACAGCATGAAGTGCAGAAGGGGCGAAATTGTTGAATGAAATGTGGAATGGCTAAATCAAATGCGAAATAGACGAATGAAAGGATGAACGCCGAATGGAATGATGGACTCGCCGAATGGAATGATGAAATTGCCGAATGGAATGATGAAATTGCCGAATGGAATGATGGACTCGCCGAATGGAATGATGGAATTGATTATGGAATGAAATCGAACTATAGAAGGCGGCTTTGGCGTTCCATACATATCACACTGTTGTTGCCATGGATCGACCAATCAGGATCGAGGATACAAGTTTGCTTGAAGATAACATCGCATATCATAATCCAGTTTCGTGGTATGTGGGACACAGACGCACTACATTATTCCGTGTTCCACTCGCGCTCGCAAGATAACTAATATTATACAACACCTGAATAAATCCCCGTAATCTGATTGGTGGATCGTTGATCACATGTCATTGAATTATTCGTACCAACGCACGGCGCGCGCGTGGCGCGCGGCGCACAGCGCAATGGAAGTTCTGTTGCACTGTGAATAGAATTTCCATTGCACTGTGTCACTGCTGCTGGTGGTGGCGCTGTTTTAAATCGAGATAAATTGAATATCATTGTTCTCAACCTGTCGAACAGTTTGCATAAATATAAATATGATGAACTTGTCGAAGTTTTAAACAGTTTTTAACCTGAATAAAATTGCCTATTAAAAGTCAACCAATCAGATGACAAGGATTTATTCAGGTGTTATATAAAACAAATAATGAATGTTTCACGTTCGTGCAATGGAAAGAATAATTTCATTCGGTGACAGATAAAATGTTCCATTCCACTCGGCTTCGCCTTGTGGAATGGACATTTCATCTGTCACCTATTGAAATTATTATTGCACTCACAAACATTCATTATTTGTATAATAACAGTTCACGCCACACACGCCCACTTATGTTTATGTATGACGTTGGACGATTTAAATTTGCATATGAACAGATTCTGCTCATGCGCATACACAGTGCAAACCTAGCAGTACCTGTCGTTCACAATAGAATAGTACTGTGATCAATAAAGTACACGGTTGATACTGGGCACAAATGTGAGAAATATATGTTATCTTTGCGCAGAGGCGATATCGTAACCGATGAGGTTTATCCGAGGTGCGATTATTGCTAGTTGAAAACTTATCCCAATACCCCGCAATGACGACGTGAAATACCGTCTGCTCATATGCAATTTTTGATGGTCTCTACGGAGACCCAATTATTTTGAAAAGATAGAATCCATAAAATACAAATAAAAAAATCTCTTTAATCCGGTTGTTTGTGATATATCATTAAACCTGGAAAGACTATGTTACGTACATGTATAATAATTCAGGCTTAGACTGTGTCGCATGTCATTATATCTCGACTCTGGAGCGATGTCTGCAACCTTAACGAGGCTTGGTTTCAAAGTTATTGGAAATCCTGATTGGAACTATTAGAAATAAAAAAAAAACTCTGTTTCAAATCGGGAAAAGATAAACACAATCTCTTCCCGATTTAATGTTTGTAAGTAGTCGGCCATGGATCACAACACAGGTCGAGTAAAGAAAAAAGGAAAACAAAAATGATGCCCTCTATTTTTTAAAGACGTTCTGCATGTAACAAAACACCTTTTTTTAACAAAATAGTTCAACAGTTGTACAGTCAACTTAAGAAATCAAGAACACTGAAGAAAATGTGTGAGGATATCCATACAAAATCCAGTAATTTGGGATTTTAACTATCAAAAATTTGTTTGTAAAATAGAATTGATGTTGAGTACAGGTCACTTTTTAGTGGCATGTGCAAAGAAAAAAACAACTTGCATGGACTATCTTCCCCTATTTTGCCAGTATTTGTTCCATGCAATACAAACTCCTGTTACAAATTATGCAAGTAAATATGGGAACAATAAACTATGCCCCACATGATAGCCATAATGCGAAGCCATGTCAGCTAACAAATGATTTAAATTATCAAGGGAAATTCCCAATTTTGAGATATAATCAATCCAAGAATGCCACGTTGTGAACATACCTTTCAAAGGATACATGTATCTGAAACTCTGTACTACAACCCCGAATGGCAGCCGTAACAAATAATTTTTAACAGATTATAGCACAACGATTCAAACACATGATAACTGAACTGCTGAGCTGAAATTAAAAAAGTCAACATCTAACAAGAATATTTTAAAAATAAAAATTGACCAGTACAAGAATGCCGAACAAATTTACCATGTTCAGGGTCTGTGGTTAACACCAAATATCATAGGTTCGTAATCACTTAAAAAGACTAATTGCAAATGTACATGTACTGTGACATTTAGCAACGATACCGTGTATATGTCGTTTTGACCTTTGAAACTGCAGGTAGTTGTGATAAGATTAAAATTTACTTAGCACCCAGTCAAATCAGTCAGTTTTGAAAGGTTAAAATCTACAGAATCTTAGAATGCCCTATTTTTAACTTGCTCCAACTTCAAACAAAATTTTGTGCTACACTGTACAAACTCTAATAATTCTAAATCCAACCAAATCGAACAGTAGACAAATTCTATCATTTAATTGATTCCAACAGGTCCAAAAAAAATATCTGAACATGATGAAGGTTGGAAACTATTACATATGTACATATTGCTTTCTTCAACTATTTGGTTCAGATTTAACAACCGCGACCGACCCGTATTTAAAACTCGCTGTATGGTCCGAGGTATATTCCTCCACTCCGGCCAGCCGTTCGTAAGGAGTTCAAGTTTAAAGGGAATGTACATCATTGGCTGTTGCTGTTATTTTCAGAAATGAACTATTTGAGGGGTTAGTATAATAGATCAAATATTGTTACACTGACATGTTTGAAATTTTGTGTTCGAAAATGCAGGAAAAACCAAGAAAAACAAATGTTCAAGTAGTCTGGTTCCCTGACTCCACTAAAGATAAAATGGATCAATTTACAGATGCCAGAAAATTGTAAGGTAAGGGGATCCAGTCTAGCTGGCCTGCACCTTTTCATAAACATGTAACCAACAGCAAAACAAAAATTTGACTGAAAAAAAGTTAAATTTGGAACAGTAGTCGAAAAATAGTTAGGTTTTTCCAACGGTGGTCGGCCGACCAGTGTTGGAAATGTAAACAAAAATACAATGTTCTTGAAAATGACTTCACACCAGGTGCCATAATTTTACAGGTTGCTTTAGACTGTCATTTACCAACATCCTAGTGAGGTATTTCGTAAAAACTTGGTACTTTAATTGTTTGATGTTTGCAAATGTTGTATATTCCCTTTAACCTGAGATCCAAACTTGATCCACTTTTAAGTTTTATTAACTATTTAGATGGCAGCCTAGCTTGTTAGTACTTGAAGTACGTGTAATATATGTATATTTTATGTGTATTATTATTATTATTTTTTATTATGCCCCCTCTATACCGGTCTCACGGTGTACCTACCATCCCATATCATAATCCAGTATAACAGTTCACGCCACACACGCCCACTTATGTTTATGTATGACGTTGGACGATTCAAATTTGCATATGAACAGATTCCGCTTATGCGCATACACAGTGCAAACCTAGCAGTACATGTCGTTCACAACGGAATAATACTGTGATCAATAGAGTACACGGTTGATACTGGGCACAAATGTGCGGAGTATTTAGTTATCTTTGCGCAGAGGCGATATCGTAACCAATGAGGTTTATCCGAGGTGCGATTATTGCTAGTTGAAAACTTATCCCAATACCCCGCAATGACGACGTGAAATACCGTCGGCTTATGCAATTTTTGATGGTCTCTACGGAGACCCAATAATTATGAAAAGATAGGATTAATAGAATGATAGTAATAATACAATTTCACTCCGGTTATTTAAGGTATTCCTTTAAACCCTGAAAAGGTTGTATTACATATAAGATTTCAGGCTATGGTACATGTCATATGTCTCGACTCTGAGGCGATATCTGCAATCCTAACACCTATGGGCTTCAAAGTCATTGGAAATCGTGATTTGAACTATCAGAAATACGTAGGAATAACTCTGTTTCAAATCGGGAAAAGATAACATAATCTCTTCCGGATTTAATGTTTGTAAGTAGTCGGCCATGGATCACAACAGAGGTCGAGTAAAAAAAAGGGAAACCAAAATGATGCCCTCTATTTTTTAAAGACGTTCTGCATGTAACAAAACACCTTTTTTTTAACACAGTCCACGGATCACAATAAAGGTAAGTGATATTTCAGCAAAACGAAAAACTTTTCACATATCAAAAAATACATCGGAACACTCTCATAACCATGCCTGGCACTTGTAACATTTATTTTAAAACCTGCTGCTTCCAATGTAAAAACTACTAATTCAAGAGTTAATAGTCGTGCTCTGCCCTCTACTTGGCTAGCCCGTATACATGTACTTATGGGATTATATTCTGATATCATCAGGAAACGGGTTTCATTTTTACTGAAATATCACGTACCAAAAAAATGAGATCCGCGGGAACAGGTTCAAAAACGGTGGTTGTGTTTAAAATTCCATAACTGCAAAAGTACAGGAGCGATTTGAATGATTCTTTCACTAAAAGAAAGCTTATTAATTGAGTTTTCATGTCCTAGATTTAGAAAATGTTTCAGGCAGAAATTCTTTAAACAAAAAAAACAAAAAAACCTTTTGGGTTTCATTTTTGTTTTGACTCAACCTGCATCATGTGCCGTAGGATTGAGGTTCGAAAGTGGACATCTTTTGGAGGTTCAAAATTGGACATCTGCTTTTTTGCTAACAGAAAGCAGATTGAACGTTGATAAAATGCTTTTTCCACTGTTCCGCTTTTCGGCATGTTACTAGGGGACCTCATTGTAATGCAAGTATAGCTATTATAATAGCCTCCTGGATATCCAGTATAAGAATATTTGTGTATATACATGTACATGTGATCCCCTTCAATCCCCCGATCCCATTCAACGTTCTAGTCATAATACGGTGCGAAAACAAAATGGGGGGCCTGGAAACAAGTAATGTCTTCGCTTGTTAAAGTTCTACATTTCCTCAAGTGTTTACGAGTAATAAATGTAGTTTGGGGAGGTGGTGAAGCGAAGGGGAGGGTGGATCGTGCACTGCCCTCGGAATACCAGTTCATCTTTTCAACACAACTAAAACAAAATTACTGCAATAATCAAGCGAAGATGCTTACATAAGTTGCTCTACTATATATTTATTCGAAGTACATCGGAACCAGATGATAAAGGGTATATTCTTTTATTTATTACATATTGCATATAAACCATTAATAATAAAGATTAAAAATTATAAATCAAAAGATCCACAAGGTTCCAGGTAATTCCCAAGAAGTGTGACTAAAAAGGTTCTTTATACAAACACGAAGAATGAATAAATCAATTTGATACAAAAACTTTACAAAAGAAATTTCAAACGAATTAACCAAAAAGTACATGATCAACAAGGCATGTACATTTATAGTTTGTTCAAAAAAGTCGAACCTTGTCAAAGTCAAAGGCAGAATATTGATTTCCTTGTTGGCAATGTTTAGTTAAGGCTTCATCATAAAAAAATAAAATTGAAATATAATCATAACATTTCCGCACAATCATACTCATGTATCTGAGGTGCCGTTACTGCCACACCAAATGTGAAAACATTGTTCTGTCTACTTTCTTACAATCTAAGCAATGTACCACAAGGAATTACATGTATTAATTAAATGCCAAATCCTTCAGTACTTCAACTAACAACATATCTGGTTGGATGTGATTTGAATATTCCATTAATGAAATTTGATTGGGATGAAAGAATTTTTCAACATCACATACAGGAACTAATAACAGTTTGACAGTAAACCTTTAAATTTACCCCGATACTGTGAAGGAAGCATTTACAAATCACTGCATAGGCCTAATGGTGCAAAATAATTCAACAGTTGTACAGTCAACTTCAGAAATCAAGAACATTGAAGAAAACGTGTGAGGATATCAATACAAAATGCAGTAATTTGGGATTTTTACTATCAAAAATTTGTTTGTAAAATAGAATTGATTTTGAGTACAGATCACTTTTTAGTGGCATGTGCAAAGAAAAACCAACTTGCATGGACTATCTTCCCCTATTTTGCCTGTATTTGTTCCATGCAATACAAACTCCTGTTACAAATTATGCAAGTAAATATGGGAACAATAAACTATGCCCCACAGGATAGCCATAATGCGAAGCCATGTCAGCTAACAAATGATTTAAATTATCAAGGGAAATTCCCAATTTTGAGATAGAATCAATCCAAGAATGCCACATTGTGAACGTACCTTTCAAAGGATACATGTATCTGAAACTCTGTACTACAACCCCGAATGGCAGCCGTAACAAATAATTTTTAACAGATTATAGCACAATGATTCAAACACGTGATAACTGAACTGCATGAGCTGAAATTAAAAAAGTTAAACATCTAACAAGAATATTTTAAAAATATTTGACTAGTTCAAGAATGCCGAACAAATTTACCATGTTCAGAGTCTGTGATTAACACCAAAGATCATAGCTTCGTAATGACTAATTGCAAATGTACATGTTCTGTGACATTTAGCAACGATACCGTGTATATGTCGTTTTGACCTTTGGAACTGCAGGTAGTTCTGATAAGATTAAAATTCATTTAGCACCCAGTCGAATCAGTCAGTTTTAAAAGGTTAAAATCTACAGAATTTTTGAATGCCCTATTTTTAACATGCTCAAACTTCAAACCAAATTTTGTGCCACACTGTACAAACTCTAATAATTCTAAATCCAACCAAATCGAACAGTGGACAAATTTTAATCATTTAATTGATTCCAACAGGTCCAAAAATGTTTTTTTTTCTGAACATGCTGAAGGTTGGAATCTATTACATTCAGCACAGTGCAGAGAGAAAACTTTAAAAAAATGGATTAGGGATAATGCATTAACTTTTGTAATATGGTGTAAAAATGTACTTCTTTTTCTGATGTTTTGTAGCAATGGTAAAATTTTGAAAATGGTCCTTTCCCCCTTAAAACCTGTGAATCACATGATCACATCTTTACAAAATACACCATAACTGGGCAGTGAACTACGCTTATCGCATTTCTAGAAGCTCTTAAATTAAGTTTTCAAAATTAAAGATATATACACCCAAGACTTGGCAGGAAGATTTTTTTTTCTCTTTAGAACTACTCAGCAAACCCCACATGGGGTGAAGAATTAACCAATGCCTTTCTATTTTTCAGCACTGCGCAGAGGCGTCACAAATCTAAACCTCTGCAACAAACCTAATTAACACCAATTGATATTTCCTTCCGCAGCCTCCAATGTGGGGACATGATAATTTTTGACTCCACCAAAAAAGACAGATGGCCGCCGTGTATACTCAGTCTCACACGTAGTCATTGTGGTGATGTGTTCAACACACTTGAGTGTAAACGGTAATATAAAGTGTTCTCAGTCAAATGTCCCAGTTTTTATTTTCCTGGTTTCTGTTTAGGTTAAATTCTCGCTGGGTGCAAATATGAATGCAACTGAATGCTGGGAATGACACATAGAATATCTGTATTCAAAGTCTTTCCACAATAGCACATGTGCAATTGGCAGGTCCAACTAAGTAAACAAGTACACAACTATTTTCTAAATAGATATGGCATGCTTGTGCTCCTCTGGCTACTTGAAGGATATCTTCAAATTGCGACTTTGATGTGTTTCAACCTACATGAATACACAAAATGGTACAACACTTGTACGTTTGATGAAGAAATTTAAATCATTTCAATCGTTAAATCACCTTATCATAGCAGTTCTCGTTCGACTATCTGTCTTACTCATCGTAGAGCTATATTAGATTACTACAGCACTAACTCCTCATTCTTACGCGCGGAGATACTCTGAAGCCGTCCTGCATGAAGACATTTTGAATTCATGTGCTATTTGTAGAATATAATGAAATTATGATGGAGTAAATTTTGAAAGTGTACTCTTAGTGCAATCCGCAAGAACAACGCAAACAACTTAAGTATGTCATGACGTTTAAAAAACATCACGGCAAAAATCATGTGTGCATGTTGTTTGCACACAGCAAAATTTAAACGCTCATTTACTGATTGTGCATCGCATATCGGCTTCGATAACGCACCTGTATAGAATACAAACGCAGATATGCAAATAGCCATACAAACGCCGTACAAAATTTTGAGTTTTCCATAGGTTTGTGCACAAACATGGATGTGCCCAGCACACATGACTTTGTACATCAAGTCAGCGCTCTCTAGTAATTTAACATAGCTCTACATACGGTCTTTAAATGGAATATACAACATTTGCTTTTGCTGTAATTTTCAAAAATGGATGGATTTGGGGGTTAGTATTTTATAGCAAGTATTGTTACGCGGACTTGTAGTTTTGTTGTATTCGTAGATGTTGAAAAAAGCAAGAAAAACAACCATGTTCCTGTAGTCTGCTTCCCTGACCCCACTTAAGATGAAATGGAGCAATTTATAGACGTAGGGGAATTGTAAGGTCAGAGAACCAGTGTAACTGGCTTGTACCCATTCATAGGTGTGTAATAGATTTCAAACAATATACGGACTAACTAAATATGGTAAATTGGGGTCAGTAATTTTCTTTTTAAAAGCCAGTTTTTTTCCAATGCTGGTTGGCCGACCAGCGTTGGAAATTGATACAAAAATTACCACTTTTCTTGAAAATGACAGTACATCGGGTACCATGATTTTACAGGATGCTGTAGACTGTCATTCACTAACAGCCTAGTATGGTAGTTCATAATAATTTGGTAATTTTGTTATTTGATGTTTGCAAATGTTGTAAATTCCCTTTAAAGTTCGGGCCTTACATGTCAACTGATCACAGTTGTCTGTATCACTGACATAGTTTGGACGGTTGACTTGCAAGCAAACAGCTGCTAAATCTGAACTGAACTTGTGAATTGTTCATCCTGAACTTGTGACCCAATGGGCCTTATTCACGAGTTGGCCATTTTTGTCAAGTTCCCTAAATGTATTTCATTAATTGTTAACTGTTGAATGGAATGGCGCCAGACTACTTTATGCAGGCACAATGCAGCCTTATTTTACTGTCTTTTTTTTTTTTTAAATATGGCTTTAAACATTAGGGAATGTTTAATTACAAATGTTAAATTAATTATTGAAGCAGACTGGAATTTATTATACATTAACTTGCTTTCATTTCTCTTTGAAAGTTCCCAAAATTAAGATTTTACCTCACTTTCAATTCAATACGGCCAACTCCTGAATACGGCCCATGCCCAATCGTCTTCATCCTTAGCTACAACTGTCACTTATACCATTAGCATTCACAACATAATGAAGCACCTTCCATGAGCTTGTTTGCAACTACAGTGGACTCTCGTTAATACAAACTCAGCCGCACCAAGCCAAAATGTTTGTTATATCTGAATTGTGTACTAAGTGGAGTGCTGGTCCCATTCATTGTGCACATAAAGCACAGTCAGGACCAAGGCTTTATGTTTGCTATAACCAGAATTTGTATTAACAGTGTTTGTATTAACAAGAGTCAATTGTACCTATTTTCAAAAATTTAAACACAACACATTACACTGCATACAATGTTTTGCCAGGGCTGGCAGAATCAACACTAACCTTCATTCTAAACGGGCTTATAACAAAGACACCTCAGAGGAATGTTTATATACCAATGCTGTAATGTGTAGAAAAGGAAAAGTTGTCAAATGCTTAATCCATGACCAACGAACAGTAACTTTTTTTTTTCTAATGAGCAATTAAATTGGAAGTATTGAATGTGTGCACACAAAGCATACATTAATTAACAAAAGTAATATGTATACATGTAACAATGACAAAATGCAAACGTAGGATGGGGTTGATTCAATATGTTTTCCACAGTGATAAATAAACAAATTTTCACTCTAAACTGTAAACATCAAGAATATTGCTCCCATGTACAATTGAGTACAGTTGAACACCAACTTATTTGCAGATGTTTTCCAAAGTTTTTGATCTATGATGAGGAAGATGACGAAGACATCTTTCTTTGTCTGTGCTCGTTAATTTTCTTCACAATCAGCATCCCAAACTCGGCGTGCATTTCCGTGAAAGATCGCACATCGCGGTCGTGGAACACAGACTGTCCCGTTTTGGCGCTTGCGATGCCTTGAGTTTGGTTGAAGGTCTTATTGAAGAACTTGGTTCGAGTGGTCCCGCTCCTAGGCATGACCCTGGGTGATGTCGAGGAGACGTTTTCATAGAAGACCGATCTGGTGCTGCGGTTTGGGGCCGTGGCTGAGCTGGTTGGTGCTGGGGCAGACCCTTTCAGCTGGCCGGAATTCACATCCGTCTGTGGGATATTGGGCTCTTCTCCAACGTCAACATCATCATTCGTGTGATTCTCAACGTAGAACTGGGTCTGCGACTGGGCACCGTTTCCTTGCTCAGTACTCTTATTGTTATTGACGGGAACCAACGGATCCCAGATCGCATAGGAAGGATTACTAAACTGCGCAGTGGGGACCGAGTTGCGCTGGAAAGCGTTCTGACGGGGCGCCCCCTGGTGGGAGAGCGATTCAGTCTTGCCCTTGTTGTAGATGCCCATCTTGCTTGGGATGTCACTGAAGTCATCCAAGTTGTGATCATCGGGGTGACCGGTGGTCACGTAGGAGAAGCGTCCCGGGCGCAGCTGCCCATCCCCATGAGAGTCATGGGTTAGTTCGTCCAGTTGTCGCTGGAGCTCGTCCACCATGGCCTTCATGTAGTCATAACTTGAGCAGGATAGCGCCCTCATCCACGACTCCATCTCCTCCTGGTCATACGCAGCCAGGATATAAGTCCGTGCTCCATCTCCCGGGAATGAGATCTGGAAAGTGAACTGACTGTCTTCGCTGTCCGCCAGTTCAACACGGCAACCCTCCAGAATGATCACCCCAACAGGGTCCCTATCTCCCTTCTTCTCCAAATAGAAGAGAAGATTTCCCTTCAGGATGAACCACCTCCTCTGATAGCCGCGATTGATCTCCCCACGCTTCAGTAAGAAACCCTCCTTGTCAATAGGGGAGTTGCATGAGGCAAAGTAAGCGACATTGCGCTCGTTGAACTTCATCTTGGAAGAAAAAAATAGAAATACACACAACACACTCAGAGCTGAAAACTGTTTAGTTCACTACTCAGAAAGAAATGATGCTATGCCAATTGCCATACAGGTTTTTTTCACCGGCGTGATCATGATGATAATTGTTCATCCGGCCTATGGCTTCGCGCGGCAGCTTCCGTGTGGGTGCCTCAATCGAAGATGACACGTTATGCAACTCCAAGTTGCCGATTTCTCGTGCTAGCCGGTTGTCCCTTCCCGGCCAAAAATAAAACTGGCTTTGGCCAAACAAAAAAGTGCAAGTGGAGCTTCCGCACTGAACTTACTACACCCCCTATCGTCAGTCTGCACAATCCTGTGATTCACCGCTAGGACTTGGCATGTTCTGGAATAGCTCACTACTGACAGATGATGAAGACAATCACCAGACACGGTTATTACTTTCGACTGAACTGTCAAGTTTAATTACATGAACTAGGAGAAAATAACGACTTCATAAGTGCTAAGCATGCACACTGCATTGCCCGATAAAAATCCCTAAGAGCTTTTCGCTGGTATCTATTCTATTCTGTCCGGCTGATAATAATGTGATTAACAACCATTTCCGCGGGTACCAGTCAGTATGCCAGTGTCGAAGGTTAGTGTCATGGAATGATTAGAACGCATGGGCTTACGGTAGATAATGGGCGGTGCTTGAATAAGATGGGGGAAAGACTCACCATTCATGCCATTCATGCTGTTAGGCAATTAAATATCGTCCTGTATTAAAAGTTTCGATTCGTTTAATAAAATTGAAGATACTTGTTTTTTAAACACAAAATGAGACGATGTCCCAACCTGATCCCTTTGACCCAACTTAATGGGCGGAGCCAGGGTTATCTGTTCCCTATTCCACCTAGTCACGTGGATTACAGTACTCATTGCAAACTGAGACGATGAGATCCCTGGCTAAAACACCGCGGGATAGGGAGGATATATCTCCTACTTTGACGGAGGACTTTGAAATTATCCCCCATGTTTTCAATTGCATCCAGAAAATGTCAATGAATCGAATGTCCTACCGTGACAATTACCTTCACAAGGCTTATCCCCCGTTGCACTTTGTCTTGTCGGTTTATTATAAGTTCGACTCTTTTGTACTTTTTCGTAATTTTGTACTACAGGATAGGACCAGGAAGACATTAAAACATTAAGTAGTCATTGTGTGAAGTTTTGATAGATTTTTATTACCATCAACAAAATTTCGAAAATACATATCTGAAAACCTTAAATAGCGCATAGCCCACGTGGACAAAGACCTGCTCTGTGATATACTGTACTGATATAATGTATAAGAAAGCAACATTATTTAACCAAACTTATGCCAGCATAAAGCTTGGGTTATCGTTAATTGTATAAAATTAAAATCATAGGAAATAATACTGTCTGCATCGACATTCAAACATTAAATAAGCACCCAAATATACGCACACAAGTCGTTTATATTCGCATGGCAAAATTAGATCTTTGACAAGCAGGAAATTATATTTGTTGCAAAATTAAATGTAACTTCTTACACAAATATTTTAATAATTTAGAGCTGCCTTCAGAAAATAAATCCCTTCAATTTAAAAAAAAATGATAACATTGTATATTATTATAATATATTTATAATTAAAAATAAAGAGCTTATATAAAATATAATGTGAACTATATAGTATTGCATTGTTTTAGTATCAAAATGCAAACTATTTAGCACGATCTAGGCTTCGACCCGACTCGGGCACCCGAGTATTATAAATCCTTTAAACAAATTTAATGGCCGTGTAGGAAGTCCAATCTTCATCTTATGGAGAGCTGGCTCCTCCACGCGTTGCGATGACGTTGTCGATCCACTGTCCGTAGCGTGCTACATTGGTGTAGACACCAGGGTAGTTGCGCTGTGCGCACCCGTAGCCCCAGCTCGTTACACCCGTCAGGTACCACCGCTCCACCTCGGCTCCCGTGACCTCGTCACGGCTGGGTCTACTGCAGACCAGAGGACCGCCAGAATCACCCTAAATATTGGAAAGATAGAGAGGAAGAATAAAATATTTACAGTTGAATCAAAACTGAGGTATTTTTTCTACTTCTGCAGGGTGAAGAATGCAGGTCGGGTATACTGACATCAAGATTTCTGTTAATTGGACGAAGTCTGAGCTCTACGATCTCTTGTGCTCTTCGCCTTGCGAATGAACGCTTTCTCGGTGAGTACAACTTTTGGGTTGGTTTGTTTTGTTTTAGTTTGTTTTTGCACTACAAAATTGCCCGTCGGATAAGATTTCGTCACAGGTTGAGACGACATGTCAACAGTCGATTCATAATATTTCTTCTTCTTCTTTAAATTATGATAATCTTTAAAGATGTGTCACTCTTTTCCCCTTTTTTTAAGTAATAAGGAAAATTTAAATGAAGTAGTGTTTTCAGAATAGCGGGAAACTTAAAGGCGAAGCAGCATCACCTAATAAAACTACTTGACGACAACTTAAGGAGTATCTGAATCCGGACTCACCTGGCAGGAATCGATTCCTCCAGCGAGGAAACCAGCACACAGCATGTTTTCAGTCACTTCGCCATTGTAAGATGATGGTCCGTTGCAACGGCTTCGGTCAACGATGGGAACCTCAGCTTCCATGAGCACGGAGGAGACGGAGCCGCCCTCTATTGACAAAAAAAAGGAAGATGACACTGTAAATCATCATTGAATGCCGGAATCAACATGTTTACCGAACAGTTTTGCTTGGTGACAATTAAAATGAGGAGTTGATTTAGTTTGGGGGACTTTGAAATGTAAAGATAATGTACAACTGTTTTACGGTTGAAATTTGTGGAATTACCGCAAAATCCACGTGTGTATAGACAACACTGAAAGGCACGAACGGTTGTATTCGATTGCGTTTGGTTTGGAACAACTTACATCACGGAGTTGTGTCAGAAAAATTGTCAAACCACAGAGAAAGTTGACAGGAGTACAACCTTTTTGAGCTTTTCTTATAGGTATAATGCTTCACTATCTTCAAGCTCACCAATTTCCGAAAGACGGGCTAAACTGCATGTTTATAGGACTCTTTCACAAGCCACTTACGAGTTGTGGTACCGAAACCGGCGATGAAGCACACCAGCGACTCGTCCACACTGGCAGCGGTGTCCACACACACAGAGTTGATGACCGGGTTGCTGCCCACTTCAGGCTGGATAGGGGGCTGAGACAGGACCAAGATGGCCAGGTCGTTGTCCACAGTGTCACTGTCGTAGCCGGCGTGGACGATGACCTCTGACACCCCGCTCTCGTGCTCCTCACCGCTGTCGTCGTTCTCGCGGTATTTGCCGAGAATCACCCGCCAGTTGGATGGGTTCATACGACTGTTGAGAGAAAATATTGATGGATTCGAAATTTCACGTTTGTTTGAGCCAGTGTTGGAGCAAAGGCTTTAACCCTCAAGGCCAAGGCCAAGGCCAAGGCTTTGACCCTCAAGGCCAAGGCCAAGGCCAAGGCTTTGACCCTCAAGCCTCGAGGCCAAGGCCAAGGCTTAACCCTCAAGGCCAAGGCCAAGGCCAAGGCCCTGTTTTATGAAATGACCACTGATATAGAACTAATTATAGTCACATGAGTGACACATCATCACGCAAGGGCGGATCCAGAACACAATTTGGGGGGGAAAGAAATTTTGGTCCCCCCCCCCACAAAAAAGTGGGTCAAAAAATTACGGCTTGGGCTTCGGGGCCCGCTTAAGGGCCCCGAAAAAATTTTGATTCGAGATGCTCTGTGGTGCGATTTGAGGCAATTTCTCACCAATTTAACCGATGTTTTTTGAGGAAAAGATGGTGGTGTACTCATTGCCTGCCTTTATTACGACGTCACATAAAAAAAATGGTTTCTTTTTTTGGGGGGGGGGGCATGGCCCCTTTTGGCCACCCTGGATCCGCCCTTATCATCACGAATCGCTCTTTACGAAGAACAACATTTCTTTAATTGCAATCAACATGCTCGCATAGGCCTACACCGTTTTATGACTGCACTGTATCTATTAAAGTATAAGTTCAGGTCTTCAATATGGTTCAACTAAACAAAATAATGATTTACTTCTATAGTGACACACAATTCTCCCAAGTGTACCAAAAGGGGGATCCAAGAAACTGATTTAGGAAATTTTTATTTGCTGGCCCAACATGGTCAGAAATATCAGCATTATCTCAAACAGATACATGCAAATCTTTAGCACTTATCAGGGAGACTTATACAACCAATCAGATCCATTCCATAGTTATATGCAATTAAAGTGATCATCTCATTAGCCCCACAAGTGTACGGAATATTTTTGCAGCAAATCTACTTCAATGGTAACTAAATGTGATGCTACAAAAGTGGAAGTGTGCCCAACACACAAATCTATAGGGTGCTTCCCTCCTCAATGGAAATACGATTAAAATGGAAACAGCAAAATTTAGAACAGATTTATCTGGAAAATGCAAAAATCTATAAGCCTTGAAGAGCCTTGACTCAAAATTGCAAGGCCCTGAACCCTCAAGGCCAAGGCCAAGGCCAAGGCTTTTGCCCTCAAGCCTCGAGGCCAAGGCCAAGGCCCTAAAATCCAGCCTTAAGGCAGCCTTAAGGCCAAGGCCCAGCATCAAGGCACTACATCACTGGTTTGAGCATAAGGATAAATTTGTGTAGGCATTCCTCGAAAATCATGAAAATGGAGTAAATCAAGGTAATAATATCGACATTCTTTTCGGGCTTGTCAGTAAAGGAAAGTGAAAAGTCCTTACTTAGATCCTTCAAAGCAGTGAGCCGCACTGACGATAAACCTGTTGTTCACAAGGGTGCCACCGCAGGAGAACCTGCCCTGGAAGATGAGCTGTGCGTACCAGGGCCAGGCACCGCGCACGGCAGCGTTACCCCCGACGATACGCTGGGCTGCTCCCTGAGAATGACGGGAACCACAACCATTGTCTGCAAAGTCGAAAAGGAAAAAAAAATTGAGGGTGTGAACAACGGAAAATGAACATGAATATATGAGTTCTATATATTACCTTATATACGGAATAAAGAGAAAACTGTGAACATCTGAGAAGAGACCTTCAACACTGCACTGTCATCTTCGCGCAAAAGGACGCTCCAAACTGGAATTTGGAACCTATTTAATGTTTGACTTACTATGTAGGCAGAGTTTGTTTCTATCGATGGCTCATTTCAAATCTAACAATTTGTGATGCGATCAAGCTAAATGAGTCGTTTGTCGACCCCGGTCTTCTTTTTTTTTACAGATTTCAAAAGAGCACAATCTCAGCATTACTGATGTGATAACCATGCTGATACCATCTTTAGTTCAAACCTATGGAAGTCGGAACACCAAGAGATGTGATGAAGTGATGTGATGAAGTGGCCCTATTTTGGCCTGAATCTCCAAATGACTTCCCGACAAACGACTCATTTAGCTTGATCGCATCACATTTTAGGGAATACAAAAACTAGAAATTACTTTTCAAGATTTAACGCAAAAAAAATGTTAGTCTACATTATCGTGAATGTAGCAATTATGATCACTTAATATAATTTATATAATTATGTTTGTTTTACGGTTGAAGAGAAAGATTTGGGAAACCTTTTTTTTTTTAATAATTCTATAACCTCAGTGAAACACCGTTTTAGTGAATTTCGTTTTGTGTCCATACCTGCTTCGGGCATGCAGGTAGCGAGTTCACACATCTGATACTCCGTGGGTTCCCCGTCACTGCACAGGTTGACATCGGCGCACAGACACTGCCTAGTCCGTTGTCTCTGTCCCGCTCCGCAACCTGTGTTGCACTCGGACCACTGGCTCCACGGTCCCCAGCCGCATGCTGCCGGTGCCATAGTGGTGGAATCCGGGATGTTTGGCTGGCTAGTCGTAGATTCAGCAAAACCTTTAACCACAATAAAACGAATTTTAAAAAGTCAGATTTTGTTCTGTATCAAGTATTAAATCTTCAACATGACTTTTTTTTGTCAGGGTGAATATTCCAAAAAAATCAACAGGAAATGACAAACGAGTGCAATTTACTTGCATTAATTAATGACTTTTGACGGCCGTGATTATAGCCCCAAAACTTTGGAGTTAATAATTCCTTTATTACATACTTTTCATGAATTAAAAAAAAGAAAACAGACAAACTCAAACTTACATCCTTCTTCGTCGCTGTAGTCCCAGCAATCGTTGTCATGATCACACTGCCAATAGCCTGGAATACAACGGCCGTTGCCGCAGGTAAACTCATCATCTGCACATACACCTATGGGACATAGAGAAATATCAAACAGCTGTCAATAAAAGTTGCAATTAAAGCTTTGATGAGAATTGCCGTATATATTTTTTAAAGTTGGCGCATACGTGATTTTTGTGTGTGGCACCTTGAACAATAGATTTAAATATTGAATTGATAATTTCCTGTCATTACATCACTTATGGGCTTTCCAATGAGACATCGCACGGAAAAAAAATCGGCCCATGACAAAGTAATCAATAATAATTTCAACTTTTGAATTTAAGAGCGGAACGCTCCTAATTCGTTCTGAATATAATAGTGTGCGCAATTTCTGAACTGGAGCGCGCCATTTAAATGCACTTTTTATAACTGTATAAAGGCCTGCAAAAACAAACAAGCAAATTAATTTGTACATAGGCTATTCCTTTAAATTTCGTTCGGAAAAGAAAATCGAAATTTTGAAAAAGCACATAGTACATGTATATACCAACTTAAAAAAAAAGAAGTTATGAATATTTAAATTAAAAGAACCTTATGTATAACGCAGTCTGTTGCATGACAATCAAGTTCCGTTTTTATTTTCATCTGTTAAAAAACATTATGTGTAATTTTTTTTAAAGAAACAATCATTTTGCGATGAAAACTTACAGTTGACTTCATCACTGGCATCGCCGCAGTCATTCCAACGATCACACTCCCAGTAGCCAGGAATGCAAGTACCGTCCGAACACTCGAACTCGTGGGACGCACACCCATCTGCAGACAGAAGGAAAACAAAATGTTAGCACTGCTCCTTATATAAAGATCTTGTCAAAAATAATACTCGTGTATTGAATGATTATCTGGTAATTGTGTTCGTCCTTTATCATGGAAAATGCTGTGACGGAAATGTTTGATACATAACTGCAACATCATGTTATTTGACATCGATATTGGGAATTGTGTAGATTCTTTTAACCGTAAATGGACAATGTGATGTTGACGATCCAAATGGTTTATACTTCATAATTTCAGTATGAGACAGTGCATAGGCTGTATACTGATCATGAGATAGAGCATAGACAATATACCGATAAGGTATAGTCCAGGTTATACTCACAGCAATAATGCGGGAAAAAGTAGCAAAACCAGTAGTTGCGACTGTCACTACCGTCCCTAGTTTTCTGTAGACTTGTCTTGAGATCTGACACTCCCTCTGGGAAATCAAAATACACACTCAAACGATAAAAAATTTGTTGGCATGCATATTCAAGGACTTGACAAACTAAGAAACATGTTGTGTCTTTTTGGACAATAATTTGCAAACCTCGTTATAAGAGCATTGCAGATAACAAACTGAGAGGGAGACCCAAAACACAGGTCCTCTCCATTGCAAATCGACTCTTCAAAGGAGAACAGAGAAAACCACGTGTTTGGGGTTTATCTTAGAGGACAGAACAGATCATATTTTCATAAAGGCAAGAATTCGTGAAGCAAAATCTTCCACAGTGCTGCAGTAAGGGCCATGCAGTATAAATGCTAATTTTACACAACTCTTCAACATACATGGATAGGATTTTCGGGATTTTGGAATTTTGTGAGCCGAGTCGCCATCTTAAGCATCATCACAAGAACCTTACCTCCATGTGGTGTCTTCCTCTTCAATTCGTTGATCATGTACTCTGCCACGTTCTTGCCGTGGAGAACCTCATCATTGTTGCCGCTCAGGGCGCGCGCCGCTTCCTCTTGCATGGACTTCCTCTGTTCTTGAAATTTCTGGAATTAAAGTAAAATAAATAAATAAACACATTAGTCGTCTTTGATAGACAAATATGGAGTGAATACAGATCCAAGGATCAAAAGAAAGGAGGCAAAAATATTACGGTGTTTTTGGCATTTTCGGAAGTTAGTTAAGACGAGCTTACCTGCGAACTGCGACGTCCGGGGGCTGGGAGGACACCTGCCAGAGAAGACGGCAGGCAGGCGCCGAGGAAAATGAAGAGAACACCCACGAGCATCAGGGAGCGCATGGTGGTGGCTGGCGACGATCGGAGCGGACAAGTCGAAACTCTGACAAGTGATTTGGTTGCGGTGGATTATCTTTCTAATCAAGATAGCTGCACTCGAGTTGGTCGGCTCGGAAAGCTTTCTTCTCGTTTCTGCATCTGCTGCAAACAGGTGAAGTTTGGTGGAAGAAGCCCATCTTGGCGATCTTTTATAGACTCCGATTCTGCTTGGCTACGTGCAGTGTTGTGTCAACCACCATCGAATCGCAACAGGTTTGTGTCATGTCTTTGACGTAGCGAGAGTCAGTGACGTCAAACCATTGTCTGCGCCACCATGGATCAATACACCCAATCGCCTGGTTCCAAAAACTTGACAAAAGACCAACTCCCATTGATGATCTGACCACTATTGACCAGCTCAGGGCGCACGGAATGCAAATCTATACGGTACTTCCCAACCGTGACTAAAAGGGAGAGGCCTACAAAGAATTATCTAATACTCCCTCCTATGTTATCAACCATCGACCTTACCTTATTTGGAGATCGCATGATGCGTCCCCGTGCTCACTATTTAGGGAAAACCTGTAACGATGATTAAAAAGTATTTCAACAAATTCAACTGAGGGAACGTTTTGTAGCTTCTTTAGGTCTTTTTTTTGTAATATAGATACTGTGTTCAAGCGGCCATGCACTCTTTTTGTCCCCCTGACCGTACTTTCCACATGCGTGCGCTTGGATCCAGTTCGTTAGTGTGACGTCAGTTAAGTTTAAACCACGCACACTGCCCTTAAGTAGCGTTGGAACCATTGGAACCGGAAGTTAACGCAACTTACGTCTTTATCCAATGGTCGCTAGTAATCGTGACTAAAAAAGGCTACAAACAACATGTATCCATATTCCCGCCTACTATCAACCATCGACCTTGCCTTATTTGGAGATCGCATGTGCCCTAAAATCTCACTATTTGGGAAAAAAGTTAACGTGTAAACGATTATTCAAGCCAAGACAATCCCCCCCCCCCCAAAAAAAAAAAAAAAAAAAACTCGGACTCTTCTTGTTCCCCCGATATGCCGACCGTACTTTCCAAGCGCTTCGATGCCTATTCACTTTATTTCACTGGAAAAATATTCCTCTACTTTTCTCTATCGTGCTTCGTCTTGAGAAATCTCTGCCAAAATCATGCATCTCTTCTTCACTCAAATGTTCACAATTCAAGCGGAATGGATACCTTCTTTCACTGTTTTTTTTTTTTTGTGTATAGCCAACACCTTTGATAGGCTAAAAGTTAAGGAGTTTCAAACCAATGGAAGAGTCACATCTGTATCATGGATATAGAATTCTACCTCCAAAGAACCCATCCCAATGCCCCATAGACCTTTATCATACTGCCACCATTTCAGTCATGTTCACCGTATCCAATAACAGTACTGAATGATTTTTTGTGTGTGCAAAAAGTAACCAGACTATCTTTCCTTTCCTTTGAATGAGAAAATCAAAATGGCCGCAACATGATAATTGTCTCACAATAATCACTGTTTCCAACCCACTATATATGGTGGCCTTGAATGGACATCACACATCGCAAGTATCTTTCGAAAATTTATCGCAAACATCTTTGCAAATATTTGCGATGTCGCAAATGTTATTTCGATGGTCGTGTCGTCAAAACTACGCATAACTTACGGTACTCGACTATACTATCCCGTATGCACATGTTAACGAAATGAAGGGTGGAACTCAAACAACTTTAAGACTCTCTAGTTTCTTGAAAAAAATAGCTTGGTATAAATACGCAACAAAGCATGGGAGAAAGAATGTGATACAATTTGCCCCATCTCAAATATTTCGCGAGCATTTTTTTAGGATATTAAGATATTTGCGACGTGTGATGTCCCTCCCGGGCTACGATAACATAACGCCCATGACTGTTGGAATCCCTTCAGTCTCCTGACGACGGGCAGAGCATACAGTCCGAAACGTCCCCCCCCCCCCCCCACCCAGTTCTTTTCAGAACATCACAAACTCACAAAAGAGATTTGTCACCTGGTGCTACAGTAAATCTTTATCTTATTCAAATCTTATTCCAACCAATTAATTTTTTGTGAAGAAATCGAGAGCATTTCGCTACTACAATGTCAGAAATTAGACACAGAATAACAAATTATATCAAACATGTGCGAGAGCATCGAACGAATTCAAGTAGTGTGGTGATGGTTTGCATTTCAAGGGGTCGTAAAAGGCTCGTTTCAAAACGATTGCGCTCGAACAACTCGCTTTCTCTCTAAATACTCAAGTCGAAGGTGCAGGTTTGAGTGTCGCCCTACTTTTTGCTCAACTTGAAATTCAATTGAAAATTCAAGAAGGCCTAAACAACTTGTGTCTGCACCAAGTGAATTGTATGAGTTACTCCCAAAGAGAACGGTTTTGTTCTGAGAAGAAAAGAGGTGTAGGTCTCTATTCTGAGATTGTCATTTGTTTTCAGAAGTAGGATGTAACCTCAATCCTGCAAAATCCTCCAACTGCCTCCATGTAAAAATAACATACAGCCTCAATCCTGCAAAATCCTCGGTTATTTCTTGAATGTGGTCCTTGGAGGGGTGACCACTGCCTCAATCCTGCAAAATCCTCCAGCAATCACTGTCAATATGTTGAGGCAGAGTCAATGACATCCTGGAGCAGGGCGGAGGATTTCAAGCATAATAGGCCTAAAGTTTTGCACGGCTGAGCATAAACAACACAAAGTCTGGCCTAAGACCTTGACACAGTGCATCTGCCAAAATCAGCCACACACTTTTGTCTTATAGCCTCCCTCCTGCATAATCCTCCATTTTACAAAGAGGATTTTGGAGGATTTGGGAAGGTTAGGGTTAAAGAAGTCGAGAATACAATCAAGTTTTCTTAGCGAGAATCTCAGTTCTCTTTTTGAGATATGTATCTTCGTATGATGATTGTTTCTGCAAAAAAATTCCCAACAATCCTTGCAAAGTGTCAAAGTGAAACAGAAAGTTGCAGACTTAACTTTTTTCCCCGAAGGTCAGAAAAAAGAATGGATTTGGGGATTAAAGTATTGTGTGCAACCATTATTAAAGGAGTGAGCTCTGACGTCAACACGGAGTGGCGCTTGCGCCGAGTGGACAACACGGTCCATTGAATAATAGGCAACAACAGCGGTTTTCAATGCGGTTACACAAATAGCACACTGGAGTTACGCTCTATTACGAGAGTTCCATTGGATCCAAATTCATCAAATTCTTACTGGCACGCGGTATCCAAGAAACGAAACCAACAGGAAATAGGTTGTTCAGTTTTACATCTTGTATATGAATATTTTTGATTTGTATTGTTCGGTTTCCACGTATTAGTCCACCCTTTTGGGGGTAAACGGAAGACAAGTATAAAGAAACAGAAACAGTGTGGAAACATGATTCATATTTTTCTGCAAATATTTATTCTGAAATGCAAACCGCTGGGAACAGTTGTGCATACTCAGCCTTTTTGAGGTTTCAGGAGACGGCCGACGGGCCGAACCACTTCATGCTGAAATTATGTACTTGGGTGTGGTCATCGTCCTAGTTCGTAAAAGGTCATGTCTAACACATATCCGGTACAAATCGTAAACAAAATGATTAAAAAATACATGTACACCTAAGGACCAAATTGTTTCATAGATTTTATTACCAATAATCCATTGGCAAAATGTACGTGCTTTAGTTTAAGTTAACTAAGCTGATAACTTGTCACAGAAAAGTTTAGATATTGGTTTGGAATGTTATTTTTCTGCGGGACTGATCATTATCGGCCCAACGAAATTGACTTTGCCATACCCAATCAATGTTGATGGCGATGTGTATACCTGTAATTATTGTCGAATTGCCACGCCAAAGATCTATACCAGGGTCGTAGCTGTATATATCAGCTATAAATATCAGGGGAGATAAAGTCTTCTCTGTTTTGTTTATTACATGGAAACGTTACCATTGGCAAATTTATCCCGTGCTGTTAACTTCCATGCACCATTGGATTCTTCGGCTCGGGAAATTATCAGCATCAAGACTCCAGCCATTCTTAAACAGAGTGTTTATGACAAACCTCCCCAAGCACACGTTAATTTTATATCCCTAAATAAGTGGCACCGTCTTGGTCTCTTCAATGTACCGGCTAAATTTGTCCTGAACCACCAGTCAAACCGAGAGTATCCCGCGCGAACATCACATGCACACCGACGTTGTTATCATTCAAATCCGACAAGCTGCTCCGCCTGATTTCAGATTTCACCGGGTACTTGGCTACAGTCGGAATCTATGCCAGGAAATCTGAAATTGCCCTCAATACGACAGAAATGTCCCGACCAACAGAAACTGTTTCATTGTCAAAGTAATAATTGAGACACCGGCACCATTCCGTAAATCTAACCTGTCGAAAATGAACTTCCGGGGCTGGGGCTGTCTGCCAAAACGAGTTTGTACGTGCCACGAGTTTGTGCCAACCAATACGAGTTTGTTCCTGTGAACTTAAATCAGTTTGTTTGAGTCGGCCAAGATGAGTGCGTGCTCATAATGAGGCCAGAAGGAGTTTATATCGGCCCCCTAAAATAAACGTTTGAACCTGCTAAATGAGTGTTGTTTTTTGCAAGCTAATGTGAGTTCGTGCTAAAACGAGTTCGTGCCGGCCAAAAAGACTTTGCGCGGGCAAACAAACGAGTATGCGCCGTCCAAAAGTGATAATGTGCCGGCCAAAATAAATTATGTGCCAGCCAAAGCAACTTCTCGGCGGCCCAAAACACTTTTGTGTTGCAAAAGCTAGATTGATCGGCCTTTATCGGCTAAAACGACTCTAACGATTTTGCACTATAGCCAAAACACCACTGCCCTATTGAAAAGGCACAAACCAATTTTCTTGTCATCAAAGTTTGATTCTCAAAATTCATTCAGCTTATTTTCCTATTCTTCATCTGTTGTCTCTTCAAGGGATAAGCGTTTGTACTATAATCTATTCCTTCTTTACTAAGTTTTTTTTTCCTATTTTTTTTTGTGTGCGAGAGCTGTTGATTGGCAAACACATACAGCTTGTTTCCTCGAATTATAAACGCGCGGGATTTTACCACACATCACATAGCTTACGTCATTGTAGTTTCAAGGACCACAACTTTTTTTTACGAGCACAAAATACTGTTCTATCTGCGTGTAGTTTCGACAAAAATATTCAAGTTCACTGAAGAGAGATGACAATTAACGAAAGGTGTTTCTGCGAGGCGATACGACTCTTTCGTCATATAAAATAAGAGAGTTTCAATGTCACTTCCGCAATTAATTAAGGTTACATACTAATTACTCGAAAAAAATCATTTCGTTTAATTAAAGGAAATACACATCATTGTTGTTATAAATGTCAATACGGTATGCTGTATACGCTTGTAAGCATCCTATTTGTTTAGATTCCTCACACGCTATGTGTTTCATGTTACCAGTGTTAATTGGATTTCTGTTCCGTCTGCCCTTCATAGATGTGTGCGTGTCTACAAAGTTGTTGTTTACACCTTTCTCATTCAAATCATTTCTCAAATCATTTCGTTTAATTAAAGGAAATACACATCATTGTTGTTATAAATGTCAATACGGTATGCTGTATACGCTTGTGTGCATCCTATTTGTTTAGATTCCTCACACGCTATGTGTTTCATGTTACCAGTGTTAATTGGATTTCTGTTCCGTCTGCCCTTCATAGATGTGTGCGTGTCTACAAAGTTGTTGTTTACACCTTTCTCATTCAAAAATTGCTGTCATTCCAAATTTTGTTTTCTTCAGTTACAGAGAAACGTGCTGTGCTGATCTCGACCTCGCGCAAACAAATTGAAAATATTAAAGAAAACAAACAAACAAGCAAACAAACAAACAAGTAATTAGTGCCCAAGGTTTTTTTTCAGACAGAGGGGAAGGTCTTCTAAAACAATGAAACCAATAAGGCGTTAATTATCCCACTTTAATGAAAATGCATATTTCAATTGTGCACCAAAAACATGGACGGTATAAAAGCAGCCCAGAGCTGCCCAGTTCAGAGGACCGTTTTCTGGATCGAAGACATCGGCTGCAGAGTCGGAAGAAATTGTCGAGAAATTTTCCTGCCGGAGTGAAGAGAAAACACATCCCGGTACTTGTGTTGTTGCATGCAGCGGCCGAGACGTTTACCGCAATGCGTATCCCGACTTTAGCATGTTTGATCGCAGTGGCGTTTGTCGTGTGCGTGGACGTGCACGCGTACTCGCACAACAACGCGCCACTGCGGAAACATGGACAGGTAAAAACTTGGACCCGTTTACGAATGGCCATCACGGCCCAGTTGCATTTAGCTGCTAAGCAGCAAATACTGTTCAGCAAATTAATGTGCTAAGCAAAATGATACTCAGTCCATGGCAGTATGTACTTGTCCGAATCAAATGGCTGCGGCCGGGAGTAACACACATGTCTATGGGAAGTGGCTGTAGCCACAAGCCAGTGGCTTCCATAGGCACACGTGTTATTTCCAGCCACAGCCACAACTTTCGGACACGGGCTAATTTGAAGCCGTAGCCGAGTAATTCGGACACGGCTACATTCCGTTGCATTGAGGGACAGTTAGTGCTGCACATGAACCCCGATTCCTTAGCTCAAACTGTACCACAAATGCAATGCGATGTACCTTAGCTGCACACTTCCGATCTATCCATATTGTGGGTTGATGGAAAATGTGATGGAGTTGTCATCTTTTCCCCCCGAATCTGCTCACTCATTTTGCCCATTGAAGCAAATCCGTTGTTTCTTACTTGACTCTCGTGTCGAGATTGTTTATTAACATTCCTCCCCTGTTCTTTTACAACCCCAGCCTGTCAGTCTTTAAAATTTACCAGAAATAGTAAAATAAAATGTCACTATTCTTCAAATTTCAGAAGAGCGCTGGTTCGCACCACCCTCCGGAGCCACAGAATCCCCGTGGACATGGCAGGGGTAATGAGCGTTCCAGCCAGATAGACCAGGAGTTAGGTAAGTTTGGCCGCCTCCTGGTGTCGATCTCACTCTGTTTAATGTCACGAATGTATTCAAAAGTGTTAATTGAAGTCCGTAATCTTCGGCACATTTTTTCTTCTTGCTTGACAAATTTTTGACTTTGAATGCTTGTGGTTTTTTTTTCATTGAAAAAGACCCGGCGAGTTAGGGTTGCTTTTGTGCGCAAACAGATCTGCCCTACGAGTAGACTGCATGGTTTCTGATCCTTACATTATCAATTACGATAAGGGGCGGGAACAATTAGAGTCAACCCTGCGAAAAACTGGCTTGTTATCAGGCCCCCAAAAATATTTCAATTCAACATTTCATAAGTTAATGAGACTGGCAGGTTTGCATGGCATGGTTGACATGAAAAATAATAGTGGAAGGTTTGCGGTAACGTCATGTGAATAATATAGCTTTTCAGTTGTGTGGTTCTGAGAAGAACCAGTTGTTTAAACTCTTTTAAACCAACTGGTTCTTCTCGGAGCCACACAACTCAAAAGAGAACCACACAACTCAAAAGAGATATTATTCACATAATGTTGCCGCAAAACGAGATATTATTCACATGGTGTTACCGCAAAACCTTCCATTCCTTAATATTTTTTTTTTAGCGGTAATGATTATTCCACAACTAAATGTGAGCCGGTTTTTTGTTCGGTCGGTGTCTCATTTAAAAGTGAGGAACTAAGTGGAATTCCAATATTCGTGAAAACACGTACTGCACGGGTGAAAATAACAACACCAAAGTACTAGCCATGTGCGGTATCGAATCGCTATACAGGAAGAAAGTTTCCTACCCAGGGCTTACTATTGGAAACGAGATTAGAAATAAAGTAAGCACTGGGGACGAGGTTGGGGTGGGGTGGGGTGGGGTGGGGTGGGGTGGGGTGCATTGGGGTGGTGGAGGGGAAGGGGAGGTGTGTCTCGCTTTTTTGAGGGGGAGGGGTCGGGGTTTCGTTGTATTGCATTTTGAATTGTTGCAGTTTCCATGAATATTTATGGTTTATTATGTTCTCTCCCTAAATACAGAAGGACATTGTGACCCCAGAGTCGACTTGAGCTGCTTCCGTGAGTATTGAATAACTTTGCCGTATTATGTCCGACTCTGCGCGGAAAACAAATTCTTCACATGTAGATTCAGACCACTGACCAATTCAAATCATAAACTTTTCCCCCCGAGTAGCGCAATATTTCAAAGTAATTATCAATCAGTAATTAATAGTCTCAAACTCCTACTGAGGGGATCGGAAAATCTAGTGTTTAATTTTGTTTAATATAGCCATACTTGAAAGGTTTTTGTCACAGAAAATCCATTGCGATTGTTTTGTCTGTGTCTCCAGCAGTCAATATTAAACTACCAAATTTTGAGCCAGTCAATGTTAATAAGACCGATGCCGTTTAACTGCATATCACGCAGGTGACGGTTGGGCCCGCTCTATAGTTCCAAACGATGGTCAAAATGACACTTCGCTGGATCATTTTCGGGTTATTTTGACCTGTTTCTAATGCTAAAGGAATGCAACGCATTCCCGTTTTGATTGAGGAGTAACGTTATTCCAGAAAAAAAATATATCCGGATATGCAATGATCCGGATATGACGTTTTGTCGTGCAGGCTGTCAACATCCTAAATTCGCCGGTGAGGGCGTGTCGTCGTCTCGTGTGAGGAACGGGGACCGCGACTGTGAAGACGGATCGGATGAAAAGGATAGTAAGTGATTCTAGATGTAATTCCAGACGAAGGGAGGTCTTTTCATGATGTTTAAAAAGATAGATTAAGATAATTAAAACTACGGAGGGAGGATCCTTTGGTTATTTTTTTTAAAACTCAGATACATCGCAATATAACGAACTGGAGTGGGCTTTAAGGAAATAACTTAACATACGTGGAACACTTGTCTTTTCGTGCAAAAAGCGAATACAAACAATTAATGGTTTGAATTTAGTTAATTTATTGTAAAACTACTTTAAAAATAGTAGGGAAGTGTTGATAAACTACCAACAATTTGGTCAATCCGCCGAAAGGCATAACAAATAATGAAATGTCAAGTTCCATTTTTAATAGTAAACCAGTCCTATTGTCTTCGATTTTTTTTCAAATGTGCGGAGTATTTTTCTGTCCAAGTGATTCCTTCTTGTCTCTGTCTCTCTTCAGGAGCTTGCACTGCAGATAGTAATGACTGTTTTGGTGAGTACATCATACGAACAATATTCTTGTATAATTTTATACTGGAGGGATGCCGCACTAGCACTACGCGCTAGCTGGTTGGAGTCGTAAAAACGGTAGTCCGAGTAACTATATGACTCTACGGATCGCTTTTTAACATTTGGACATGGTCGGGCGATAGTAGCCCGACCATGTCCAAATGTTAAAAAAGCGATCCATAGAGTCCTAGTTACTCGGACTATAAAAACGGTATTGTTTGAAGGTTTTAAATGGTTGTGAGTGGAAAGGAATGTTAACAAGAATTCAAACGTAAGCAAATCTTTCTTTTTTTAATCACTGTCTTTTTTACACCGGTTACAGCATTATGCAGGTTTAAACCATTGCTATGACGTCACACTATTGTTAAAAGTGTGGATTCGGAACTACGAATCTGTTACGCTGGTCACAAAGTGTGGATTCGGAACGAAGAATCTTTAGTAAAGTGTGGATTCGGAATTACGAATCCACACTTTGAACACGTCAGACAATTGTTCTCTATAATAAGGGAATAAATGTGTGCTCCGGAGGTTTTTATCACTCTGTTTAATACCACTTAGAGTCTTGGTGCTGATAATTACCCGAGCCGGAGGCGAGGGTAATTATCAGCACCCAGACTCTAAGTGGTATTAAACAGAGTGATAAATACCGACGGAGTACATATTTATTCCCATTCATAAATACCTTTTCGGTAAAAAAAAATCATATAATTCGTTCAAAACATCCCGATTTTGTTCAACAAATTCACTTTATGCTTTTTGAAACATCCCTCCTGCAAAATAATGGAGTGTTCAGCTGGCGAGTAAGATGAAAACAACCCTTTTATGGAGATTGACGCGCGCGTATCATGTTCTACGCGATGTCGCGCAGAACGCACCTGGCGCGTTGCGTTTTGAATTTAGAACTATAAAATTCTAACTCCCTGGTAGTGTTGCGCATGCCTACGTGAGGATTGTGAACGTTCAACCAATGAAACGATAAGAGGCACTGGATTTTTAGGAGTCCACATTTTATTGTGACACTGGAAAAGTGTTTAAGACCAGCTAGCCATGTCTTTATCATCCGTTTAATACCGGCCACGTGACGGGCTCTCGACCAATAGGAATGGCTAAACTGTCTGAGGTATTTATGAATGAGCATTAATAGGACCATATGCGTGAAAATTTCCTTCCGAAATTACCAATGCATCTTCCATGTCAGATTCTCCGCCGTCACTGCAAAACCTACTTCGAGTCAGAAAGAAATCATTGTCTGAACTATCAATTTGTCGACGGAAGGAGCCTGGACAAATTTTGCAACCTGACGCCACTTTTTTTTCTCCATATATCATCTCAATGAAGGGCGTTCATTGCCAAAATGATGATAGACATGAATCTGGGACTGAGAAATATTTCCAATTTTGTTAGGAAATAGTCTCCATAGACTTTGTACACACTCGCGGAAGTGGCGTCAGGTTGCAACATTTATCCCAAGTCTTTTCATCTCCACTCAAAATGCCAATACTTCTTTTGACGCAATGGTTTAAGTCGAAGAATACACTCGCAAGTGTGGATTCTTAATTTACGAATTCACTCGGCGCTTCGCGCCTCGTGAATTCTTAAATTACGAATCCACACTTTCTCGTGTATTCTCCTTAACGTCTCCTAATTACTTGAACCATTCATGCCAGACGCTGAAAAATAATTATGTGTATATTCTGTGTGACGGAAAGTGTGTGAGCGTAGAGCCAGTTTATTTGTGACGTCATACACATAGCGCTAACGCTTAATCCACTGTCTGTTAGTGACTAGGCGGAGCTTATAGGAGCTCCCTGAGTTACTGCATGTACGCGATTGGTTAAGACAAGCGCCATAGGTTTAGTGCATGCATCGAGTAGTCGAGTTGATGTTGCGGACGGACAGGTAACGAGTAGTCTGAGTATCACCCGTTATCCACGGACCATCTCCTGTCTAACGTCTGATATGTCAAAGCATGCAGATTTATGCAAGCCGCGCGCCAGCCAATCGGAGGCGACTTTACTAAATCGTGACGTCATTTCATCCCAAAATCAGGACCAGAACGCTGTGATTGGTCAATTCGAATGCAGCGTTTTGTAATACAACAACAGCCGGGAGCGAATTCGCGTAACATGATACCGAGCGCCGCGCGCCGTGACATTTTTTTTTAAAATCCATGTCTATGACGCGCAACGGGCGAATGACCGAAGACCCGATAGACCTATAGAAAGCGCCTGCTGATTGGTCAAAATCTAGGAAGCAAAGAGGCGGGGTCTTGCCTAATTAATCAGCAAATCTGTTTGCGCATAATAGACCACGGCATTCGCCGTGGTCTATTACATAGACTAGGTAGCGAGCGAGCAAGAGGTGAATTACTTGTGCTTTGCGTTTTGAGAAATGCTTATGCGCGTACATTGTACATAGTCTTATGAGCTGTACCGGGTCGGTTACGCTGGCATGTATAGCTAATGTGTAGCAAGTACAGGGCCTATAGCTGTACGTTGCTGACAGGCTTAATTGCAAGGTCGATGCGCGCGTAGCGGGCCGGTACAAGGCTGTACTGTGCATGCATTGCTTACGATACTGTACATTATTTATGCTGTTGTACATTGCCTGCGCGGTTGTACATTGCTGATGCTTGGGCACATTATAGACATTGTGGTGCATTGCTGACATTGTTGTGCATTTTGGATGCTGTTGCGCATTGCTGCTGCGTGCAGTAGGCTTGGCTCATCTCTCCAATATTTAAAGGACCCCGATAATAGAACAAGTACGCCTATTAATTCCAATTACTGTACATTTATTGATTATTGTTGAATACATTATGATTAAAGTTGATTGAGGTTACCAAAAATTCTGTTCAGGTGTCTCTGTTACAAGTTCATTGTACAATTTACAGGGTAATTAACAATCATTCACAATCGGGCGGTAGATTTCCACCAAAAACTGATCTCTCGTCTAGGGAAGAGCCTTGGTTTGGGAAGATTGTCTTCACCCCAATCGGGAGTCAGACTTATCAGTCTTAACAGACTTAGGTTAGCCAGGGGAGTTCCCGCCTCAATATATAATTATAGAAAGAGAGGAAGACACCATAATGAGAACATTGCGTATCGCTGTGTTGATTTATTGGTCGAGAAGTATTACTTCTCTTCGTAGGACCTGAGAGTAACAAAACAACCGAAAAGACAGCATAAGGAAAAACTTTAAGGGCAAAAAGGCAAAAACCAGGTAAATGAAAAAAAAAACCATCACGTCAATGAGCACGGCAAAATCAAGTCAAACTAGAGGTTGAAGGAACAACCACACGGTGTTGGGCCATGGATTACCGCAAACTTTGCCACACACATCAACTCAAAATGTTTAAATCCATGTTTGACTTTTCAACATGCCGCCAGAGCTGCTCTAACATTTGATGACGTCACCTGTAAAATTTTTGTACATTGCTGCCTAGGCAGACACTCGAATCGTTGAAAGCAAGTTCCCATCTTCTGCCAATTTCATTAATAAGGCACTTCCGGTTTCGACCGGAAGGAAGAGTCACGTGATTTTGCACTTAAAACCAAAAATGAAGACCCTGCAATATTTTATCGATTTCCATAAAGAACAAAATCAAATATGTAGCAGTTGATTTTATATTGATTTTCAAAGATTAAATATGGAAATATTTGATTGCTTGTAATATTACACTTGTGACATTGTGACGTCATTACCAGAAACCTCAAGAGCTATATTTACTGTGCTGTATACAACCAAATCTTGATTATATCTATCACGGTATATTTTCTAGCAATTTTTTAAGGTTTAAAGGTCTTTTTATTGTAACTTCCGGTCTGATGACGTAATCAATTTTTTTTTGCGCAGGTGTTGTCTGCATTATGGTCATCATGTACATTAATTTTGAAGCGATTACCGCAAACTTCGCTACAGACATCAAGTGAACATGCGTTTTTGACGTTTTTTAACCTGCTGCTAGAGGGCGCTCCAACACTTCATGGCATCATCCATAATTTTTTTGAAAGGTCAATCCAGGCAGACACTTAAATCGTTAAAAGCAAGTTCATATCTTTTTCCACTTTTAAATTATTAGGCACTTCCGGTTTCGACCGGAAGGAAGGGCCACGTGATTTTAGGCGCACAGGATAAAATGAAGATCATGTACCATGTCGATTTCCGCAAATTTCAGGTTCCGGTCTCTCACGGTTGATTTTATATGGAATTTCAAAGATTAAATTTTTTAAACTTTCAAGTGACGTCACGTGACCCATGATGACGTCATGATGACGTAATTGCAAAAAACCACATCTGCGGTGGATTGGGCATTCATGTATTGACAAATGAAGTTCATATATTATTCCATTTTTCCAAACAGTTCTGAGAATATGCTGAGAAGAACAAAAACAGTAAATTCTTACAAAACCAATAGGTGTTGGGCTCAAGGCCCAACACCGAATAATAGAATTGGTAAAAAGCAGGGGAGAAATCTGGTAAAAGAAGTGAGTTTGTCTTACATACGCAGTGTGGACTTCCGAACAAAAGACGTCCACATAATGTAGGTAGCACCGACGTTGTGTGTGTTGGCGTGTGTTCGGACATCGCTCTGGTGAAAAGCTGCTTGAGACGCAATGGACCGATCCAGTAAGCACCGCTCCATGGTGATCTGACCAATCACAGCCGTGATTTATGTCCGACGTGCGCGCACTAAAGTCCGACCATAGATATAGAACTTAAAATAACTACATGTATATCTATGAGTCCGACATGCGTGCACGCGCGTATGATGCGCGCGGAAGGAAAATACAGGGTGGCATTGGAGCCGGAGAGGAGCACGTGTTAATTTGCCCACGTGCGCACTGGGCGGAGCTTACTGGATCGGTCCATTGCATTGTATTGAGGGACAATAGGGAATTGAACATGCTAGGGACACCAGGCAGCACTTAGTGAACATTTGGGGGACAAATACGTTGGTAACGTGGTAATAATAGGGAGGTTTCGCAAGCGAACGGATACGCTTACACTTACGTTTAGCTATCCGTATCCGTTTTTTACTTACGTGTAGCGAGCGAGATATGCGTCTCGTCTGCACGTTTAGCGGATAGTGAGTGGCGTATGACGTCATACGTGCAGACGACACGCATATCTCGCTCGCTACACGTAAGTAAAAAACGGATACGGATAGCTAAACGTATTTGTAAGCGTATCCGTGCGCTTGCGAAACCTCCCTATTGCGTTCCTAACTTTTACTAGTTTTAGGCCTGAGTGTGCTTTGCCGGCGTGCGTTGGTGTCTAGGCTGCATGATCTTGGGGATATAGCCTCGACCTCGGTTATATGAAGTTGTGTTCTGAGATCAGAAAGACGCATCTCAAAAAAGATGTCACCCGAGCATATTCGGTGAGCAAGGCTGTAGGGTATAGCTATAGGCTCTCTTTTTTGTATGGAAAGGGCGGAATGAATTGAGGGAGAGATATATTGATGACTGACAAGAGAGACCTGTGGGTTTGGAGAGTAAATTTGATAGGAAGCCCTGATTTGATTTTTAAGTGGACGAGAACATCAAGGAACGAGATCATCGAGTTGAAGCATTCATGCGTGAATTTGATTGTGGGATGAAAGGAATTACAGAACTGTGTGAATGTGTTAAATGTGTCTTCATCCTGCAGTGGGTCCAGATAACAAAGATGTCATAATGATCGCCACCATGCAGTGATATGGGTACTGTACGGGGTCTGTGAAAGAATGAGACTATCTAGGCTACAGTCAAAAAAAGGGAAACCCAAATGTTGGGACTATCATTGTTTTAGTGAAGTTCTGCATGTACATTAGAGACACACTCTCGGAAAAAATGGTTCGGATAACATTGTTAACTTATTTCTTATGATGGGACTGCGGTTTGGCCGAAGTCAATTGAGCGTGATCGGCTGACTGATAAGGTTTACGTACAAAACCCCAAGACAACGAGGTTTTTGAATAGAAAGCTGCTGGACCACATTTTGCGAGAGTGTGTCCGTAATGAAGCCTGCCGGTAATGCTGAGCCTGCATACTGCCAAAGTTACCAGTGGCATCCCTACATGATTTTCTCGTACAAATAGGACCCATGTTGGACCCTAATTTTATCAAATCTGCTCTTAGATAATAGCCCAAAAGCTAGGGAGATGATCCTCGGCTATATTCGCACGATTCCACCGATTTTTAAACTAGACGGTCTCGTTTTTTGCAAAAAATTGTGGGGGCACTTTTTATGCAAATTAACGACGCGGAAGCGTAGAAATTTTGAAACCCTAATCAAATTTATTGCGCCCGCTGTTGGTCTTATTGCGCCATTCTGATGTATCTTCTGTTGAAAAGTACATGAGTGATTTGATTGATTCTTGTACTAAAAGAAAGCTTATGAATTGGGCTTTCACTAGATTTTGGAAAGTGCTACATGCAGAACTTCACTAAAACAATGACCCGACATTTGGTTTTCACTTTTTCATGACTCCCCCTGTATTCTGCCCATAAAGAGGTTGGCATAGTTGGGGGCAATGTTGCTGTGCCCATGGCTAGGCTGTGCCTTAGTACCTGGAGGTGTGCCGTTGAAATCGAAGTTGTTGAAGATAAGGATTAATCTGATGAGATTGGTGAGAGTGGGGGTCGAGGGTGAGTGTTAAGGGCGATTGTTGAGTGTTTCGGCACATGCGCTGATGCCTTTGTTGTGTGGGATGTTGTATAGAGACTTGACATCCATGGTGGCAATGAGTGTGTTACCAGGGAAAGGACGATTCATTGATGCGTTAAATTTTACGGAAAAAAAATCTTCGGATTGGATGTATGAGGGTAAAAGTCTAACAAGGGGTTTCAAGTGAAAATCAATTTATATAATTAGGGCCTACATAAATTTTTATTGTACATGTATTTGTATTATGTCCCCTGATTACAGAATGCTCGGACGGTTCGCGGAAAATCAAAGATGAGTTTAAATGCGACAATATAGAAGACTGCTATGATGGATCTGATGAAGGTATGTGAAGGGGAAAAAAATGACAAGACGTCACTGACGAAGGTGACAACGACACTACGGCAATATACAATGACAGTGGTAAACACAGGTGGCAAAGTCCTGGCATCGACCACAGCGACGACAACTTTATGACAGCAATGACGGTTGACACGGCGACCAAAATCGACGGCAAGGATGGTTGCATCGACTTCAGTGACAGCTGTCAACATGACGACAATAGCGACAGCGACAGTGTCAACTGTAACGACAGCAGTTGCAACTCATTGACAGTTATGACAACACAATGATAACGACGAAAACAGGAATAACAACGAACCACCAAACAACGGGGGACAAAACAATGGCTGCAACCGGAAGTGTACAGTGACGGCCAAAACTGCAACACCAATTAACTATAAAACTTAATGTCCATGCTATAATTTGTCTCAATCTAGCTCATCAAGGGTATAGCCCCATAAATGTGGCCAATTTACTGGACTAATACGTCCGTAAATAAAGTCCACACTTCCACCCATGGGCGTCGCCAGGATTTTTTCTAGAGGGGGCAAAAACATTTTTTGCCAAAAATGCTTGCATTTCTCAACATATTCTCGATTTATCAGTTTTAGAGGGGGGCAGGGACATTTTGCCTCCCCCCCCCACCCAACTCATTAAATTTACACCACTTTGTCTTCGCGCCTCTTTTTCTTTTCATTTTTTTTTTCTTCTTCTTCTTCTTCTTCTTTTTTTTTGCTTTTCCAGGGGGGGGGGGGGGCAAGTGCCCCCCTTGCCCCCTCCTCGCTACGCCCATGCTTCCACCATGTACAAAAAAACATGCCGAACTTTGTCAAATTTTGATTTTCACATTTAGGCTTAGTTTGTAGTTTATTTTTGCTTTAGAAGCGTACTCACCCTCTTTATAGGCTAATCAGAAAGTGCTGCCTTTTTCAGATGTCTAATTTTCGTGAAATTTCATGTTGAAATGTTGATACGCAAACGTGTGCAAACGAATCTGGACATTTCACGAATAATAGACATCTGAAAAAGGCAGCACTTTCTGATTAGCCTATAAAGAAGGTGAGTATGCTTCTAAAGCAAAAATAAACTACAAACTAAGCCTAAATGTGAAAATCAAAAAATTGACAAAGTTCTACATGTTTTTGTACATGAAGAGTGGCCTTTATTTACGGAGGTAGTCCAGTGAATTGGCCACATTTATGGGGCTAGCTCAAGGGCTGTACTCTTAACACTGCATTCTCATTAAGAAACTCCTATTGTTTTGTGTGTGTGTTTTGGTTCTTACAGAGTATTGTTACTATCCAACGGGCGATCTTTACAGTAAGTAACTTTCTTTACTTTTTGTTAATAACCCCAAAAAGAAAGTGAAACAAGTTTTGACATTGATCGTTATAGTTGATTATTTTCATGACTTCGATTGTAAATAGGGTTAATACGCCACTGTCAATTTAAACCAAGCGAGTGCTGAAGCTAACTATTGGTTAACCGTTATCATGACAAAAAAGCAGATGATGTAGTTTCCGTAAATTGATCATTGAGTCTTCATTAATTCCCCAAAAGTCCATGGATATGAACTTAAACGATGAGAAGATGCTTGTTGCAGACATATCATGCAGTGACATGTAGTCGCTAAATTACGTTGTCTAGCTGCGTTAAGGGAGTGATAGGTGGAATTGAAATGTTTGCTTTATCATAGTAAAGAAAATATATGATAGTGTTAAATCATGATGATTTGTTCGTGCTCCCCAAATTCTACAGCTTGCTACAGCACAGGAGAGAAGGTGGACATGGCATACACCTGCGATAATTACGACGATTGTTCAGATGGTTCTGACGAGTACTGCTTCCGTGAGTATAAAATCAGTTATTCTCCCTGTGGAGCAAGATACACTCAACCAAAAAAGAAAGTCCCCAAGTTTGTCTAACTCAAAAACTACAGGGCACATCTTATTCAAATTACGACTGATCAGTACAGAAATTCCTCAGCAATCCAGCCATACTCTTTGTTTGGCCCAAAACAGCGATAATGTGAACAAATTTTTGCAGTTTATGACAAATGGTACTTTTGTATACGTGCAAGGTGAGTGTGAACCACAACTTGCACGTACACAAAAGTGCAGATGTTTTCGGTATCATTTGTCATAAATTGCTTAAATTCGTACACATTACCACTGTTTTGGGCCAAATAAAGAGTATGGCTGGATTGCTAAGGAATTTCTGTACTGATTAGATTTGAGCGAGAGGTGCTCAGTAGTTTTTGAGACAAAAAAGTATTGGAAGGGAGGACTTTCTTTTTTGATTGAGTGTATAGACCCCTTTTATGGATGTAAAGCAGCCAAGTCTGTGTACACTTAAAGAGGTTGTGGAATGCTCGAAGACATTTCCGTCATTTTTCGGGTATATGTAGCCTAAGGTGTGATGAAATAAAAACCACTATTGTTTCTGTCATGATATGAGTACAAAAGGTACTTTTGAGAGCTGGTTTTCAGGTCCAGTTTCGACCCGAACGTGCAACTGTGTAAAAGTCGTCGTTGCGGGCAGCAAACAAAACACAGTAAATCGTGACGTAATAAACAGGACTCGTGTATGCTACTGTGCATCGGCAGTCCTGTTTATTACGTCACGATTCACTGTGTTTTGTTTGCTGCCCGCAACGACGACTTTTACACAGTTGCACGTTCAGGTCGAGACTGGACCTGAAAAACAGCTCTCAAAAGTACCTTTTGTACTCATTTCATGACAGAAACAATAGTGGTTTTTATTTCATCACACCTTAGGCTACATATACCCGAAAAATGACAGAAATGTCTTCGAGCATTCCACAACCTCTTTAAACAATCTATTATTTCTGTTCTAGCGGCGGGTAAAAAGTTCAGAATACATAAGCAAGGAATTACGTTTTTACCAGAGCCATGGAATTGGGTCGGCATTTTTGTTCGTTTTACACTAAGACGATATAGGCCTAGAGGATGAACATGGCGTCACTGAATTTAAGAGCATGGCAATGTAAATGTATACATGCTTGTCATCTTAAATCAATTTAAAATATATCTGGCATGTGACTGCACGCCATTCATCTTAGGCCTATACTGTAGGCATGTAGTTCAACAACATCGTCCCCATGTTGTTGAGCAGAACGCTTCCACAAGCTGCTCTCTCGATATTGTATAAAAGTTGAAAGCAGGTCCTGGGAACGAGATGTGCAGCTTACGGCCACTGGCACACAGAACAATTGTCTGGGTTAATTTTACCCAAGCAAGGGTGAAAACAGCAAAATTGGGTTGTCCTTTACCCAATTGTTGTGGTTAGAATTTTTGTTAAGTTAAACCAAAACTTGTACAGAGTAGAAACGAGTCACTGCTTTTTGCGACTTTAGTCAAGTCATTTTAAAGAAGTGACTCGAGTCGAGTCATTAGGTCAAGAAGGTCGAGTAGAGTCGCGTCACAGTGTGTAGTCGACGTATGTATCATTAATGTGTACATTATTCGCGAACATTATTCTAACGTGACATGAACACAATCAGGCACCGGCGTAAGTCATTGCAAATATATTTCACAAAGTTCTGCTTTTATTTTTTGGACTCAAGTCTTACTAGCCTTCCTCGAGTCGAGTCGAGTCATTCTGATGAGGCTCTTGAGTCGAGTAGAGTAGAGTCGAGTCATTTGCTCACAATGACTCGAGTCGAGTCGAGTCATTTACCATTAAGGACTCGAGTCGAGTCGAGTCACCAAAAATTGTGACTCGAGGTCGGACTCGAGTCGAGTCATCGACTCGAGTCATTACAACTCTGAACTTGTGGTCATACCAAACTCAATTTAATTTGGTCTTGTGTGACCAACAAGTTTTGGTTGAATTTAACATAAATTTTAATCCAAACAATTGGGTAAAGGACAACCCATATTTTGGGTGGTTGCAGTTTTCACGTGCACCCTTGCTTGGGTAAAATTAACCCAGGCAATTTTTCAGTGCACTGGCAATATTCTCTACGCACGTGTCGTGTGGCGTTATTTAAACTCGGATAATGGGTTATGACACAAAACCTACCCAATGAGAGTTTAGTCGAAACCGTCAGCGTCATTAGCTGTAGTGTACACGTAACGGGTAAAATAACGGCACTCTTAGACACTCGGATCTGAAAGGCTGACCAAGATTTTGCTTCGTATGATTTTCCCTTACAGGAAGCAGCACAGGAGAAATGGGCTATTGTGATGATGACTGTGAGTACGATGTCTTATATGAACAGGTGTGCGATGGCGAGGTGGATTCTTACAATGGGATGGACGAAATGAATTGTGAGTATTGATGACTCATAAGACTTCATCAAGCGACCCCCTCTGTCCTCCTACAACAATGAGAGCAGGAGGGAGAGAAAACCGAAACTCGACAGTTTACCTATAGTTAGGCCTACAGTAATACATGTGCATCGAGCAAACAGTACAATACAAACAAACGTAACGTTTTTTATTTTAAATGACTTCGCAATAAAGGCAGGCACTGTGTACACCACCATGTTTTTCTCAGAAAAACAATTGGTCAAAGTGGTCAGAAATTGCCTCAGCTGGCACCACAGTGCATCCAGAATCCAAACACTTTTCAGGCCCTTAAGCGGAGTCCGCATCCCCACGCCGTTATTTTTTAGACCCACTTTTTGGGGGATCAAAAAAATGTTTGCCCCCAAAAAATTGTGTTCTGGATTAGCCCTTAATGTGAATGAAATACACGTTTGTTTCAAATGAAAAGAATTTGAGTGCTTTGACACATTTAGGCTTCCAGTGTGCTGATGGACTGTACAAGATCTGGGAAGAGTACTTGTTTGACGATTACGAGGATTGTCAGGATGGCAGCGACGAGAGGCCATCGGGCGGTACGTACAATGATTACTAACCCAGAAGGGGAGGGGCCAAGACAGAAAGGGGAGGAGACAATGAGAAGAAATCTGTCCCCTTCCTGCTAATAAGACATTTGTCGATCACCTTTTTAAAAAACAATTGTGTTGAATGTGAAGCTTAGAGATCATTTATATGACAGGCAACTATTGCATCTACCGATTGCTAAACAAAATGTTGGTCCAATTTTATTTAAGGCCCCCCCCCAAAAAAAGTCTCCGGTTTCTGGTGTGCGCGCGTCGCCGTAGCCATGCACATTGGCAAAATAAAAACTTCTTTTTTTTTCAATAAAAGATGATGTCTCAAAACCGCCAAACTCACTGGTTTGACTGGAATCCTGCTGCTGCACAATTTTAACGTGTTTTTAGGTTTGGGTTATCATCGAGAATAAGCTTTATGTTGCCTCTCTGGACTCCCATATATTTGCACTAAGTCTAGTCAGGCACCATTTGCAGTCATCAGCCACCTTTTGAAGCAAAAAAAAAACAGGTTAAAAAAGAAAAAAGCCGCGTCGCCACACCACTTTTTGGGCAAGCTCCATACCAGAAACTGGATACCTTTTTTGGCCTAAGGTTAATGTGCAACTTGGGCCAAAGTGAACAACAAGATTCAGATTCAACACTATCGAATTAGTAAAGTGGATCTTATTGCAAGTTGACATCAGAAAGTGAAGACGAACCTCAACTTCTAGACCGTGCAGATTTTGGTCCATGGCCTAACATTTTGTTCTCTGTAGGGCCAGAGATCATTGCACCGGTCAACCCTGTCCTTGAAGAGCCGGACGTGGTGGAATCATGCCAGTGGCAGGAGTGGGGTGCCTTCTCCGCCTGCAGTAATGACTGCGGGGCAGGGACACGGTCTAAGACCAGGAGGTGCGTCTGCCAGACCACCAGCTGCACATCCAAGGCGGACGAGACACAGACAGAAAAATGTCGAGGGTCGAGTTGCCCAACTGAAGCCAGTAAGTCGGTTTCGTCGGTTACAAGATAGGCCTGTGATAGGCATCTCCATAAAATGTTGAAAATGATGTCTCAAATGTGCTTCTTTTACAAATTATATGAAACCATTATTAAATTCGTAGGCATTGGTGACAATAATGATTTCAGCCGCATTGTTGACGTAAGGTATCCTAATGCTATAATTTCATCAAACGGTACTGGGTGTAATGTCTACATCCGTCCCTGTAATGTTTGTTTTTCAGTTCTTTTCGCTATCTCGCATGTATAAATATCAATCTTGGCGCGTAGCACAAAATTTAATTAAAAAAAACAAAACAACCAATTTTCCTGAAGACTGAATGGCGCTCTTCTTGCTCAAACATGAGATTTTCTCAATAATACGCTAGTTGGAGAAATTCATTTACAGGATTTTTTTGTGTTTGACACCAAACTTATGAAGTTACTATGTCTTAATTAGCCTAGGTCTGATTCTTTTTGTGGTAACTGTATCTTGATCTTAAGTTAGCGGGTGTGGTACTCGCTCTTTGTCGGTGGCCCAGGGTCGTATCGTCGGTGGAGAGGATGCCGAAGTCGGTGCTTGGCCGTGGCAGGCCCAGCTTTTGTACAGGGGAAGCTTCAAATGCGGTGGTACCCTCTACAAGAACAAATACGTCATCAGTGCGGCTCATTGTTTTGACGGGTAAGGACAGACTTGTTGAAGAGAAAATTAAAAAAAAAAAAGAATAACTTGAAGGCATTAGGCCTACGTTTGTTTTAGAATGCAAACGATGATTAGACTGGAGTAATGCACCCTGCTTGGCTGATTAGATTTGGGTTCGGCAATTGCCACGTAAGATCAGCCGTGTTAAGAACTGCAGTATAGAAATCAAACCAAAGAACTGATAGCAAGGAAGAGGTCTGAACAGAACATTGTTTTATCATTATGTGCTATGAAAAAGACTAACGGGCAAAACGGTATGTTAGAAAACAGTTCGTTACTAGTGTTACTAGTGTTAGTCTAGCATTAAAACCAAGAAGGCAATAGAATACCCTTGAAAATGGCAAAACGAAAATTAGAAATAAGTTTAAATGGGACACAAATTAGGGTGCCGATTTTCAAGGATTGCGTTGAAAACAAATTGCATTGCCTGGGCCCTTTAAATATAGTCCATTATTTGTAATTTGTGCATTTTGTTCGTTTGAAGCAACAAAAGTGTTCAAAATCTAAAGAAGGATACTGAACAACTAACCTGATGAAGTTTCAGCTCAGCTTCAGCTGTATATTCTGAGAAAAATAGCATTCTAGGATCTCAATTTCAAATCAAAAGTTGCTGAATCATGTTTTGAATTTGTTTTGAATTACAGCTATACGCGATGTCGTGCACTGATCCGACGAATTATAGCAACCGCGTGCACCTGTGCGTCGTGCCAATGCTTGCGCGCGCTGCGCCGAATAACAAAACGAACTACTAATTTAAATTTTCCTACGGTGCATCTTAAGACGCACCGTTGGAAAGGCCTTCTTTCGTTGATTACTTCAAAATGACAGCTTGCCAGAATGAATAATTTCACAGGGAGTTTAGTCCCCTTACTATCTTTCAACCAAGTATGTTTTTCAACAATAATTACGCCAATTACTTTTCGGATAGCTGCAAATGATGGACTATAGCTTTAATTAAACTCTAGATACCGGTGGAATAATACTACACACAGTATAGGCATCAGCCCAGACAATGCGAAATATGTATGGAACTGACTGATATACTGAGCAACAGCTGAGCCAGCAACGTCTATAATATTATATCTGAATTGTGTCGACCCCACCAGGAAGGACCAAGCCAGCAGCTGGTCGGTTCGACTCGGCAATCGCTACACCTACCGCAACCCTAGCGGAAGTCAGATCCACGAGAGCAATGTGGAATCCATCCTGCGATCGCCGAACCAGCCCTACAACTCCAGAACGTTCGACAATGACATCGTCGTCCTGGAGCTCACGACACCAGTAACGAACCCTACCGGCACCATCAGCAATGTCTGTGTCGACACCGACGCTGACAAGACGTTTGACTCCTCCTCCAACTGCTACATTTCCGGCTTCGGATTAACCGAAGGTAAAGTCTGATAAGGTGTACATATCCGGAGATTCGTCAAAAGTAAATTTTCATCAAAGGCCTGATGTGTCACAGAATCTCAATATCTTACATTTACGACAAAACATGTTGAAAAAGAAAAACCGTTTTTTTGACGTGGCATTGATGTTTGGCTGATTTTTTTCCCAGCAGTGAGTCAAGCTATCAAACCTTGAGCCAAATTGTTAACATAATATGACTTATGCCGTATGAATGCACACGCATAACAGTTTGATATCACTTCCTGTACCCTAGTTTCAGACTTACACATGAAACACATGCATGGCGTTCCTAACGTACATTTGTGTTTGAAGCCTTTTTTTTTTTAAGAAACGTGTGATTGAACAGCGCTCCAACAGCTTGATTTTTGAGGGCCAAAATACTCAGAGTGCTACCTCCTGAGTGAACGTTGGAAAAATCACTTGGGTGGGTCTCGAACCCACCTGCTTTTTAGTGCAGAAGTCTTTAAAATATTCTTAGCTGAAGTTCATTTGCACGATAATTATATCGTTAATCATATCGTTTGTTCCCCCCCCACACTTTTTTCTTCCTTGAATAAATCTTGTAGCCTATATATCTATAGCTCAGAATAGCTGAATCAATGACTCCAAACTCGAAAACGATGTTTAAATGATGATATTTTGCTCAAGACATGTAATTGGTTAAAGTGGTCAGAGATTGCCTTGTGCTGCTCGCTCGCATTAGCTCTGATCAAGGTATCTCGTTTCCCCTTTGTCAACATTTTGCAGACAATGGTAACGTCGCCAGCAAACTGCAGGCAGCCGCCGTACCTTACATCAGCGCTCAATCCTGCGTGGAGTATTATGGATTTGGAATCACCAACAACATGCTGTGTGCCGGGTTCCCAGCCTTAGGAGGGGTGGACTCCTGTCAGGTATAACATCCCTTTTTTTCCCTCACCAAAAGATCCATTAAGCCCCGCCCCATTTTGTTCTAACCAATCACAGCCGTGACTTTTATTGTCCGACCTGCGTGCACGCGCGTAAAAAGCACGCGGCTGGAACGTGCATGCTCAATTAACCTATTGCGGTAGAATCGCGTCAACGCAGCTTGTGAAATATTGTCCAATTACACGATATACAAATGGACGCGGATGGCGCAAAATCTGAGACAAACACAACTTAACGTATACAAAATTCCATAGGGTTGTCTAAGGGGCGTGGCTAATTGGCAAACGGCGATAGGTCCATCAAACAAAGCGGTTCTTTTTATATGATCACTAATATTCCACACTTCTATTCGCGGGGATGAGCGCTGCACAGTGTTTTTTGGAAAGCATAAGAATTTTCGGTATCTGCATCGAAAAGTTAACTTTTTTTATTAAGAACGTTTCGTCCATTTTTATTTCTATTCAAACTGGTTATCGAATCGTCCGCAAAACGTCAGTCGTTAACTCATAATGGCTCGGCATGCATGAAAAAAGCTATCATCGCCGCATGACGTACATTTTTTCCCTCTTTACATACAAAGGTTTTCTTAATTTTGTTCAACAAATGATCGTGTTTATAGCAACTCATTGAAATTGGCCCCTTGCAACTTTGCAGAGAAACCAGATTGAGCTAGTCTTAAATTATCGACACTGGCCTTATTATTATAGACTATGTTAGTATTTATGTAAATATGTAATGCAATGTTAAATGCAAAGTTTGCGGAAACACCATATGGGAATAATTTCTCAAAGTAAGAGAATATGGTTCTGAATTCTTCAAAGAACCGCAGAGGTATAAACTCGACGTTCCGGTCGGTATGCTCTGACCGTCTTCAGCACGGTCAGAGCATACAGACCAGAATGTCGAGTTTATTCCTCTGGTTCTTTTCAGAACCATTCTCTTACTTTGAGAAATTATTCCCACATGGTGTTTCCGCAAACCTTTCATTATTTATAGTGTCTCCAGCATGAAAAGTCTCAAATCTTAGTAATGCAATGTTGTTTGACTAAAACAGAAGACCTTTTTTTCTGTCTCCTTCAGGGCGACTCGGGCGGGCCGTTGGTGTGCACCGCACCGGACGATCCATCCAACCCGCAAAGCCCCCACCGTTGGTATTTGGTGGGCATCACCAGCTGGGGCTACGGCTGTGCGCAGGTGGGCATTCCTGGTGTGTACGCTGACGTGTCTCGATTCGGGGATTGGATAAAAGGTCTGTCTTAAGCACCGCCCTCGCGCGTGTGCGGGTGCGCGTGCGCGTGCCTAGCCTCCGCGGTGCCCAATCGTACCTGATGTGGCGCCCTTGTGACATTATCACAAGTGCTTATTAACATAATAGAATTAAACATAATTGAAGACCTGATGAATATTATTAAGTTATTGTAAGTAATAGTACTTTTAAAGTCATTTGAAATCACCAATGCGTTTACAAGTTTCACAGCTTTACTAAGACATTTTGTTTCCAGTTTTTGTTGTTTTATGATTAACTTTGATGAAGCCTTTATTGAGCGTTTATTAAGTGTTTATTTTTATATTTGTTCCCCTAATTTGTTCTTTATTGCAAATTTATTCGCATGTTTCTTTAATTGGTGAAATCTTGTTATTGTTGCACACAGATTTAAAATTCACTTTTTAATTATTATTTCTATGTTTTTTTTTACATATTTTTGCCAAGATGTATTCGTTATTTATTGTTTTGCTCGTGATGTTCACTGTGTAAATTTCCTGCAAGAAACTTGTTCTTTAAATCCATTTATTTGAAGATTATTTTATCAATCTGTTCGAGCATGTTTCAATTTTTTTTTACAATTGTTTGAGCAACAATTATTTGTGCAATGTTTCTTTGTGTGCAGTTTATTTCACATTTTCCTTCGTTTTTCTTCCAGCTACAATAAATGATCATTCGAGGTTCTTAACCAATTTCAGTTTTAAAACCTTTGTTGATTTTGTTTTTGTTTTGTATGTTAGATAATTGTTTATTGATTTTCTTTCATGGGAAGTGGTATAGCATGTAAGAGACTAGCTGGAGTTCTGATAGGCGGAGTTTAAACCTACCCCTTGCATGGAAAGTAAAAAAAGAAGGAAAGATTTATTCTAAACCTGTTTTATAACAAGTGGTGTTGTGGAACATGTATTTGCTAACGACATAATCGCTTTGTTCTGATTATTTTTCAAATGGATATAGCATTTGGGAAATAACCTCTTCACATCTACATTAAATCAAATTATCTATAAATCTGTTGTGTAATATTTGTTCTAAGCCGGCGCCAATTTCATTTTTTTCAAAAACAACCCAGCACCCGACCACTTCTTGGTCTCTATATCGAATAATTTTGGGATGCATGAGGGCGCACATTCTGAATCAGGCAAAGGTAGAAAAAGAGTCCGGCTGCACATGGGCGACCGGGACCACTGTTGCAAAAATCCCAAAATAGACTTGAACAATTCAATGGCGTTACCAGCGTGGGGTTAAGGGGTTATTCGGCCAGCCAATATTTTGTAAGGACTTCCCCTTTCCATTCAAATGCCCTTTTTTCACCAACGCTTACCCCCCCCCCCCAATATTTGTAAAGAGTGCCCTTCTTTTGTTAACAAGTAACTATTTGATTTTACATTGCAGCTCCGATGTGCAAGTACCCTTTTCAAGAAATTTTAAAAATGACCTTGCTACGCCCCTGCAATTATTGTAGAAATTTGCTTGTGAAAAATATTTATAAAAAGTCATGTCTAGTTGTAAGGCCAGGCTTACATGACTGACCGAGTTTACTAGTCCCTGTCGCGGGCCAAATTACAGGTCGATTTGCTTGAATTAATGCATGACGTGGACAGCGCCTATGGTTCCAGACCAGTCCATCGACCTCAGTGATAATTACATGCACTTCCATCAATTATTAAAAATACTCACAAATTTTCCAAGGTATTTGAGACACATATCAAATTAAAGCTTGTTTAATTATCTTTCAGTTTCTGTTAAATTTTTTTGTTAACCAATGTGTTAACCAATGACTTTTGGGGGAAAACTCCATCCAAAGATGATCACCCCTAAAAGTAGTACACTCCATAGCAAAATAGAGTAGTTTTAGGGGCTAATTTCATCCCAAGTTCACAGAAATACGAGATCGCAGACCTTTGCACGGCTTCCACCCTTTTTTTTTTTTTAAACAAACCCTCAACTTCATGGCCCTCAAAATGCTCTAATACCGGAGAATTTGAGGGCATGCAAATCGTCGGCGTAGGCAATTTTGGGCCGATTTACTAGCCTGCACCCCCCCCCCTCACATGCAAGGCCTCGACTCCATTGTTCCCAGCGATTTTAATTGGAGGAATGCCCGGCAGCAGATTATTAAAAATAAATGAAACAATAGCTGCAAAAGATGAGCCACGTGACAACAGTAAACAAAGAACGAATAAAACAAAGGACCAAGGCTAATATTGTCATTTAATAATGAAATACTGTATTTTTCTGATCCTTTCACCTCGTAAGTAATAGAATACCAATACAAAAGCAAACAACAACTGTTGTAATTTTTTTTCAGACAAGGGTGTCTTAATAAATGGTTTGTATCCCAACACTTCCAAGGCAATTAACATAAAAAGGGTGTGTCTTAACCTTGCCTATGACAATTCTGCTGAATGTTGAATAATGATTCTACAGGGTGAGTTAAAAAAAAAAAGAGCAGAACCCAAACCCAATAAAATATATTTCATATTTTAAAAAATATGTAGCGCCAAAAATAATAATGACTGAAAAGGCAATTTCGTAAGCTACTTTTAGATGAAAAAATTACTGTAATTGCTCAATCCGTTCAAAGAATATCACCATTTAAACACAATGACCCTTAAACCTGTCTCGTCCAAAAAAGCAATTCATTGTGCGATTTGACTGTTTTGAACAACAAAGACAATGACACATAATACTTGTTTCAACAACTGTCACTAAATGTAGTACACAATATCTTTATTAACAACCCTGGTTAGGCAAACAATATGATTTATAAAAATGTACTTTTTGTAAAGGACGGGTCTCCAAAGGGATTCTATTGAATATTTTTAACGTTTAAACTGAGATTGTATCGCTGGTGATGTTTAGACAATTGCGACGACGATTCTTGAAATCACATTTTTTGGACGAGACGGGTTTTAGGGTCATTGTGTTTAAATGGTGATATTTTCCGAACGGATTGACCAATTTCAGTCATTTTTTCATCTAAAAGTACCTCATGAAATTGGCTTTCCAGTCATTATTATCTTTGGTGCTACATATTTTTTAAAATATGAAATATAATTTTTGGGGTTTGGGTTCCGCTTTTTTTGACCCACCCTGTACATATCAAATATAAGGAAATCCCCTGAGTCGATTGATAAAACATGATTTACTTTGTTGAACAAAAATGAACCGAGTATCCAGAAAATCAGCGCCACTCCTCTGACAACTTGAATTGTTAGAAAATCCATAATACCCTGTTCCACTTTACAATAAAGTACAACTTCGCACCTCTTGACTCAAGCATTTCAATATACTTAAAAAAAAAAATTTAATTGAAAAGATATCCAACTTTCACATGCCCAACCTTAATATACCATAACGTACCATATTAAATACCAGTAAACCATACCATATTAAAGGGAATATACATCATTTGCTTTTGCTGTAATTTCAGAAATGGATGGATTTGGGGGGTAGATAGTAAAAAACAAATATTGTTAGGCCCAAAAAAAAAACTCGGTCTCTGGTCAGACCAAAGTTCCGAAATTGACGCGGCGATGCGGCTTTTTTTTTTTTTTTCAAGCTTGGATTGTACAGACAAGGTGGGGTACTATTTTGCTTTTTTTTGGTGTCCTCATGTACATTGGTGTCCTCCATAATTTGCCTTGGTGCTCTCGATCATTTGCCTTGGTGCAATTTCCCATTCCTTGGTGCTCTTTGGTAACAAAAATTGAGGAGGTGCGGCAAAAGAGGGCGCTGTTGGAGCTACCGCGGAACATTTTGGAAAAAAAAAGATTGACGCGCATGATTAAAATCGACGCGCGCGCTGACCAGAGACCGACTTATTTTTTTTTTGGCCTTACACTGACTTTTTTTTACGTTTTAGGTTGGAAGATGCTATGAAAACCAAGAAAAACAATCATTTTCATGTAGTCTGGTTCCCTGACTCTATTTAAGATGAAATGGAGCAGTTTATAGACGTTGGGGAATTGTTACATGTAGGTCAGGAAACCAGTCTAGCTGGCTTGTACCCGTTCATAGGTGTGTCATCGATTGCAAACAAATGCGGACTAACTGAATATGGTCAATTGGAGCCAGGATTTGAAAAAAGCGTTGGAAATTGATACGAAAAAAAAACCACTTGAAAATGACGGTACACCAGGTACCATGATTGTACAGGATGCTTTAGACTGTCATTCACTAACAGTGCAGCAAGGTATTTCAAAATAATTTGGTAGGTTTATTTTTTTATGTTTGCAAATATTATCTTTTCCCTTTAAAGGTATTTCAAGCATACACTGTTTGAACATCAAAACTATTGTTTTTATCTTTAAAAATATATCTACAAATTAAAATTTAGAAATATTCATGAGCTGCTCAATGACTGAAATTAAATAATAGAAAATCCGAATTTAGAATTAGCATGCCATGCATGATATAACAAGTTTGCTTCTGAGAATATATGACAAAATAAACAAGTCTCATTTAACACACTCCCACTACCGTTTATATGCTCATTCACAAAAATAAAAATGATTCAATATTGTATTTCAGTTTCACCCTTCATCAACACAAACGGGACTCGAACCCACCACCTCCTGCTTACTTGTCTTGCCACTCCACCACCACACTTGCCAGGGTCAGCTGGCTGGTTCGAATGAATCGGATATAGACGAAATGTGACCTGTCATCTCAAAGTGAGCTTAAAGTTGGACTTTTTAAGAAACGAAATATTTATATATATCTGGATTCTGCAGAACAAGAGCTTTCCAATGGTATGCAACATTATGGGGTACTGAGTTCGGTAATGAAAATATAGAACACGAACTTACAAAATGTACTTGAAGTTGTAAAACTGATTCCTGAGAAAATGGCATTTACAAATCCTGCAGTTGTGTGACAGTGAATGAACAGTCAACTTATACTAAAGGGATGAAATTGGTTAAAGTTTTTTGACGGAACAAACAAGAATTGGAGGTGAAACATGACTTAGAGATCAAGGTTTACCTTCAAACAAACAATCGACCACCCTTTAAAATGTTGGCTTCGCCCCACCGTACTGCAAACTGATAATTTACGACTTAAAGCTCATTTTGTGGCGAGAGGTCACAGACTGAGCATGTTATCACTTGTAAATTCACAGTGCAGTGACCCTTATCATCAATAGCCAAAGCACTGAGCCAGCTATTATTTGGAACTGTCCCTTGACGGACTATCTGAACAAATACTTGAGCTTGTGCGTTCACCTATGAAGAGGTCGTCTGTGCGTGTGCCATGATAGCTTGCTCAGGCCGGTCTGCAGCAGGGGGAACCACAAGCAATCACTGTTTTTCAATGACTAGATTTTGGGGGAGCTTGCCAATGTAAATTCTTTGTTTGTTTGCCCTTCTTTATCAACAAATTTATTAGAACTGCATATTCAGTACTGTCTGAGGGCTTGCTGCCCTAAAAATTCCATATTGTACTTGTTTCATTTTTTGGCCGAATAAATAATAATAACAATAATAAACGCAGTAATTTATATGCAATGTAAGAAAACGGTTATATTTATGGAATGGCCAAGTGCCTTTCTAGACCAATGAAATTACAGCATCAAAGACATGATGTAACAGTACAGGTTTAGTAAGAACGAAACCACTTACGGCCAAAGCTATGGAGTTGCTTGGCACAAAGGCAAACATGTGCTTAGCACAACATATTTGCTTAAAAGATCTTCCAGCTGAGCGAAAATATAAAAAAAATAAATTGGGAACAAGTCAAGAACATACATACATCAGAATTTTCAGGTTGGTAAGGCCCGACACAATGTCCACAACTTGTCTGGAACTCGTCTCGGATATGAATGGAGACGGGCCTTTACTTGTTTCTAAGCAGAATCATTATGTGCTTAGCAGCTCCACAGAGTTGGCTTTTGGTAACAAAATTTGTAGTTCTTTAAAGGGTAGACTTCCAGCGTTCTTTGTCAACGAGTTTCCCCCAAAGGCTGTTGAAGGGATGAATGTAATTGGTCGGCTGACCCTGCTGGTCCACCAATGGCTTGTTCTCATTGGCCCACTTGAAAATACTGCCCTCTAAGTTGAAGAAATTCCAATCTACCCAAAGAACAAGGGTAAGCAATGTGTTACTGTTCATGGATTAATTTTCCGTTAACTTTCTTTTATGCTGACTTTCTTTGGGGGGTTAGTATTTTAGAGCAAATATTGTTACACTGACTTAATAGAAGTTTTAGGTTCGTAGATGCTGGAAAAACCAAGAAAAACAATCGTGTTCTTGGTCGTGGTTCCCTGACCCCCATTAGAAGAAACGGAACAATTTACAGACGTTGGGAAATTGTAAGGTCAGGGAACCAGTCTAGCTGGCTTGTACCCATTCATAGTTGTGTAATTGATTGCAAACAATATGTGGACTAACTAACATGATAAATAAGAAGCAGAACTTGAAAAAATTGTTTTTTTCCCAACGCTGGTCGGCTGACCAGCGTTGGAAATTGATACAAAAATACCACTTTTCTTAAAAATGTCAGTACACCAGGTGCCATGATTTTACAGGATGCTTTAGACTGTCATTCACTAACACTAGTAACAGTCCAGTAAGGTATTTCGTGATAATTTGGTAGTTTTGTTTTTTGATGTTTGCAAATGTCGCATATTCTCTTTAAGTTGCCTCTGTGCAAAATCACTCATTTGCTCACTTGTATTTTGCCTCCCATTTATAAACATCTGGTAGCAGTGTTCCTGACAAAGATATTTTTACAGAACTTATCCATTTCTGTAATACCCCAACTCACAGGAATGACTTCATCAAATGTTGTTTTCTAAAGGTAGGTTTCCAGGTTAGCCGAGTCTCATGGTGCTGCACGATTTTAAAGAAAATGTTAAATGTTAAAGTAACATTTTACATTGTGCGAATGTGTTCACTTCGTTTTTAAGTACAAAGGGTGTGCTTTTGGGTTTCAATGCAGCCTTTGATTTTGCAGTGTACATGTCAAATAATATAAATCAGCAACAATGCACTCAACAGATCAACTGTTTTATAACTTCAAGGAGAGATAAGCTTGCAGCTGAAGGCACTTTAACATTCTTACATTTATACGCCGGGTCAGGCTTGGTTGCTTTCTGTAGTTTATCGGCCAGCACGGAGGATCGGTAGCCCACTGAGCAGTACAGGACAACTCTGGCCGCAACCTGCTCTGGGGACTGGCCTGTACAAAACAACACACGTAAAGTATATGTCTACTATTAAGCGAATATCTCTATGGGCTCTGCGCATGAACTACAGGGAATGCTGTGCAGTCTGATTTTGCAGGCTGGTTCCCAGCCCACAATGAGATTGGAATGAGGGAAGTGAGAGGTCGGGTGGGAACCAGTCTACATGTAGAAGTGAGAGTTACCGTCCTTGCTTGTGTGTGTTATCATCACCTAGGCCTATTGACACCTAGGCCTATTGACAACAAACCAGGGGGATTTCTGGCACTGATAGTGTTGTATAAGCACAATGCTGTCTTTTCATATACAGAACCCAAACCCAAACCAAAACCTTGTTTGTAATGTTCATTAAAGGGAAAATACAACATTTGCAAACATCAAAAAATAAAACTACCAAATCATTTTGAAATACCTTGCTGGACTGTTAGTGAATGACAGTGTAAAGCATCCTGTAAAATCATGGCACCTGGTATACTGTCATTTTCAAGAAAAGTGGTATTTTTGTATCAATTTTGAATGCCGGTCGGCCGACCAGCGTTGGAAAAAACTGGCTTTTTTTCAAATACTGGCCCCAATTGACCATCGCACTTGTTTGCAATCGATTACACACCTATGAACGGGTACAAGCCAGCTAGACTGGTTCCCTGACCTTACAATTCCCCAATGTATGTAAACTGCTCTGTTTCTTCTTATATGGAGGCAGGGAACCAGACTACAGGAAAATGATTGTTTTTCTTGGTTTTTATAGCATTTTCGAACCCAAAACCTCAAAAAAGTCAGTGTAACTATATTTGCTATACATTTCCAACCCCCCAATTCCATCCATTTCTGAAAATTACAGCAAAAGCAAATGATGTATATTCCCTTTAATCAGTTCTGTGTTTTATAGCTCCAAGGTCAAACAGACTAAAAGTATTAAATACAGATGGGGCAAGGTTGCATTTCCCAAACTTGTCCTGCAGATTTCTAATTCTAATGAGAATTTGTGTTTTTCCCCCTGCTCTTGTGGAAGAAAATCATGTGTCACTGTGGTTCCTCAAGGAATATGGCCCTGTCCCTACCACATGGCTACGGCCGGAAATAACACGCGCACCTATGGAAGCCACTGGCTAGTGGCTACAGCCACTGGCTAGCGGCTACAGCCACTGGCTAGCGGCTACAGCCACTGGCTAGCGGCTACAGCCACTGGCTAGTGGCTGCAGCCACTTCCCACTGACTCGTTTGTTATTGCTGGCCATAGCCATGTGATTCGGGCACGGCCTTAGTCTTCTCTTACAGTTGGCTTCTTGCATCATGAGTATCTTGACGCTCTCCATGTCCTCCGTCTCGAAGTTGACGTTGATGCTTTTGGCAATGTGACTGATGCCGTACTCCAAATCTGGTCTTGCATCCTACAATATACATGAACTAATAATAATTGATCTTCCCAGAAAGGTATATTTTATGGATGGAGGATTGGCCGAAGGAAGGGGTGGGGGTGGGGAAGGGGGGGGGGAGTGGAGGCTCATGCTCATAATTATTAAGATTCATACTCTGTTAAATGTCAATGACATAATTTTATTAGCACTTTATTCACAGTGCTGGCTGAGAGCTTGTAAAAAACTCACAAGCTTGCTCTCGTTGCTCAGGTTGAACTCGAACCCATACTTCCAGCTTACATTCAGATACATGTCTAAATGTATGCACTACTAAGCAGTCAAAACCTCATGTTAAAGGTAGAATGGACCATTTGTTTTTTTGTGTGCATTTTTTTTGTTTAAAGCAGAATTTGTTATTTCAAAATGTAAAGATGGATGCTTAAATGATCCGATGACATTTTAGGTCTGTTAATGCTGCATAATAGGGAGGTTTCGCAAGCGAACGGATACTCTTACACTTACGTTTAGCTATCCGTGTCCGTTTTTTACTTACGTGTAGCGAGCGAGATATATGCGTGTCGTCTGCACGTTTAGCGGATAGTGAGTGGCGTATGACGTCATAACTGATGACGTATCCGTCGCACTAAACTTATTCGTTTGCATGCGAAACCTCTTTGTTATATTTTGAATTGCACCGCTTCACAGATTCGCTCAATTACAAACCAACTACAAATGGAAATTTCCAAAAATGTGTCACTTGACATATCTTTGAAAATGACCCTCTTTTATTGTAATCTTGAAAATTTGGCAGCATGTCAGGAGGAATAATTTCACAGGGAGTTTATTGTCATTACTATCTTTAAACCAAGTAAGATTTTTAACAATAATTCGGTTCGTTACTCTTTAATAGCAAATGTCCACTCTACTACCCTGGGTAAAGAAATGGAATAAATAAATAAATAAAACTTTGAAAAAAAAACCAAGTCTGTTTTGGATTTAACCATTTTGACCATTCAACAAAACAAACAAGGGGTCATTTCATTTTAACATTTCTCATCCCCACTCTTAAATATAATGTACATCTTACAATAACAATCAACTTGCTGTGTTTTCCCGCCGTGCTGGCCGCACTGTCCGGCATGTCGGTGTTTTCCACCCCATCCATCCACTTCTGCAGGGTCGACGTTGTAACGAGCTTGACCGTGGGGAATTTCATCCGGATTCCCTGAATGGTGGTCCGGAGGGCCAAGGAGGTACTCTGGGCATGGGAGTCACGGGTATGAGACATTCTTTACTTTAGATCTTAATTTAAATGCAGTCACAGAGTACACTGCAGCAGCACTAGCCGTTGCTACTCACACGGGACTCAATATCCGGCCATGCTAAAAATGTTTTGTTTTGCGCAGCCGGCAGAAAATGTCCATTGTGATCGTACCTAAGGAAGTGTCATTATCCATAGCTAACTGTGGATAAAAATAGCGAGTTACTGTGTGGTAAGTCAATTTGGACACAGTCTTGTATCTTCTCAAGGGGGATTTAGAGTCAAGTATGTTGTTGGCCAAAAGACCTCTAACGTAGGGGTCAACTAAATTTCAAGGCGGCACTTGATTTACTAAAGCTCAGGGTCAACTCTGGTTTATTGTGCGCAGGGTGACCGTAACGTCAGAGCCAAACTCTGCTAAATGCACATCAAAAATCTGTCAGATTTAACGAAAAATCTGCCAAATTCCCCAGAATTACTCGAAATACACTATAAACACTTACAATCACATGCAGATTGGTAGTATTACCTTAATTAAGATTCAAATTTCATAATAAACAATCTAGTCACATAAAGACGTTGTGAAATTATTGATACTGAAATTTCAGGTAAAACACGGATCCGGCCAAGACGAAGTTCGTTTTCCAGTGAACCTCAGCACCTAGACCAGCCAACCTGTCCCATTATGAAAGGGTTTGTTTGAAAGGATTGAAGAGTTTTTTAAAGAGGTTGTGGAATGCTCGAAGACATTTCCGTCATTTTTTTGGTATGTATATAGCTTAAGGTGTGCTGAAATGAAAACGACTATTATGTCTGTCATGAAATGAGTACAAAGGGTACTTTTGAGAGCTATTTTTCAGGTCCTGTTTTGACCCGAACGCGCAATTTGTGTTAAAGTCGTTGTTGCGGGCAGCAAACAAAACACAGTAAATCGTGACGTAATAATCAGGACTCGTGTATGCTACTCTGCATCGGGAGTCCTGTTTATTACGTCACGATTTACTGTGTTTTGTTTGCTGCCCGCAACGACGACTTTTACACAAATTGCACGTTCGGGTCGAAACAGGCATGACAGGACTTGAAAACAGCTCTCAAAAGTACCTTTTGTACTCATTTCATGACAGACACAATAGTCGTTCTTATTTCATCACACCAGAAATGTTTTCGAGCATTCCACAACCTCTTTAAACAAATGTTCACTTTGTTGTTCAAATTTGCTTTTTTTCTGTCAAATTTATAACTATTTTTGCAGAATTCTGCCAGAAATCTGCCAAAAAATCCATTCTGTCAAATTTTCTGTCAAACTCGTTTTTTTTAACAAAAATTCTGTCAAAGTTAGCCGAAAATCGGCTAAAACGGTCACCCTGATCGTGCGGTTCTTTCGTTCATCAGCACCTGCACCGGCAACCTCGTCCCCAGGGTGTCGAGCAGTACGCGCCCACCACTACCTGCTCTCTCTGACTATTGGAAACGCCGTTGGAAATAAAGTAAGCACTGGGGACGAGGTTGCTGCAACGGTGATATCGAAATGGCCGGCTGGCGCGCGCAGGGAAAAAGGTTAATCCCCCAACTTTTGCTCGAGCCGCTCAGGCGCGATCGCATCAAGTGTGTGTGTGTGTGCAACGTCGTGACGCGTGGTCTTGAGAAAACAATGTTGGTGAGTAGTATACGCGTAACACATGCGCGTAAGTAAGAAACTTTGATTTGTCCAAAAGTTGTTGGTTTGAAATCATGATAAAAGTCATTGTTCACAAACTTTAACGAGATTTAGATCAGTCACTAGGGCTACTTTTTGACCTCAAAAATGATAGTGTAGAAGGCATACGGATGCCTTCTAGTTAAAAGCATATAGAGCAAGGCCTACGTAATATTAACCAATATAATAACAATAATTTGGTAAACTAATAACTAGTAGGCCTAGTAATGTTGAAGTTCTGTAAAATAAGGTGGGGGCACGGGAGCAACGGCCATCCATTTTAGGCCGGGCCTGTTGCCCCCCCCCCCCGAAGGAATGTTGCAACCTGAAGCCACTTTTTTCTTCATACATCATCTCACTAAAGGTCAGTCATCATTGCAAAAATGTTGAAAAGACATGAATCTGCATGGGGACTGAGCTGAAACATTTAATAGTGACACTGTTAGGAAATACTTAAAAAAAATTCTTAACTCCATAGACTGTGTACACAACCGCTGAATTGTCTTCTGGTAGTACTACATTCTTCCCCCCACCCAACCCTTGTGCCCCGTCCCAACCTTGTACTCCCCCCCCCCCCCCATCCCTGTTCAATGTGTGCATCAGATCTCAACTTCCAAGTTCCATTCGTATTATTAATTACAAGCTGATTTACCCGATCATAGATCGGGTAGGGCGTAGTGTTGGGGATGAAAATGTGGGGAGTTAAATGTAAACGGGGGACATAGTTGAGGAGACATGCAGTTATAGAAAAGCAAGTTCTGTGGTGTGATCTGAGACAATTTCTGACCACTAAAACCAATTTGAGCAAAAGATCATCTTTTAAAGTTTTGAGTTTGGAGTAATTGATTCAGCTACATGTATTCTGAGCAGTAAAATCATTATTGTAGGCTACAATTTTTATTTGGGGAAGAAAAAGTGGGTGGGGGGGGGGGGGCAAACAATGTCCCCGCTTCAAAATGTGTGGGGGAGGGGTTCCCCCTGCCCCCTGTCGATATACGCACATGATAATTATGTACCATGGCAACTGTCTGTTTATGTTCCCGTTGGTTTGTTAAATTGGCATTTTGTGAGGCAGTCGAATTTGGAAAACGTAGTGAAAAGGTTATTGTAGTACACAGGCGAAGGCTGATTGTACAGTTTTGACAATAAATCATAATGCAATAAAACGTGAAGGTGTCATTTGAAATGAAAATGTTGAGTGTTACCATAAAATGACTACAAATGGTCTGAATCATGGAGGAAGGTCATAATTAATTAAGTTTCAGTATTGGACTCTTCCACAAACGTCTTGAACTTCTTACAATTTGCGAGACCGTCTGCGAGGAAAAAGTCGATTCAACTTTTATTCAAGTTGGTTCAACCATTATATATAAGTCTTATAAGAGCAAGTTTTACTCGGCCTCCGAGAAATGTTTGCTCCTGAAAGGATCCGAGACCGCGGCTTCACGTCCGTGGAAAAATGTGGAGGGTGTCTTCCGCCGGGTCGGACACTTTTTTTGTCGATTTTTTTGTGACTGCGTTTAAGATCGCGATATAAACGTACAAACACCTATAGAAGGTTGTCGACGTACGCTGGTCAGGGTCAGGTGTGCAGCAACTAAATTCTTGATTGGGTTTTGGAAGCCAGGTCTTGAATGTTTGAAGCAATGCATTGATCCTTCGTTGATCCCAAACAGGCTCCCGAAATTATAACGCGACACTGAATTATACGTGGCGGGCAGCGAACTCGCACTACGCTCAGCCTTGGTGGATGCATGGAGCTATAAACACATGATGGAAGCAACCGACAGAGCACTATATCACGTCACATGCTTGTGCTTCAAATAGCGAGCACCGTAGACCCAACCTCGTTTCCAGGGTGTGGAGCAGGCTGCAGTATGCGTTGCCATCGACGGTTTTACGCATAGCCCGGAAGTACTACGCAGTGTAGACTTTCGATTGGTCAGACCGCGCAAGGCATACTAATGTTAGTCCTTCTGAGTATTCGTTGTACTCGGATCGGCGCAGGGGCGGCAAGCAAAGCATATGAAACAATAGGGACACTTGGTGGCCACGCACCATGGAGAATTTTTTTTTTTTGCCAAGGTCACCCCAGACTACCGTTTGGTGAACACTTTTGCAGAACGGCCGAATAGAACACGTAAACGAAACCCCTACGTTGACCTCGCTGACCTCGCACAGTCTAGACTCGCAGAAAAGCCAGCACGGGGGGCGGCCATGGCAGTCAACGTGAAAGCGCACACGACGGAAAATTCCTGTGCAAAACGCAGTCACGAAAAATCGACGAAACGAATCCGTACGAATTCCCGGTCCGTACGGGAAAATTAGGACGACTCGAAGTGTCCGACCCGGCGGAAGACACCCTCCGTATTTTTCCACGGACGTGGAGCGATTTTGGCGCCGCGGGAGCCCGCGGTCTCGGATCCTTTCAGGAGCAAACATCGTCTCGGAGGTCGAGGCCGAGTAAATAAGCCTAATTAAAGATGAAACCTCCAGGCCTACAACTTCATTTTCTCACTCCGAAATTCTCTGAAACTGATCTATATACATTCGGGATTCCCAAGCGACAATATTTACGGCCTCAGATCGACAAATTCGGCATTTGTACTCACCATAGTTCGGTTTTTATGACTGAGCGCAGCTCTCGCAAAAGGTAAAAAGCAAAGATACTAGCGCCGTATAGGGCTAGGAATGATCTCTAGCTAGCAAGACGTAAAAAGCAAAAGCTAGCTAGGGCAGCCGGCAAGTTCGCGCAAGGACTATAGTTAACCATTGGTCGACTAACGCTTGCCCGAACTCTGTCTAGTCGACGATGGTTAACTACGCTAGTCGACTATTTGGAACCAACCTACTGGGGTTGGTTGCTTCGCTGGTAACCATAGCCGCGCGCGTTCATAACGTACAGCAGGGAGCCAGGATCCAGACGTTTTGCAATGACATTTTGACCAGCGTTCGACAAGAGACGTTTGCACTTTGCTATTGGTGCGCAGGCGTAAGGTACGTCACAAATCAACCACTAGTCGACTAATGGTCCTTGCCCGAACTTGGCCTAGTTGCTTAAACAAAATCAACAGAGGGCGGGCTGTATTTTTTTAAGTTAAATAGATCTGGAATACGTAAACGAAATGGAATTCCACATTCGGTCTTGTGTTGTGCCGATAATGGCATTGTTTTTCGTCCTGGTTTTAATGAGCCTGTGTACACTTGAGACAGATGCATCTGTTTCGGAAACATGGGAGAATTTGAAGAATTCTGACGCCGTGCAACAAGCACAAAAGGTAGGCTAAACCTGCGCCGCAACAAAAGGTCCGTATTTGCATGCAATACATGCAGTAAACATGGTAAATGTTGCGTACACGTACATGACGTAGGCCTCGCCTATACGGAGCTGGGGGGGGGGGGAGCACACATATTACTAATTTCTTAACATGCAGACTCCCATCACAGGTACAAATATTATAGTGAATGATTCTTTTTGTGATTAATAACGACAAAGATTTGATTGAACAAACAAATATAACTTAAGGCCAAAATGATGATTTCAATTCAAATTCTTACCAAATTTTTAGCCACTCCTGCCCTTCAGCAGCGCGTTGCAGCTCTTCTGACGTCACTGTCGGGCTATTTATTGCTTTAATCACAGCTTTGGAGCAATCTCCGACAGCTCATCACTTCAAAAATTCTTTGTGACTGGCCAGTTTTCTAACATTTGTCCTCCCGATCTAACATTTAGTAGCAAACTATTTAGATGATTCCGAACACAGTACTTGTATCATCACCAAATGTTTAGGTAGGCCTAAGTCCCAAACAATAACAGTGTCTTTTTGTTCTCTTTTGGAACGGGGTTCTAAACTGCATGACTACCCATTAAAAATACATCATAATTGTCTGTGCATTTTAAATGAAGGCAAGTACAAGAATCAGTTGTGTCACCAATTGCCAAAACCAACCACTTATGTGCAAGCATGACTGCAGTGGGCATGATCTGGTACACAGTACCCTGTGGAGACATGTGCATAAATAGGGAACAAAAGAGTGTATACGTCCCACAGGGCAATTTCTATAGGTGGATACGTCTCCACAAAGTTATCACGATGCATGAAATAGATAAATGGATTTTACTCAAAAACTAGGAATTTCCAAGGTGTGTTGATTTGTCGCCAATTGAAGTATTTTATGTAAGGCATATGAAGTCCGAATTTCAGCCCAGGAAATTAATTCTGGTTAAAATAGGAGCATTTTGAAACTCTAAAATCTTAGTACACAAGAACAAAGAAATGACTCCACAAGGATACAAATTCCAGTATGTGTGTGTTTTTGTTTATTTCCCTTCCCCTGCCTTTTCCCCACACCCTCCCAAATTTAAAAACATAAAATATTACATAAATAATTTAAAAAAAATTTAATTACCTTAAATTAAATAACATTAAATTAATGAAATACTAAACTAACTGCACCCTTACCAATGGATGAATCTCATAATTATTGAAGTCTGTAAACATGGTAAAAGTAATAAATCCATCCTGTATAACAGCGGAAATTTTCTATCGATGTAGCTGTTTCTTCTCTCTTCCAGGAATGGTCTCGTGCAAGCGCTAAAACACAAAGTTTCATCAATAAGGCATCGAGTGGAAAGCTTACAGATGACATCACCACTTACATCGACAATACCTTGATGAAGCTGTTTAGTATCAGAGGTAGGGTCAATACTGCAAGCTACAAACATATTTTGTAAGATCATCAAGATTTTGCTTTTTACTTTGAGAGAAAAAGTCACTGAGTAGTATAAGTTTTAAAACGATCTATTGCTTCAATTGCCATGGCATATATCTGTACGTGTATTAACCCTAATCCCTTGGGCTCTTTTATAAGAAAGTATCCTGAATCCGCCAAAATCCATCAATTTTGCCATGCAAAAAACGTTGGTGGCCAGTGAGTCTATCAGAATCCACCAGTTAGGCGGGAGTAAACTTCTGTTGAGATCCTGAATCCGCCAAAGTCCCCCAACAGCTCAATATAGAGGTATCCTGAATCCATCAAAATCCTGCAGTTCCGCTAGGCTTACAATCCTGAATCCATCAAAGTCCCCCAGTTTGTGCAATATGGAGGTATCCTGAATCCGCGTCGACAAAATCCCCCGAAACAGGGGGTTGGATTTTGATGGATTCAGGTACGTTAAGGTTACAGCAAGAGGCTGTGGGTTCAGTTCTCGGGCAAAGTAAAGTTGTGAAGTTTATTCACATTAGTGGCAAAAGGTAGTGATGGGACTTTAATCCGGATTTTAGAAAATCAGTTTGAATCCACTGTTAGTTTCGATTTAGGAAACGGGAAACCGTTCAACTGAACTGTGACTACAGCATTCTTTTGTCATTCTTCATCCACTGTTATTTGTGACCTGACTTGTGATGGATGTGTAATTTGACCTGCGACGGTCTCAGCTAGATATCTTATTTATATTGGGTTTTGCTGACTCGGATGGGACTCGAACCCACTTACTGCTTACTTGTGAAGATGTCTTACCACTCGACCACCAAGCTTGCCGGGTCGGCTGGCCAGTTTCAGTCTGATGTAGAAGCGGGCATTGCACCGCAACCAAACCCACTATACTGCACTAGTAAGCAGGAGGTCATGGGTTCGAGTCCCACCCAAGTAAGCTTGTGATATAAAAATGTTTGGTCGCCGTACCTGCTGATACATCAGACTCGAACCAGCCATCCGACCCCAGCAAGCTCTGTGGTAAGATGTCTGGTTGTCTGCACAAGTAAGCGGGAGGTCGTGGGTTCGAGTCCCACCCAAGTAAGCTTGTGATATAAAAATGTTTGGTCGCTGTACCTGCTGCTACATCAGACTCGAACCAGCCATCTGACCCTGGCAAGCTCTGGTCGTGTGGGATGATATCTGGTTGTCTGCACTAGTAAGCAGGAGGTCGTTGGTTCGAGTCCCACCCAAGTAAGCTTGTGATATAAAAATGTTTGGTCGCTGTACCTGCTGCTACATCAGACTCGAACCAGCCATCTGACCCTGGCAAGCTCTGGTCGTGTGGGATGATATCTGGTTGTCTGCACTAGTAAGCAGGAGGTCGTTGGTTCGAGTCCCACCCAAGTAAGCTTGTGATGTAAAAATGTTTGGTTGCGGTACCTGCTGCTACATCAGACTCGAACCAGCCATCCGACCCCGGAAAGCTCTGTGGTCGTGTGGTATGATGTCTGGTTGTCTGCACTAGTAAGCAGGAGGTCGTGGGTTCGAGTCCCACTTGAGTAAGCTTGTGAATTTTTTCTCGCTAGCCCTGAGACAACACTGAGTGTTTATAACATACGTCGGCAAAGGGCAAAACCCAATATAAAACTTGACATCACCTGATGCAAATTCCATGTTATGAAAAACTACATGCGTTCTGTTATTGTGTTCCTAGTTCTAGTGGTGTTGTTTTGGTAAAAAAAAAAAAATTACAGCATGAAATAAATGCCTCCCCTTTTTTCTTTAACACCCTGATAATTCAGTAAGTGAACTACAGAAGACGTTGAAGAAAGCCCAGCAGACCTGGCTGGGCCCCGCCCTCATGGGTCTCTGGGTTGTCCTGGGTTACGTCACTCTCAAGTTGACCTCAGTGACCTCCTGTCTGGTTGTCATGTCAACCACGCTCCTGCTTCACTCCATCTACGGCTCCGTGGTTGTCTTCACTCAGGTTGTCGTTTTTATTGGTGAGTTGTTGTGCACCCTAACCCTGCTAAATGCAACAGGAAACAACATTAAGTTAAGTAATTAAGTAAAAAGTTGTTGCATACTGTTGTATTTAATAGCAGGCATCTCAAGTCCCGGTGCTTTGTTGCATCTTGTTGCATCTTGTTGCATCTTGTTGCATTTAGCAGTGTAACTGGTCATAGGTCCAAGGCAATATAACATAATCCACTGAATGCGTTTAATGCAGTCACCCTCCAAGAGTGATGCTAAACAATCGATACTTGAATGGCAAATTACAGAGTTCAGAGGTAACAGGGGCAGGAAAAAAGTCACACTTTGGATCCTAATTTATAGAATGACCCATGCACATTTACATAACAAACTTGCCAACAAATTTTTCTGTAGTCTGAAATTGTCGCAAATGATGACAGTGTGCAGTGCCTTCTGAAGTTCACAATGTTCCTAATCTCAATCTTTTATGTTATCATTAATATCATTGTTTGCCGTAGGCTTGTGCATGTACGTCACCAACCTGATAGCCAACAACCTGGTTTTGTCCATCGTCACCATCCTCACCTTCTACGTATCCTACTCCATCTTTGGCGTGTGCCGACGGGGAACGCCCTCCTCACAGAGCGTGCTCTATGACCTGGAGGACCGGGTCATGGACCTGAGCCAGCGGACGGCCGGCATGGAGAGCAAGATGGAAGGCCTGGAGCAGAAGATCGACCTGCTGCTGGAAGGCCGAGAATGATACGTGTCATCCAAGATTAACGACTAAGTTATTCCACCAAAAAAAAATCTAATCATTTCTTGTATCATTTTGGTGTTAGGGAATGGACTTTATGTATGAATAATAGACGGTTATGTATGAATAATAGACGGTGGTTTGTCGTCATCAGCAGTGGGGGAGACGGGGCATGTACATACGGGGTGAGTCAAAAAAAGGAAACCATATGGCACCCCTTTTTTTGAAGAAGTTGTACATGTAGTGCGTTCAAGATCTAGGATGTGAAACTAAGCCCAAGTAATAAGCTTTCTTTTAGTACAAGAATCACTCAAATCGCTCCTGTACTTTTCAAGTTATGGACTTTTAAATTGATTCAGTCTTGTGGTATGTTACAAATGGAATTTTGTTCAAGTATTTTGAATGTTGTCGTTTGTGTGAAATGAAGGTGAAATCATTCTGGTGTTGGTAAAGGTTATTTTTTATTTGTTAAATATGCAATACTGGAAATCACGTTTCTTTCAAAAAGTGTATTGTGAATAATCATAAACTTGTTTTGGTTTTAAGCTTAAAGAAACCGATTTTATGAAGATTCCTTGTTGTGGACGATTAAGGCTACGATAAGTGTTCCCATGCAATAGTTGTGACAATTCACAAAGCTTTTTGGAACTTTTATCAGAAAACAAGAGATTCAGCATGCTGCTTACCATCTAAATGACCAGGCTGATATACACGTATCTTAAGGGTTAGAGGGTCGGAATTTTCAGTCCTAGTAGGTTTTTTCAAAAGTTTTTTTTTAACGTTTTATCTAACATTCTCATTCATTAACTCTACTAGACCTATTGTGATCTTGATGAATTCAACAAAATCATGAGTTTTAAACCACCTAAATTTACAAGAAATTCTGTTTACTGTTCAGAATGCAAAACCAAATTTTCCAAGGTTAAATACTTTGAATCTGCAGGGCAAGGGATAATAACGTTAAAAAAAATGCTAAAATGTCCACAAATCTTGCCACTTTAGGATTGTAAATTTGTTCAGTTTGCCCTCTTTTTTTTGTCGTTACACTGAAAACCAAAAAAAATCCATCTTTTGTATTCACAGGAAAATAGAGTACTCCTTCCCTTTATGATGTTCCAACCATTAATTTTTTTATTTTTCGGCATGTGATTTGTATATTTATGGTGTTGGTCAAATTTGTCTTGTAATGAACTTGTTCTTTGAAAAGACCTGTAGATTTGAGAAAGTATAATGTATTTTGTGTGTCAAAAAAAAAAGCAACTTGTGATATTACTATACCTGCTTTTTTCATACTTTTGGACGGATTTTAGTTTTGAACTAAATACTTGTAGACATTAGCATGTTGGTACCGCTTACAATAGTAGTATTGTTTAGGAATAGTGTAAAAGCTAGTTACACAATAACAAAAATAATGGCAATGTAAAATCTTGTTTTCAAGTTTAAATTTATTCAAAAGGTCCTGGACGGAGTATTATTACTACAAAACCGGAAATAAAAATCATGCCATTTATTTCATTTGTACATCATTGTGTTATTATTTCAAAGAAATTGTTATTATAAAAAACTGTGAATTTGCTCAAACTTGGAATCATATACAGTAATTCCTTTTTGTACTTTTAAAAAAGCACAAAGATAAAAGGTAAGTCACATTTTGAATTTTTAGAAATTATTTAGAATTTTCCTCTGTGATTTCAAAGCAAACAAATAATTAAGACTTGTGCATTACATATACCCAAAACAAAATATACATTTTGTACAAGTTTAATGTTTCCGTCTTTAATTAGATTTAAAACTTCCGTTGGCGACTTGAATTTTTACAGTTAACCCTAACGCATGATTTACTAGGAACCATACCCATCCTGGCAAATTCCAACACCATATGGGAAACTGTGCACACATATTTCTGACTTAGTTTCTGGAGGTGTGCCAACCCAATGTAAAAGACTGTCAGTTTAGGGGTACTGTACCCATCCTGACAGATTCCAACAAAACATGCCGTTGGGGTTTGATGGGTTGAGTTCTGTTAGGGTTAAGGTATAAAGAGTACTTGTTTTGAATACAGGCTTAAGTAAGTTGCCATCAATTCTGTAAGCTTCAGTAATCTGATTCAAGATGTACGTGGAATCAACTCGGTGAATTTTACACATGAATTCAATCAAATCTTACAACAGTGACAACACTGACCATATTTCTTGTGTCATCTATTAAACCGGGAAGCATGTGTGCTTTTAAATTTCAATTTTTAAGCTGTTACTAAGAAAACTGCTTAGTACCCCTAATTCACCATCTATACCAGTCAGTCACCTATGCATAATTATAAATTGCCCTTTTGCAGTCAAAGTTAAAAAAAAAAGCTCCAATGTAATACTGCTACATGTGTATCATGAACACGTTACGGATTTTCACAAAATAAGTAAAATTGGTTACACTGTGGATTACCAACAGCGTAATGGCTGCCGTAACTATACCCCAGTGTCTGATTCAAGTAGTCTACCAATAAACCCTCCAAGAGAGTATAAACTATTATTTGGTGATTGACTCTGGTACAAGAATACATGAAAAACGAGAGTTTTTATACAAAGGCAATGATAGGACTTGTCACTCCGTGTTTGTGTTTTTGTTATTTACATCTCTATAGCCCCACCGTCGTAGTTTTCAGCGGAGGGTGGCGGGGTGAGGATGCTTGGCTTGTGGGTCTCCTGCATCTTGCTGGTATGCTCCAGGAGGGACAGGCATACAAAGGCCCAGTTGTACAGGTTCTGGGCCGGGAGGGAGCCGTGCTTGGCCACGGCACCGTGAGGTACTTCTGAAAGTGTGGAAAGAAAAAAACATGGTTAAATCAAACAAATTATGGAATCTGACAGGAACTGTAGATTGACTACTCACAATAGTCAGTGAGGTCTATTCCATGTACAGGGTGGTCAAAAAAAAACCAACATTTGCACTTTTTCAGATGCACATTTCTTGGAATTGGGGAGACAAATTCAAATTGTTTCAAGATATTCCTAAACTACAGCATCTTCGTGGTATATGGTGAAAACGGCGCTGAAAATAAAGCCTAAATTAAGAAATGGCGATGGTTTAAAGAAAGATGGTCAAAACCCAGTTTGTCCACATGCAAGTCTATGGGATATGGTCAACACAATAGCACTGCACACACAAATAACTGCAATAATTGTAATTAGGTCTACATGACTGCCATAGATGTGGACAAACTACTTTTTGACAATTTTTCTGTAATTGGCCTCCGTTTCTTTGAGCCATATTTTTAACGCTGTTATCGCCATATAGGCCTACCACCTTGTAGTAAAGGAATGTCTCAAAACAACTTCAATATGTCTCTTCGATTTTGAGAAATCTGTGTCTGAGAAGGTGTTAACTTTTTTTGGACCACCCTGTGTACACAAATTCACATGGCATTTACAATGTGCATAATGGAGAGCCATTACAACTTTTCAATTCTGACGAGCTGTGTAACCTGTAGAATTTGCATGTGCGACGAATGCAAGTGAGCATGAGCCACATATGAGAGCTACTTGATAGTGATTTAGTTTACTTTTTAGCAATCCTGCAGGGGTGTGTAATATTTCAGTGTATGGGTCTTGTAATAGGGTGATCGGCACATCCCGATCACAATTTTGAAATTCCATATTGGCTTTTGCCCTTCAACGACGTATTTTATAAACACTGCACCGAGTGATGGTGAGAAAAACCACTCTGGTGGGACTGGAACCCATGACCTGCTTACTAGTGCAGATGTCTCATACCACTCGACCACCGAGCTTGCCGGGGTCGGCTGGCTGGTTCGAGTCTGATATAGCACCAGGTACTGCAACCAAACTATTCATAAGATGGAATTGCATCACCCCAATGCAATTCCATCTTATGAAAATTGTGACATTGCAAAGATTAATATTTTTTTCCTGGCCAAACATTCTCCACAACTTTTCTACTTAACAGTTAATGTTTAAACTTCAAACTTTGAACATATATCAACCCTGATCCCGAGATGTGCATAATGCTCTGACATCATCAGGTATCAAATTACAAGCAATTTTAGTTTTAAGAAGGACCATCTTCATTCATGTATAACTAACGAACGAAATGAACGATCAAGTTCAAACTTTGTGAATGGTTAGATGAAATGTACCTTTAAGTCTGGATGAGATCTTGCTGACGGCAGTGATGGTATCCGATGCTGTAGGGTCAAACTCCTCAATCTTCCTGATCAGTTCCTGGTTGACGAACTGCAGATTGCAAAAGGAAGAGGGAAAAAAAGGAATTGAAAACCACTCCTGGATTTACAACTGAGATAGTACTACTCTAAAAGAGTATTATAAAATAGCTGTTAATGGTTTCAGGTATTTGTATGTTGTTGAGAGTTGGAGATGTGTTGTTGCATAGTATGGAACTACCGTAATTTTCGGAATATAAGCCGCGGCTTATACGTTGAATTTGTCCATGAAAATGTTTACTGCGGCTTATACACAGGGCGGCTTATACGCCGAGACTTGAAGAATAAAAATGACATTTACATGTGTATTTATTGTACTGGTACAAAAAGAGATGTGTTGTTGAAATAATTATCAATTAAGAAAGTCATTAACAAACCGAAAGCACGTCCCACAAAAAGATACCGAGCGGTAAAAAGTACGGCTAGTGAAAGCTGTCCCTTGGACATCGACAACCGGCCGTACGTGATGCTGCCTATGCTGCATGCATGCTGCATGGATTCTCCATGGACCACACCATTTGTGGTAATAAACGGGTGCACTTTCTTGGGAACAATAATTACCGATATTTCCCCAGTTTAAAAAAAAGAAAAAGACAACTAATACTTTTTATGGAGTTTGAAACATATCTTTATTTGATAATCAGTTGTTCAACGTCACAATATATTTTTTTTTCTTGAAATGTATTCAAGAAACGATGTAAAACTCAAAACAGGGGTGAAACCACCCCTACGAAATTAATGGATTCGTCCATAAAAATCTCGGCATCGTGTTGACTGTTTTCGAAGAAAGTTACGATCCAAACTTGAAGTTTTGACATTACTACTTATTAGTAATCACAACAATTTGATAAGTTTTGCTGTAAAAACGGACTTGTTTATCCTTTAGGACAAAACAACTCAGTGTCTGTTGCCACAAAGCAGGATTTGTAGCGCTCCAGTCAGACAACACATGGTGGGTTGCATACTCTCTCAAGTGCTGGGGGAAAATAATGTCATTCGCCAGCACAGGCTCACTGACGAGCCAGCCGGCAGCAATTCCCGTTTTTTATTTCTCATCATCAATTTCCATATTTGTTTGTAAGAGTAATTGACTGTAAATGATTTGACATAACATTTGTGGCCCTTTTATAGCTTTCGTAGTGCAAATGGAACTGGTTCAGAGCATTTTGACTAGAATTTGGAGGCCTTACAAAATTGAACAGCTGCGGTTGGTGCGGCTTATACGCCGATGCGGCTTATACGCCGACCTAAAATCTTAATTTGCAGATTTTTGCATGCTGCGGCTTATACGCCGCGCGGCTTATATTCCGAAAATTACGGTATGTATTTTATGAACATTTCTGGTTGAATCAAGGCATCAATTTCTGTGAGTTTTATTTGGCGCATGGGAGGGGGAGGCTAGAACTATTTGTGGGATGACCAAATTTCTGGAGTGCAATTTGGATGTTTGGGTTATAGTCGTAGATAAAGAGGAAGCTGTGATATAAAAAAAACAAGTCAACAGAGTTGTAAGCATGTCCATCACAAGTCATTCTGTCTCAAGTCGAGTCACAAAGCTATTCAAATGAACTGTGACAGGCATTCCTTTGTCATTGTTCATCCCCTGTTGCTTGTGACTGACTTGAGATTTAACTGTAAACTGACTTATGATGGACCTGTGATTGATTTGTGAGGGTCTTGTGATTTGACTGTGAACTGACTTGTGATTGACTTATGAACTGATCTGTGACCGACTTGTGATTGACTAGTGACTGACTTATGACTAACTTGTGATTGACTCGTGAAACGATCTGTGATCGACTGGTGATTGACTAGTGACTGACTTGTGACTGACTTGTGATTGACTTGTGACAGCCTTGTGATTGACTTGTGAATTGATTTGTGATTGACTTGTGATTGATTTGTGATTGACTTGTATTTGACTTGTGATTGACTTGTGAATTGATTTGTGATTGACTTGTGAATTGATTTGTGATTGACTTGTATTTGACTTGTGACTGACTTGTGACTAACTTGTGATTGACTTGTGAATTGACTTGTGACTGACTTGTGACTGACTTGTGATTGACTTGTGATTGACTTGTGATCTGATTTGTGATTGACCTGTGATTGGCTCGGTTTCTCTGACTCTTGAGACATCCAAATCACGCCTACCTGTTTGCATGTATTCCATGACTCCAGCTCCCCTTCCTCAGACTTGTCCTGATAGAACAGCGTCAGCACAGACACCAGGATATCATGGATGACCTTGGGTGGGTCCTTGTAGCTCTTGAGCTCAGCGAAGGCCCGCGAGTTGAGCTTGCCTACGGTCTCTCGCAGGTCCGTCAGCATGATGCGATCGAACATGATGTCAATGCGCGACTCCTCGCTACCCTTCTCCGCCTCTGTGGTGGTACACAAATGAGAACAAATATTCAGGGCCTCATATCACGTCTCTATTAAGTGCAAAACTCTGTGCTTATAATAGATTTTCCGTGTGTATATAATTTGCACTAATCCAGTAAATTAAAAAATCTAAGTTAAGGCCAAAAAAAAAAATATTCGGTCTCTGGTCAGACCAAAGTTCCGGAATCGACGCGGCCATGCGGCTTTTTTTTTTTTTTTTGGCTTTTTTTTTTTTTCTTCTTCAAGCTTGGATTGTACATACAAGGTAGGTACTATTTTGCTTTTTTGGTGTCCTCATGTACATTGGTGTCCTCCATACTTTGCCTTGGTGCTTTCGATCATTTGCCTTGGTGCAATTTCCCATTCCTTGGTGCTCTTTGGTAAAAAAAATTGAGGAGGTGCGGAAATAGAGGGCGCTGTTGGAGCTACTGCGGAACATTTTGGAAAAAAAAAAGATCGAAGCGCATGATTAAAATCGACGCGCGCGCTGACCAGAGACCGACTTATTTTTTTTTTTGGCCTAATGGATACTAATTTTTTACGCAAATCAAAATTTCTTGTTAACCTGTGAAATGCACAAAGCATAAGCTCAGAAGTTTGATTATGAAGCCATACAATTGGGTTCAGATTAATATGCAGGACTCAAAAAATGTTGTGTTTATAGAGCACTTTAAGTGACTCTTTAGGTGTTTTTAATATGGACTGTCATTCATGTATCAATATCTGCATCTGCATCAATACAAAAGGGGAGGCATCACCTTAACTAGTTTTGTATCTCGTGTGGGACTATGTCAATTTGAAACAACCAAATGCAAATGCTACATTGAATTTTTGATATGCTTAAAATTGCTTATCTAATGTTAAAAAAGGTTAAATCACTGAAAATATGTCTTTAAGGTTGCCACATCCAAAATGCACAGACATAAAGTGTTGAAGTCAAGTCCTTTACAAGATCTATGTAAGTTCTCGAAAGTCCATCACAAGTCACAAGCTATTCCAATGAACTGTGAAAAGGCATCCCTTTGTTATATTTCCTCCCCTGTTACTCCTGACCATTGACACGTGCATTGACTAGTGATTTACAAGTGATCATACATGTGGTGGATTTATGATAGACTCGACTACAACACTTCACACCAACTGATAGACTTCTCCTTACCCAGTACGATGGTCCTATCCCCACCCTCAGACTCCATGGACACCTCCTTGTGTGCAGACTGTAGCAGCTTCAGCATCCTCTGCACCTCCTTGTTCTCGTGGCCAGGTAGCTGCTTGAGCTCCCCGATGCTCAGGTCAATCAGGGCCACGGCACGGCCGTCTGGATCCCTCAAGGGGAAGGCCGTGTGGCGCTGGCCGTAGGCATCGGCGGAAACGGTGTCGGAGTTGTCCACACACTTGAACAGGTAGTCCCTTTAGTAACAACAGACAGGATATGAAAAAAATTTCAAACTTGACTTGACTCAAAAGAGGCCTCGGTGCTCCCCTTTTAAGAGAGGACCAAAAGACCTGCAATAAACATGTCTGTAATGTTGGTGTTTTACATTATTATCAAAGTTATGTTAAGTCACACTATAGCTACCCCGGTAGTTGATAGTGTAAGCCGAAATTTAGACTGACCCTGAGCACACATCCCTGATACCACTCTCACAACAGGTGTTCCACATTACACCCAAGGTCTTCACGTCACTATTTTCCAAGCAATACACCCACAGCATACCAAGACTGTGATTTAACCCTTGTACAGGGGAAAGTGACCTCATAAGGGTACTCCCCCAGACTGACCATTACGTCAGTCTATGGTCAGTCTACCTTTACTCAGAAATGATGTCATATAAGTTATGTTTTCCTTATATGACATCATCTCCTATTTTCACTCCAAGTGGTCCCTCTGAAACTGTATAAAATGTCCCCATTTTCCCACTTTCATTGAGTTCTTCTTCTTCTCCCTGGGAAACCAGAGGCATAGCCATAAGCTGATTCAGCCCTATGCTCTGGCCAGTCTTCATCTACAAAACTCTTCAGAACCTCTGTCTTCTGTCTCCAACTTCCGTATTCTAGTACCCAGCCATACCCATAAGCTGATGCAGCCGTATGGTCTGAGGTTATAGTTCTGTACATACACAATACCGGTAGAATATTGAGTTCTTGAAAATAAACCTGTTTTCCATATAGCCGAGCTCCTAGTCATTACCAGTGTGTCTTTGTATAGTCTTCGTAGTCATCTGTTCATCCTGCTCTTAGCCACAGCTACCCTATCTTAACATATAGTATAGTCAAACCAACCAAAGACTATAGCCAAATCGATATGTTACACTGGTGGCAGCGAGTGTTTACCCGCACAAGCCTATGAAGTGGCATCTCATCTGTAACTAACTTTGTCGCCTGTTCCTGCTGTTCCTGCTGTTCCTGCTGTTCCTGCTGTTCCTGCTGTTCCTGCTTCTATTTCTACCTGTTCCTGCTTCCAGTTTCTGCGTGTTCCAGTTGTCCTGCCTGTTCCAGTTTCCAGTCGTCCTGTTTGTTCCCGATTTTACGGCTCGCCAAAGTCCCCCTTTCCACTTCCTGAGCCGTCTCCCTGTGGCTGATTTGACCTGTTCCAGCCTTTCTGCCCCTGTTCCTGTTGCCACTACTGCCGTTCCTGTTGTCTGCACGCCATCTCTCCGTGTCTCGTCCTCCTGTGTCTTCTCTTCCGAACTGTTCCTGTCTTCGAACTGTTCCTGTTTCTCACCTGTGTTCCTGTTCCTGTTCCTGTCATCCCCGTCCTCCGTTCTTCTCATCGTCTTCTCAGCTGTGTCCACTCCAGCCAGTTCATCCAGTCCTGTATGCCAATCATCCCTGTGGAGTGCATCACCGACTGACCAACGCTGACAGTGCCCAGCTGCAGACTTAATTCTTGCAAGTTCTTTTGTTTTTGCATATTTTTGTACCATTTTCCTTGTTTTATATACCATTTCAGTTTTCTGTGTTGATTTCATCATAGTTTGTGCACATTGCTTATGTTAGCCAAATCTCTTTGCCATAGTTTATTATTGTAGCCTTATAGTTCTTTTAGGTTCATTAGTTTTATGTTTGCACTGGATTTTTATTGCCCTAGCCATGTCTCCCCCTCCCACAAGTACCGGTAGTAGCTCCACCTCCCGCTTCCATTCCCATCACTATCCATGTTTCCTCCACCGCCACCCCCTAAACCTCCAGATCCGCCACAATTTCCTGCGTCCTCTCCCACACGATCAACTTCACCTCTACTTTCGACTGAGCCAATTCATTTACGACCAACTCCAGCGTACAATCTCCAACAATCCCCATCACACTCTCCCGCTGTTCAGCGTACTCGCAGTGGTCGAGTTGTAACTCGCCCTATTCGACTTGGGTTCCCCTCCAGTTCATATTATTACTTTTCCGTAGAATTCGTTTATTTGATTAAGTTGTGTAACTACATCCACGGCAATGTGTGTACATTTTCACAATATTCGTTGATTCAATTCATTACCCATTTATTTGATTTATAAGAAGTGCATTGTTCACTCCAATATATTAATGTCAATTTCACCAGATTATCCACTTATACCTAATATCCATCTATATTACTGATGTTTTGTCTTGTTTAACAACTTGTACTTCCTTGAATATTCTGTATATTTTTTTTCGTTCATTGTTTTGAATAGTGTAACGACAATTCTGTGTATTCATAAGTTTAATATTCTTGCACACGCATTGAAAATAAGCAATATTAATTTGTTTTTGTTTAACTCAATGCTTTATTTTATGTAACAGTAATTCATTCATTTTTATACTTTGAAAATGAGGACATTTTCTTCCCCAAGAGGAAAGTAAATGTAAGACCGAAATTTAGACTGACCCTGAGCACACATCCCTGATACCACTCTCACAACAGGTGTTCCACATTACACCCAAGGTCTTCACGTCACTATTTTCCAAGCAATACACCCACAGCATACCAAGACTGTGATTTAACCCTTGTACAGGGGAAAGTGACCTCATAAGGGTACTCCCCCAGACTGACCATTACGTCAGTCTATGGTCAGTCTACCTTTACTCAGAAATGATGTCATATAAGTTATGTTTTCCTTATATGACATCATCTCCTATTTTCACTCCAAGTGGTCCCTCTGAAACTGTATAAAATGTCCCCATTTTCCCACTTTCATTGAGTTCTTCTTCTTCTCCCTGGGAAACCAGAGGCATAGCCATAAGCTGATTCAGCCCTATGCTCTGGCCAGTCTTCATCTACAAAACTCTTCAGAACCTCTGTCTTCTGTCTCCAACTTCCGTATTCTAGTACCCAGCCATACCCATAAGCTGATGCAGCCGTATGGTCTGAGGTTATAGTTCTGTACATACACAATACCGGTAGAATATTGAGTTCTTGAAAATAAACCTGTTTTCCATATAGCCGAGCTCATAGTCATTACCAGTGTGTCTTTGTATAGTCTTCGTAGTCATCTGTTCATCCTGCTCTTAGCCACAGCTACCCTATCTTAACATATAGTATAGTCAAACCAACCAAAGACTATAGCCAAATCTATATGTTACAATAGTAAAGCAGTTTACATTTTAGCAATCCTGCAGGGGTGTGCAATATTTCAGTGTATGGATCTCGTTCTTTTTTATTTTTAGAACCATATATGTGACCTGTTCTGTCAAAAGCAGACGCTTCTGGGCAGAGGTTGAAATTGAGATAAGGCCAAAAAACGCTGTGGGGGTGATTTTTTTCCATTTTCTAATTTTTGCATATTTGTAATCCTGAGCATGTCTAAAATATACTATAAACGTTTGAAACCCTAATTTGATCTCTAATTATAGTATTTTTGATGATTTGGTAAGGTATATCAGTTAAAGAAATGTCTGTTTTGTGACGTTCGTGTCCATTTTCTCTGTTTTCTACTTTTCGACCCAATGAACTTCAAAATAGCATAACTTTGCGCAGGAATGACCGGTTTCAAAAATTAAACCACCTATTAAAAGGAAACAAAACATATTTTAACAATATGCAAAAATCTCATTTTTGACCTGTTGACCTGATGCCCAGAAAAGTCTGATTTCGACAGAACAGGTCACATATATGCTCTCTCTACTCTGAGCAGAATCTCTGGATTTTCCATATCCACACATGATCATTCCGAATCCATTTGAAATAAGCCCACTAGGAGCAATTTACCTTTATGCAAACATAACAAAGGATTCACTTCCACCAATCCACCAAAAAATTGACAAATCCAACCACTAGGATTCCACCAAGAGCTACTCCACTTACCACCCACAAGAAGACCGCAAGTGACTTGCTATTACAAGAACTCTACTAAAATTTCACCTCTAAAACATATCAACAAAACTTCTACTTCCACTAGAATGCAAGAACAATCCAATACCCATAAAGAATTTCTTGAAAATGAGACCCTTCTAATTTCTTTTAGACATGGCCACACAAGCTCGAAGGCAGCGCCATTTAAAAACAAAAATCTGAAGAAAAAAAGAAAGAATTCAGAACCCCCCCCCCCAAAAAAATAAATTTCAAAGATTTATGCAGAGTTGAGACAATACCTGAATAAGTTTTCTTTCCGTTCCAGCTTGCTAGGGTTCTCATGGGTGGTGATGTTGCCATGACGATCTGTGGTCATCATTCGACGCAAAACGATATCCTCAATCTAAAGTATCAAGTAAGTGATCATATGGTATTAAAAAAGAAAATGCCAGAAGCACAGTTCATGCAGATATGCTTTAAAATGGTGACTGTAAATTAAATATGGTGAATTAGTAAAAACAGGAAAAGACTGCTAGTATACAAATATTGAATGCATCGAGTGGTGTAGTAAAACTAGCCTCCCGAGGTGATCCATGGACCATTCTATTTTCCCAAGGCGAAGCCGAGGGAAAATAGAATGGTCCATGGATCACCTCGGGAGGCTAGTTTTACTTCACCATGAGATAAAGCATTCAATATTTGTTTTATAACACTTCACCCACAGATTCTGCTTGATTTTAATATTTTACATTATTTAAATCTGAACACAGTTGAAATAAACTTCAATTTCAATACAAAATTGGTGGAAAATGTATTTCTCTCTTAAAAACTAACCCTTCACGAAATGTTTGAACCCAAGTCTGCGGCGCGCTCTCTTTGGAATAATACACACAAATACCGCGCTGTGAAAATAGTACTTTGGTTGCTAATGGTATAGTACTTTGGTTGCTATGCGCATAGTACTTTTGGCCGTGCACAGAAAGATAGCAAAATTAGAAAGTAACATGTGACTCGCTCTCGGCCACTCAAGACACAGAATCTGTGGGTGAGGTGTTATAATATGAAATAATTAAAGGTGTCGGATTAAAAGGGTTGTTAATTGTAGGAGTGCGGATGTTAATGTGCAGTATAAAACAAATTTTCTAAAAATGGAGGAAGTAATTTCTGACAATGGGTTTCCAAGAGAAATCTCAGAATGTGAGCAGCCTAAAACTGAAAAGGCGTGCATGAATTTCAGCTCTTATCTACGCTCCACAAACACTTTTAGAAAGTGATACAAAATGGTTTGTTATACCTTCTTTATTTAATAATGTTTAACTATTCAGTTATTAAAAAAAAAAACTTTTAATTCTGAAATCCAGAATTAATGACCTACACTCAATCAGTGTAATGCGTCCCTTAGGTTTTTTTTTTTTTGGCAATTACCAAAATACTGACAAACTTCAGTAATATCATGGATTCATGATGCCAAGTTGACAAATGCATAATAAATAAATACCACAAGCCAGCCTGCTTCCCAAATAATGTAAAATGATTTTTGACATTTTTCAGCAAAACAGCTAACCTGTTTGGCAGCCTCTTCGTTAAGATACCCCTGAATTTTTTTGCTTTTGCCGGAGATTCTCCTGCGGCGGATAGCAGCGTTAACCTCCTGCCAAACGGTACGGTACCCCCGCCACACACACATGCAACACAGCACACAGGGAGGGCAGAAACCACACCCGCAAAAAAGAGGTGGCGTAGGAAGGGTTCAGCATGGGTTAGAAACACACAGTGCACAAAAAAGGGGAGAAGAAAACAATGCAAAAAAAGAAGAACAGCAATAAGTAAAGAAACAAACGAACCAAAAGACAGGGTAACATTTTCTAACTGAGCACAGACATGTTGAATTTAAAAAAAGGTTACTTGAATTTCTTTCCTAAAACGATTGTAAAAACAGCTTTTTCCCTTTTCTTGGCTCAATGTACAAACTGGCCCTGCATTAAGGTCAGTCATGAATTCCTTTCAGGCAAACATTAGCCAATAGCACACAATGTGCGCAAAGATGTTTACATTCGATTCACAAACTGGTTTGTAACTGTAGGGTTGGATACCACTTTTCAAATAATCAAAGTGCCCCCACTTAGGGGCTGCTTTCACGCAACGCTAAGAAGCGCCTTAACTCGTCTTATCTTGCGACTTGTCCAAGGATCGATTTCAGTAAACGTAAGACATGTTGAACGCGTCCTAACTTCCTTAGCAACACGGCTGAACTTGTCTTAACTTAAGATCGGTCTGAGGGTCGTCTTATCTCATGAATAGTGTGTTAATTTGTATATCGTCTTGACATCATTGCAATGTATTCTCGTTTAAGACGAGTTTCGGCCTAGAGCCATAGTTTCGGGGAAAGAAAACCGCTGTAGAGAACAGATTTGAAAAGATTTCTGATACGCGGGTCGTTTTAATAAAAATAAGTTATTTACAAAATTTAATTATATGCCAACGCCTAGTTGACTTTTTAAAAATAAAATACTTTCGAGTTCTCGAAATAGAGTGATGAACCGCGGAGCAAGACATTTAATCATAAGGGTAATAATGACTCTATGGTATCATGTGTAGACCTACTTTGCGCGTGAAATTTAATGAGCTGAGAAGTTTTTTTAGGGCAAAAGTTTGTGTTCTATGCACACGCTTGGGAAATTGGTTTTGCACATTTCTTTCAACAACTGTTTCAACAAGCGGTAAAAACAAACTAAAACAGCCATTAAATTAGTTATTTTGATGCATCTTGCTTCAGATGCATTAAGTGCAATCAGTCTTAGCTAAGATCGATCTTAGAGTGGGAAATGTCTTAAGTCCTAAGATGTGTCTTAAAATAAGACGAGTTACATGAAATCGGCCCCAGGACTTGTTAGCACAAAGTTTCTTGTTCTTCTATGCCTCGCAGAAATAATGGCTGAAATGGATAATCAAATAATATTTGAATTGGATCATTGCAATTGCAATGGTCTATATCACTCTGTGATCAGTCAGAAAATGTTGATAAGTGAGTTAGTAAAATCAGTGCATGCCAATGAGAGTTATATACTACCACCACAAAAGAGAAAACTATCTTCCTACATGATTATACACAGTAACAATTAGATTGATCTTTAAAAACATACAACATAACAAGATGAAAGATTAACAAAGATTTGCCTGTTAATTTCAAAGCATCTGGCCCTCTGTGGAAGGGTAGATACGGTTAATTTTTCTCTCAAAACTGTCATGACATCAGTGAAGTGCAGTCCTTTTCTGATTTGTTTCATAAGCACTGCTTCAGGACTTGTGGTGTGTTTTGTTGAAAATTTGATATAAAAAAACACTTGAAATTTTGAGGATCATCCCTCTGAAATGAACTTAGTGTGAGTTTTGTGCAAAAGGAAAGTACACATTACATCAGTGAAGTGCAGTAGTTTGTTACATAAGCACTAGCTAAGGACTTGGGGCGTGTTTTCGGTGAGAATTTAATTTAAAGAACACTTGGGATTTTGAGGATCATCCCTCTGAAATGAACTTAGTGTGAGTTTTGTGCAAAAGAAAAGTACACATAGACAAAAAATATTTTTAAGTTTCATTGTCAGGTCACACCTTATTGTACAGTGGAACGCCGCTATACCGAACAACGCTTAACCGAACATTCAGCTATACTGAGCATCATCCCCGGCTCCCATGTAAAAAATGTTCCGAAATTTGTTGGAAAACATCAACTGATTAACAAAAACCTACTGGTAATATTAAACGCCATGTGGACCATTTTTAATTCCATTATTTCCCTAAGGAATAGAAGGGAAAAGCCACCCATTGCTGAAGTTTCGTGACAACTCCGCATGCGGCCGCGGGATGTGAGAAATGCCAGTTCACTATTCATCAAAAGAAAGCGCCGTTGATTTGTGAAAACCTGTGGTGAAAACCGGCAGCTCAAAATCGCTATACCGAACGATCGTTATTCATTTCTGTGGATCCCACAATGTTTGTTATACCATCGTTCCGTTGTACTTTCACAATTAATCCACACAGCGAAAAAAGAAAACGGCATCTTTGCACTGCTCATAAAGCAACTTTCAAACTTTTCTCAGCAAACACATGAAACACAAACACAATTCAAGTACATTTATTTTGCAACACGGCACTCTGCTGGCTTCTTGAAAGCTCATAAAGGCAAAACAAAAGACCACTGGTTAAAAGGTGATGGCTACAGTACCTTCTCATCCGGCTCAACAATGTAGACGTTGATCTCCAGCACGTGCGGACTCCGTCGGTGAATCCAGGCGAGGGCGCTCTCCGTGATGCGCAGCGTCTTCTTCCGGATGTCCACGTACTGGTGGGCGGAGCTGAAGGCTTTGGCCACTCCCTTCACAACGTCATCACAATGAAAAAAAAAATGCAAATATTGGTGACCTTCCTTGAAAAAAAAAGTTGTGTCTGCTGTACCTACATGTATGAGTCTATTTCTTAACATGTTCACGTCGGATGACGTGTATACACGCAAAGGTTTTGCGGTATTCAGAACGGATGACGGATAAACACACAAGGTGCGAGGCTGGAAATATCTGTCAGCCACCCGCTCCCAGCAAGCGAGGCCAAAAATATCAGGGTGTGCTACCCGCAAATGATGGCCTGAACCCGTCTGGCATCGAGGTTCGTGAAAAACAATCCTGCGCCTGGGTCCAGTCAATGTCAAAATAATCCCGGCGCGAACTGCTTAAGGTTAAAATACCAATATTTATCTCAATGAATTTGCAGATCATTAACAAAGAGGTTTAGCAACACTGTCTGAAGAAAGTTGGGGGAAATGCTGAAAACATTCAGATTTTTTGTTCTCATTTACCTGGAAGAAACTGATTTCATGGGTGATGAAGATGCTCTTCTCCTGAGGGTCGTTGAGTGTGTCTACGCCCAGGACACCAAAGACTCGCTTGCGATGGTCCTTCAGGGGGATCACGATGAAAGAGCCTTGACGATCCTGAAAGTTAAAAACGGGTCAAATTTGTTTAAATGTTGGTGTATAAACCGTATCAATTCTCTTTCAGAGAATAAATATTTTAAAGGGGCACAAGGTCCTGAAATCCTCGAAAATGTCATGTTTTGGATTGTTTACTGAGCCTATTTCAAACATCTGGTTGAAAGGAAACCAACCTAATGTCTTACCGTTCCTGAGAAAAGACGAAAAAAAACCCCTCTTGTTTACATCGGACACGACGGAGCACGAATACGTTTTTCGTGTCGTTCTCAGTGTACGATATACACGTCGTGTGTCTCGGGAACAACGGTGACTAATCACCAATGCAAAAATAGTGGTTTCTTCAACGTCCGCAAAAGACGAACACTTCAAGAATGAAATCACAACTAGCATCCAAACAGCTCGAATTTATGGGGTCGCAAAAGTGGACCCCGAAATTTGTTCTCGCACGCATAATACAGGAATTACACAAAAACGCCCAGTTTTGAAAGGATACTTGTGTGGATGTTTATATCCTACTTTTAAATGTTATTTCCGATTAATATCATTTCATTCAAAGCGCATTTTGTAGCCCAATTTGGCTGTTCCAGGACCTAGTGTCACTTTAACCAAGTGTGGTATATTCTCCAGTTTTGGAAAATCCTGCAGTTGGTTGGGCCTCTTATCGAGATAGTATCCTAAACGGGATATTCCCTTCACTGCTGCATTCCCAAGTTGGAATACAGCCCCGATAAGGGTAGTTGCAATATTGGAACAATCTAGGCGTGGGCCCAATCGAGGTATTAGTAGAAACTAGTAGATTTTCATGCAAATGTGATTTTCTTTAAATTTTTGCGTGAGGATAAATATTTCTCGTGTAGCTTGCACATTCTATCATTTTTTTTTTAATGTAGCAGTGGTTGTGTGTGGCTCATGGTTGTTAATGAATGCAAGTACAGATGCAATTATTCACATGGAAAAAATGAAGCAATTAAAAAAGAAGAAGAAACAAGCAGCATAAAACTCAAAATCTCAGCCTTGTGAATCAATAAGGGATGGTGCAATACTAGATGAAAAAAAAAAAACCTTTAGGTACTTTCAGCACACATTTTTTGTGTTTTGGAATCACATGCAAGAAAGGTGGGTAATGTGGTGATGTTGCTTAAAAGTTTCGTAAAAGACCCTAAGCTTGCTCAAAAAAATCCTTAAATTTTCTTTTCGTTTGGCTAAAAAATGGACGTGGTTTTTCTACAAAATCCACATGCCCCTCCCTTCATGAAAACAGTGTCGTTATGAAGCCCGGTTCATACTCGGCGCGAATGCGAATGCGAAGCGAATTTGACGTCAAGAAACGTTCGCTGCGAAATTCGCCCGAGTTGAAATGTGTTCAACTTTTACGAATTCGCAGTGCGAATACTTGCCATGACGTCACAAATTCGCGTTCGCTTTCGCTTTCGCGCCGAGTATGAACTGGGCTTGAGGTTGGTTGCATCATACCAATATGCCCAATTGCCCATCACAGTTCACAGCAAGAGTCAGAACGCAAGAGGTTTCGTGCTGACATTTTGAACATCGTTTGACTACATACCGTCGGTTGCACCAAGAACCGACCTATTGCATTTTTTTGTGTTTTGAAAAAAAAAAAACGATTTAAAATTGGTCATTCATTTGTAGGCTCATTCCATATACTCCCTGTGTAAGAATTCAAGCTGTTTCGTTTTTGCTAGTAAATTATAGATTGAACTTTATTGTATGCAATCCGTGTGAATCTGAGTTGCTTAGTTTTTGAGAATTCAGTTCCCAAGATACATGTCACTTCGTGAATTAGATTTTTATCATGTTTATCGTATTTCATACAACGCACGTAATAGTGGCCGTGTGCCAGATACGGAGATACGTCGGTTCGTGAAACGCTAAATGCACACTTTTCATGATCGACGCTTGTTGGTGACGTCATAGCATTATGGGAATTAGCATGTAAAGCGGCGCATCAGGATACCCCACTTCGTGGTGCAACATTTTTTAGTTTTATAGAAATACGCCGCACAGTCTAATGAGCGTTCTTAATTAGTTAATTAGAACTCGGATCGGAATAAAACTTTCTGAGAATGAGCACTTCGATGAAATAATAACGTTGATGACAAAAACTCAATTTGGTAAAAAATTGAGATATGCTGGTTCAGTCGTGGTGCGACCGATGATACATTCGTAAACGTATATTAGTGCGCAGGCCTAAGTTACATTACAACTCGACCACTAGTCTGCCAATGGTCTCTAATCTAACTTGCTCCTTGATGAACCTGGCAACATGCTGTGTAAAATGAATTGTGCTTTGATGAAAAATGTCTGTAAGCACTGCAGTGTGTAAAATGAATTAATTTTGAAACCTGGCTATTTGCAATCGGCCACTTCAATCCACTCAGCAGCAAAGTGCGTTTATTTTGTGATATATCACTCCAGCCAAACCGTGCGCATTCCATGGCTCAAAACTGCGTCACACTTTTGTACTTACTCTCGTCGGATCGTACTCATCAATGGACAGCTTTTTGTATTTCTGATGGCCCAGACATGCAATGTGGCACACAACAGAATTATACACAATCAGCAATGTTGGGAAACAAAAGTCAACCAAATTGTGTCTACCAAACAAAACCAAGCCGCAAGAAATCCACACGAATGGATCAACTCAGAACAAACAAAGATTTTAGACAAATGGTAAAGACAGCAACTTACCATCCTGAAGAAATAACAAATAATCCACGTTTTGTTTGTTTTGATGCATTCAAACTTGTAAACACACGCATTGTACATGATACAAGATTTAACGAAAAACTTTTCTTGCAAACTCAACACATGTCATTAATTTCACACAATGGCTGAAAATCAACTTAAAAAATTGCTTGATTTGCAGATTTGTACACGCTACTGTGGAGTTTTCGATTGGTTCCCGGGTTTTTTTTTACGGTACACTTTAATAATAGGATATGCAAAATGCAATTTTTATATCATCATAATTATCTTTGGTTTCTCTTCAACAGTCCTGTTTCTCAAAATCTGACCATCCGTCCAAATTAATTTCATTAATGCCCAAGTTTCCCAAAGAACAAATTTTCCACTAGAATCAGAGACCAGTAAAATTAAAGTTGAGAGAAATAAATTGAGCGTTGTTTATGGACACAGGCAAATTTCCCATAACATTGAGCGGCAAAGCCAGAGGGGCCAAGGATTGAACCTACCTCTTCTGATCGGTCAGGATTCCAGAACATGATGTTTCCATGATTCTGCACTCTAGGTACGTGGATGGGTTTCCCAGTGTCAACAGAGGTGAAGCTGCACAAACAGAAATAAGAAACTCGTGTTGATCAAGCAAAGGACTCATGAAAGTTCCAGCAGGAGAGATGGGGAACGTGTGTCCGTCCGTTCTTAATCGGAACCACTTAGGAGGTACCTGTGCATAGTCCATCACAATCTGGTTTCATTTTCAGGACATGGGAGTGATTACTTTTATCGTTTCGGTTCACGGTAACACCATGTGGTAATAACTACTGTCGCTCAGTAGATATTTAGTTCTGATAAGAACTTGTCCTGCTTATTATCAACTTTCGCTAAGTACTTTTAGTTCTGATGAGAACAGTCCTGCCTTATGTTCTAAAAGAAGTTGTCTTTGGTCTCAACGTTTCGACTAGCCTGTTCTAGTCATTGTCAGGAGACTAAGGAGATGGTGCTGCTTAAGTAGGCTGTGTCAGGATTGGGAATGCATGTGTTGGTAGATTCTGATCGTTTGTCTGTTGGGCATTGTTTTGGAGTGGGATGCCCGTAGTGCTCGCTCAGGTGTGTCAGTTGGCTGTGAGGGAGTGGGAGTGATTAATTGCACTGAATTAGTAAAAATGCTGGTTTTTTTGTTAATTCAAAATTCTTGAATTGTTGGAACTTTACATTTTCGGGCCACTAACACAGAGGCGCTCAGCACAGGAATCGCTAAGCACTGAATTATAATTGTTAGTAGTATCTACTTTTTTGCTAGGATTAATTGATAAGAGCCAGCTTGGCTAAGAAAGGGGCGGAGCTGACTCTTGAAAGGGGGGCGGGGAGAGCCAAGCAAGGGCGGATCCAGAACATAATTTTGGGGGGGGCCAAAAATTTTTTGGGTTCCCCCCAAAAAGTGGGTCAAAAAAATTACAGCGTGGGGTTCGGGGCCCGCTTAAGGGCCCCGAAAAAATTTTGGATTCTAGATGCTCTGTGGAGTGATCTGAGGCGATTTCTGACCACTTTAACCAATGTTTTTTTTGAGGAAAAGATGGTGGTGTACTCATTGCCTGCCTTTATTGCGATGTCAAAAAGTGGGTCAAAAAATTTACGGCGTGGGGTTCGGGGCCCGCTTAAGGGCCCCGAAATTTTTTTTGGATTCTAGATGCTCTGTGGTGCGATCTGAGGCAATTTCTGACCACTTTAACCAATGTTTTTTTTTAGGAAAAGATGGTGGTGTACTCATTGCCTGCCGTTATTGCGATGTCACATAAAAAATAAAAAATTGATTTCGTTTTGGGGGGGGCCATGGCCCCCTTTGGCCCCCCCCCCTGGATCCGCCCTTGGAGCCAATCCCTTCTCTTTATTCACTAACCTGATGCCTTTCATGTCCCTGAACAGGATCTTATTCAGCATGAAGTGTGCGTCGTCTGGTGTGGAGGCTACGTAACGCAGGCACGTTGGGCCACGCGCTGGGGAGGAATCGTTGTGTTCCAGCATGCCAATGTTGGCACTGATGCGCTTGCCTCGCCCATGCTGCTCGGCATCCTGTTCAAAATTAAACGAAAGAAGTATTTCTAAAACTGTTTACATCCAAATCTTTTGTCACATTTTTAAATGAATGACACCTCTGGCAAGGCTTGACTCAACTCAGGGTTAGAGCCTGAATTAAAATGGAGAACAGGGGTAAACACAGACAATGAAGACAAAGCTCTCATCACGGTAAGCAAATACATTATTTGTTATTTCTGTCAAACTTTCATTCAATTTGAATCAATTGCTTACAACAGAAAACAGCATCAGAATCTGAACTAGTTTTTTTCAGGTTTATAGTAGTGTGACACTACCAACGGGAAAGTGATCCCTCTAAAAGTTTGTCTATTCTACAACTTGTGTCACTATACTTTTTATTTCTTTCTTTTCTTGTTTTTATCCTTTTTCCCCAGATGTTTCCCCAATCATCATCGTCGGTTTTAAGGCCGTTGTCCAGTCTGTTCTGGGTTGGCCTGCTTTCTCCCTATGGCTCCTCTCCACTTGGCCCTGTCCGTTGCGTCCCTCGCATTGACTCCAAGCAGACGCATGTCATCTGACACGGAGCTCTGCCACGTCTTGTGCAGTCCGCCAACAATTTAGCAGAAAAGTTTAATAACTGTCCTTCTGTTCACATTTCCCCTAAATATGGAAAAGTTTGGTCCTTGAAGATCGGCAGAAAAATTATCTGAAAAATCTTAAAGACCAAACCTATTTCAGTCCAACCCTCCCCCCCCAAAAAAAAAAGTTCCATTGGAACCATGCCTGGATATGGGCTTTACCTGGGTCCATATACTCTGACCTGCTTACAAGTCTCATCTTGTGTTTTACCTTGAAGAGGGAATTGAAGACACATTTATAGACAGGTTGCAAGCTAGCACCGCTGGTTTCTGCCGATGATATGATCATGTTCAACCACTTCTTACGGGCCTGGCCCCGGATCCGCTCTTCATAGGATCTCTGATAATATAACAACATCAGAATTTCAAAGTGAGTTTTGGAGCTAGAATGACATCATTGGTTGACTTGTTGGGATTTTGTTCTCTTCTATGAAGGAGATTTGGTTTATTGAGAGGACTAAATGTGAGATGTTTTTCTCCCAATTTTTGTACATGTAAAATTACACACTATGTTATACAAATAAAACATGGTTTGAGGTTTGATAGTCAATATTAGCTCCCCTAGGTATTCTGTCAACTTCCAATACCGAGGGGAGGTAATATCGACTATCCACCCGAACTAAACCATGTTGGATTTGTTTAACTAAACCTCGTACATATATCCACACAAATTTCATGAAGTAACGCATAAGTTTTCTCAGCAAACTGTTGTTGTGGCCCATCTTTTCATGTAACTGCTGCATGCTGCTAGCTAGGGCGATGTTCGTGCGTGCGCACTACCCGCGTGGGCATTACCCCAGTGTGCTAGTTCCACGATTGCTTCGTAAAGCGCATGCGTAGTAGACTAGCGCACTGGTAACCGTGCAGTGTGATAGTCTACTACGCATTCATATTTAACCTGTGCGTGAAACCTCACGTGCGCGCTTGGTAAACAGCAAAACTAGCGACTGACACGTGATGGTGAATGGACCAGTAAGAACTCGGCTCTCGATCATGAATATGTATGAGGTATAGTAATCTAAAATGCTCTATAACGTGCACAGCCGAATGCATTTATTCAGATTTCAGATAGTTCTCTCTGAAACAATTTGACACTTTTGATGAGTGAGTTAAAATCTACACTCACAATGTGAAAACTACGAAGATGAATAGCTTTTCACATTACTTAAGACTTGATGAATTGTAATTGTCTTGTGATTGACTTATGGTGACTTGTAAACATTTCTTTACAACTCTGCTTTTTCTCTGCCACAATTTCTTTACAGAGCAGTTTATGGCAAGTGGCATAGAAGGTAATGCTTCTGTTGGCATGAGCCAAGAACGTGAATAACATTGGATTACAGAGCCAGATTGTCGTACCTCGATGCTGGTCATAAGGAACTCAATCAAGGGATCAAAGTTGTCCTCTCCTCCGGGCAGCATGGAGCAGACTGCCTCAATGTAGGCCTTGAATTCCCGCTTGCTTAGCCGATTGTCATATTCCTCCTTCATCATGATCGTCTTGGCTAGAAAATCAAAGGTAACCGGTTAGCCATGTGAAAACTACGATCCAAATGATCAATAGCTTTTCATGTTAGCCGGCTTTTCATATTGGCTGGAAAATCAAAGGTAACAAGTTAGCCATGAGCTGTGACAGAGGGCCACATCTATGGCTTGCAATCACACACGGGCGTATGGAAGCAGCTGAATACACTTCCCACAGACATGTGGGGTATATTCAAAACCCTGTTCTCGAGTGACCCACGAACAGTGTTCTCAGGTTGCCGATTACGAACGCCCAAAGTGCTTGTGGAATGCAGCTGGGCGAAAATTCAAGATGGCAGCCACCGTATTAAAATGCCCAATGACAAGAAGGGAAACCAAATTGTTTTAAGAAAATAATTTCAATCCCAGAACAGCTATAAAAATTGGCAAAGACAAGCCCACTCTATGCTCATGTACAATTCTATGTTTAATCATTACTGCTCCTGCACTGAATGAGTGCTTTCAATTTTATGTGCAAACAAATAACGCAAGTTGCGGTCGAGGCCTAAGTCTGCCATCATTGTTCTTGATGTTCTTCATCTGTTTGCGAACACCATTCGTATTGCCTCTCGTCAATCGAAACCCGTTTTCGTGTTCGTTCAACACGAGAACGGGGTTTGGAATTTGCTCCCGGGCTTACAGCCAGGTGTAGCCAAGGAGCTTGGATGCCGTTTAACTCTCAAATTATTAAAGTCTCTAAATATTCGATATCCCAAGAGGTTTGTTTAATGGTATTACACTGCCAGATTTTCTCAGCTACCATCTCCTTAGGATCAGCATCAAGTGGTTGAGTGATAGATTTCTGGTTCCAATTTCATAGAACTGCTGGCTGGTAACAGCAAAATGAAGCTGAGAACCCTGGTCACAAGCTATTAGAAATGTTATACTTTGTATAACATTTTGACTGCTGGGCTACATTTGAGTTACAGTGGCTGTATTCGAAGGCAAGAAACTTAAAAAATCAATCTGCCTTTATTTACCTAGAAGCGAGTATCATCAGAAATCAAGTTCTTAATAACAGAATTGTCTCTTACAAGGCTACAACAGGAGAGGGAAGGGAGGGGACAATTTTCTGAAATTTCTCTTTTTTTCCCGAGGGTGGGGTTACTCAATTTAAATTTTGCAAAAAACCCAAAAATTGGGTCCTTCAAAATCGGTCACATTTATTTGAGCCCCCTTTTTTGTTTAAATAAAACCACACCCCTAAGATCCTCCTCACCTTTCTGCATGATCTTAGCCTCCATGTTCTCCTTGAATTTACTCATGACGGAGTGCAGCTCCTCAAGATCCAGATACCCTGAGCCGTCATTGTCCCACTTCTCAAAGAGCTGCTCCAACATCAGCTTGCGCTTGGCTGATTGAGCTTCACGGCGAGACTGAGAAAAATTAAAACAAAAGAATACAAATTTCATACTGATTGATCAGCGCTTAACGATACAACTCGTATTGGCTGGAATAAATACAACTTCAAGCCTGTACATCAGGGGTGGATTGCAATAACCGGTCTTAAAGCTGTCTATGCGCACGCATTAGACAGTCTAAAAGCTCTGGTTGTCAGTCAGTCTATAAGTAAGACCATTGCTATAACACAGTTTAAGCAGTAAGACAGTCTTAAAATAGTTACCCTGGGTTGGGCTGGCTTAAAACGGTCTATAGTTGGGATTTTGGGAACTCACTGGTGTGTTGAATTATTCTTTCCCAAAATATTTTTTCCCAGTTGATGAGTGTTTGATGATTAAATCTTAAAAAAGCAGAGCACTGCTTGGAGGGAAGGGATCTTCTGGAAAAATGTAATGAGACTGAGTTGTACTGCAAATACAATTTTCTCAACATAAAATTTCGGAATTGACATTTGATTTCGCATGATATGAATCACGCAAACCTAAAAAAAAAAATTGTGCAGTCTCTCCAGTATTCGCCCGTAACCATGGAATGTTTGTTTGTGAATCATTACTCTAAGCGGGCTTAGTAAAGACCAGCTTATTGCAATGGGCTAAGTTTGGTGTCTTAACGAAGACCGTCTAAGAACAATAGCCGGCTAAAATTGGACTCAGGTTTAGCCAGCCGACTAAGACCGCGTTATTGCAATCCGCCCCAGTTCTTTTTCACTTTGCAATTTTTAAATTTAGCCATACTTACAAAATTAAGATCAAACACTTGACCAAAAACAAAGTACACTAAATTGCCCACTTCTACCTAGCATGTTAAAATTTTATTTTCAAAGCTGGACATTGTCTGAAGCAATGTGAAGTAAAAAATTAGTAAAGTCCATCACGAGCCATTGTGGCCCCATCAGGCCGGCGTTTGTCTCCGGTTTCAGTAGCATGAAACAACTGGCAATATTTCTATTCCCCTGGATGGGATGCTGGTCCATCGCAGGTTACTCCCCAGCTAATGCCGGTACCCATTTATACTCCTGGGTGGACAGAGGCAAGAGGCAAGTGTAGGTGAAGAGGCTTGCCCAAGGACACAACATATGACCAGCAGCTGGATTCAAACCCCTGACCCTCTGATCATGAGTCACGAACCTTAACCACTAGGCCACACTCCCCCTCCCCAAAGAAAATAGCTCTTTAGCTTATCAGCCTGTATGCATACTACAGCACACACAATATATTACAACAGTCGTTATGCTGGTTTCCCGTAATTGCCCAAGTATTTGGCAGCTATTTCATGATCAAAAACAAAGTACACTAAATTGCCCACTTCTGCCTAGAAGGTTAGACCTTTATTCTCAGAGAAGGATATTGTCCGAAGCAATGTGAGCCATTTGAACAAAACTATGAAATTTTGTTAATAACTGGCCAATGTTTTGCTACTTTTTTTTCCGGCTCCTGGGAACTGCCACAGGCCTTTGTGTTAATTTCGAAAAAATTAAAAATTGACCCTAAACTTCATGGGTTCTAACCTTCTGCAAGCGTAGATATTTCTCCTCTTCCGTCTCGATGTATCCCTCCCCTAGGTACTTGAGCAGCTGCTGGACCACTTCCTCCGGAGGGCTCTCCCCAAGGAAGGCTTCCACAATCTGAACAAACTGAGAGCTGTTCAGGAGGTTCTCGTCGAAGATGCTGGTGGCTACTGAGCCGCAGCGGTGAGAGGTGGGGGTCTTGGTGGGCGACTTGATGGAGCTGTGGTCTGGAGTTTCACAGAGAGGAGGCAAAAATCGCAGGGGTTAAGAGTGATAGAAAGAACATCTTGTGGTGGATAGATCTTGGGATATGAAGAGAAGGGGAATCTGAAGGGTTCCTGTCACGTTTTATAGAGTACCGAAGTGTGACGTCATTTAGAACCAGAAAGTGTAGTGCAAACGAATGGAGCACGCGCGTGTTGGTTCACGGGCTGAATCAGGCGCTAATGTCTTTTGCACACATTTTGTGCGCGTGATGAATTCACTTCAATACTCTATAGACATGTTATGGACCCCCCCCCAAAATGTTTCCCAACTGTTGTTTATGCCATGGTAAACAATTAACCTATCGCGGTAGAATCGTGTCAATAGTGAAATATTGTCCAATTACATGATATACAAATGGACGTGGAACGCGCAAAATCTGAGACCAACAAAACTTAAAACAAAATTCCCATAGGGTTTTTTAGGGGGCATGGCTAACTCGCAAATGGCGATATAGGTCAATTGCCATTGTAACAACACTTTTATACCAGTTAGAATTTGAAATTGAAGACACAGTTTTGCCTTTGACTTGAAATTCTTATCATAAATACCTGTATGTCATATAAAAGAGTATTTTCGGTGTGCAATGGTCCTTCTTAATTGTGCTCTAGATTGCGATAACCTTCAATGGCAACTATAAATAAACACTGCAATTGCCAAGCACAGCCATAGCTCGTGTGCAAAAGATACAAGGGAAATTGTCTGGGAAATCTATTGTGCATGATTGAGCACTGTAATGGTGATGCCAGTCATTAAGTTCCATTGTCTTCGGCAGAGACCGGTACTGCCGATTGCCATAGCAATGGTAAAAAGGAAACAAAAGTGGGCGATCCCAAAGTTATTTGGAAAGCGTTGTTATTTTCCAGCACTTCTTTATCGAGCAGATGTACCTGGGAATGATGTTAACAGCTCAAGGGCAGGCGAAACAATCTTTTAACCAATCACAACCGTCCACATCCCACGCGTGTTTTTACTGTGAAGTCACTTTAGGCTAAATTTGAGGACAAGTTGTTAGTCATGTTTTGTCCGACGAGGCCCCCGATATTTACCAGCACGGCGCTCGCAAGTGCTATACTTGTGCATCGTGTTTACATCCGCCATCGATCTGCCATGCCTATACGACTTGACTAATATAAAATTTGGACGGTCATTCATTTATGCGCCCAGCGAAATGCAAATGCATTACGTTTCCATAGAGAGGGCCAATGATAACCTGGCTGTATCGCTGGGAAGCATCCATTATAAGAGTGGGGGTGCAGTTCGTAGCATGCTTGATCAATGCACACTTCTTATTTTTCTCTCTCTCTTTTTTCAAACGATTTTCGTTAAAATACCCGTATTACACTCAGTGGTAGAATAGAAAATATCCGCTCCGTTCACAAGTACCCCAGCTGGCGGTGACCGACAGACGCCATCTTGCCTGACGCCATCTTGCCTGACTGCAATTCATTTGCTGCAAAGCGCGGCCACTGCGTGTACATAGAACAAATCCCCTGGTGTACGTGCGTCACACACAAGGAACAGTGCGCGTCAACCAGCGAAATGTCCCGCCCATAAGACGTCGTTGCTAGATAAAAGGGCACCCTCTTTCGTCGGCGCACGGAGCCCATAATGTCCAAATCTTGTTTTTCGAATATATGAATACAATGATGCATTGATTCCAAACGACCCAGGAATGAGCTTCTGACCCCGCGAGCAATCGATTCGCTCCAGGCCGTGTTGCATTGTGAGGCATTCTCCACGCAAGTGCACGTACGTCAGTGAAATATGACTACCTTGGGAATGTCGCGCATGATCTTTTCAGCATGAAACTACGATAAACTGATTCTTAAAGCCCGGTTCATACTTCACGCGAAAGCATGTGCGAAGCGAAATTCATGTCGTCAATAATGGTGGACGCGCTTCGAATGTATTGTTTACGTCACGAATTTCGCTTCACTTTCGCTTTCGCGTGAAGTATGAACCGGGCTTGACACAGGCGGAGAAGGAAAAGATTGAATCTTTCCCATGAAAACTGGTTACATTGTGACTTGTGAGGGTGGGTTAGGAACGTCACATGCAGGTATAATTATGGTTAATGAAGCAACTCTGAAAAACAGCCGAAAAACAACACGCATTTGTTGATAGGTATAAATTTGAATACGTTTTGCCTTGGACTTCAAATTCTTCGTCATATGAACGAGTTTGATCATTTCAGGTGAAAAATGGTCTTTTGGGTTCTCATGATTGCAATAACCTGCAAGGACGACTGGATACACACTATCATTGCCAAGTACGGCAGTAGCTCCTGGGCAAAAGATACGAGGGAAATTGACTGTGAAACCTGATAATTAATGTGTGACCACTGTGAAGGTGATGCTAGTCATTATTAGTCCTTTGGTGGACAGCGGTACTGCCAGTTGCCATAGCAATGGTAAAAAGGAAACAAATAACAAGTTATGGATAAACGCTGTAATTACCAAACATGGCTATAACTCCTGTGCAAAAGATACGAGGGAAGTTGACTGTGAAACCTGATTATGCTTGACAACTGTAGTCTTGATGCTAGTCATTAAGTTCAAATGTCTTAGGTGGCGAGCGACATTGCCGATTGCCATAGCAATGGTAAAAAGGAAACAAATGGGCCATTAAAAAGTAACTTATGTTGCAGCAAATCGTTATCATACAGGTGCACCTTGGGAAAATGTCTCAAGGGCAGGCAATAATTATGTTTTAACCAATCACAAACGTCCACATCCCGTGTGTACTAGATGGGGAGCCAATCACATCTCAACATTCCATCACACCAAATGCTGGTGATGTTAGCTCCCCAAGCAACTGAGCAGTGCCTGTCGTAATTTCAACAAAGCAGCAGCTTTGCATCAAAGTTTGCTTTTTCCCGTCAATACCTTACGCACAGTTCCTTTCTTTGTCAAATCAACTACTGCTCTTGAAATCATTAACAGTGTTGACTCTAAATCACAGAAATCATTTGACATGGCAAAAATAGTCAGTGTTTTCAAGGCTACTCTCTTAATTTTCACTTTATTTGGCAGAACTTTCAAAGCTGTCGTTGGTTTTGAAAATAAGTGCGATTCTGGGCATCAATTGATCTTATATGCTGCAGAAAATCGAGCCCTGAGGCAGTTTGCATACGTGACAAAAACAACACGCTCACGTGTCACCTGTGGGAGAGAATGCAGCATGGATAAATATTGCAAGTCTATCAACTTCTATGGGAAGAGTGGTCTGTGTGAACTGAACAATGCAACAAGACAAGACCATGCAGAAGACTTCTTGGCAGAGCAAGGGAGCGTTTACTTTGATGCTGCTAAGAACACAACCATCTTCTCCCTTGTTGACACCCCCTTGGCCCATGCTAAAAGTTGCAAGAAGCTGTTGGAGGCAGGTTACAACACGAGCGGCGTCTACACAATCTACCCCGAAGGTTACACCAACGGCCTGCAGGTCTACTGTGACATGGAAACTGATGGCGGGGGATGGATCGTGTTTCAGAGACGAGAAGATGGCAGTGTGGACTTCTACCGAAGCTGGGCCGAGTACCAGTTTGGCTTTGGTAATCTATCCGGTGAGTTCTGGCTTGGTAATGACAATCTGATGAGTCTGACCTCTCAAGGACTACAGGAGCTAAGGGTAGATCTGGAGGACTGGGAAAACAACACAGCTTGGGCCAAGTACGGACAGTTTAAACTTTATAGGGAAACATACCATCTAGTGGTAGAACAGTATAATTCAAGCAGCACTGCTCCTGAGTATCTTAGCTATGGTCATGGATGGGAATTCACGACAAAGGACAGAGACAATGACTTTGACGATGGTGTGAATTGTGCAGATTACCACGAAGGAGCATGGTGGTTCGATGATTGTAGACAAATAGAAAGCTGCCACTTGAATGGCAAATATTACCACGTGCAGCCTGGTGTTCAGCACAAGGGCATTCGATGGATCAACTGGCATTACGACGTTTCTCTCAAGAGTTGCAGCATGAAACTACGATAAACTGACTTGTGACACGGGCGGAGACGGGAAAGATGAATCTTCCCAATGAAAACTGGTGAAGGGACTGCTTGGAAAAAGTGAGTAAAGCAATTGTGAGGGTGGGGTAAAATCGTTACACGTAGGTATAATAATCTTACGAAACCACGTTAATGAAGCAACTCTGAAAAGCAGTGGAGAGACAACATGGATTTGTCGATAGGTATCTAAAAAACAGGCGTGCCATTCTCCATATAAGGAGATTTTTTAGTACTACTCTCGCGAGGCAACAAAATGACATTGTTGAACAAAATCTTCATCAATTTATAAGTTTTTACTCTTTTTGACTTTATAACCCAAAGGTATATGAATGGGAATAAATGTGCTTGGCTGGTATTAAACAAGTACGTTTAAAACCGGCTTGGGGCCTGGTCGCCGATGCCCCAAGCTGGCTTTAAACGTACTTCTTCATAACTGGCCAAGCACATATTCATTCCCTTATTAATTTAGCTGTGTCATAGTTATATTGTATTCATAAATACCTAAGACAGTTTACGCATTCCTATTGGTTGAGAGCCCGTCACGTGGCCGGTCTTAAACGGATGATAAAGACATGGCTAGCTGGTCTTAAACACTTTTCCAGTGTCACAATAAAATGTGGACTCCTAAAAATCCAGTGCCTCTTATCGTTTCATTGGTTGAACGTTCACAATCCTCACGTAGGCATGCGCAACACTACCAGGGAGTCAGAATTTGATAGTTCTAAATTCAAAACGCAACGCGCCAGGTGCATGATACGCGCGCGTCAATCTCCATAAAAGGGTTGTTCACATCTTACTCGCCAGCTGAACACTCCATTATTTTGCAAGAGGGATGTTTCAAAAAGCATAAAGTGAATTTGTTGAACAAAATCGGGATGTTTTGAACGAATTATATGATTATTTTTTACCGAAAAGGTATTTATGAATGGGAATAAATATGTGCTCCGTCGGTATTTATCACTCTGTTTAAGACCACTTAGAGTCTGGGTGCTGATAATTACCCTCGCCTCCGGCTCGGGTAATTATCAGCACCCAGACTCTAAGTGGTCTTAAACAGAGTGATAAAAACCTCCGGAGCACACATTTATTCCCTTATTAATACATGTAGATGTGTCACACTTATTTTGTATTAATTGAGCTGTGGGAGTTATAGTGTATTAATTCAGCTATGGCAGATTTATATTGAATTAATTAATACCCAAGACAATTTACCCATTTCCATCGGTCAAGAGCCCGTCACGTGGCGGGTCTTAAATGGCTGATAAAGACATGGCTGGCTGGTATTAAACACTTTTCCAGTGTCACATGAAATTTGAACTCGTATGAAATCCAGTGCCTATAATCTACCGTTTTATTGGTTGAACATTCACAATTAATCCTCACGTAGGCATGCGCATTCATAGTCCTAAATTCACAACGCACTCGCCACAGCTGCATCTGCGCGTCATCGCACAGTACGCGAGCGCCAATCTCCATAAAAGGAGTTGTTTATGTCTTACTCGCGAGCTGAACACTCCATTATATAGCTAGAGGGGTGTTTCGAAAAACAAGAAGTAAAAACGTTGAACAAAATGGAATATACATTTTTATTTTTTGACTTGTTTTGACTTTTGGACCAAAAATTTTGTTTTTAACGAAAAGCTTTTCATGAATGGGAATAAATGTTTGCTTGGTCGGTATTAAACACTATGTTTACGACTGGTTGGAGTCATGTATGCTGATAATTGCCCTCGCCTTTGGCTCGGGTAATTATCAGCATCCCGATTCCAACTAGTCCTAAACATAGTGTTTAATACCGACCAAGCACACATTTATTTCCTTATTAGTTGAGCTGGAGATATTGTATTAATTTAGCCGTGTCAGAGTAATTGTATTTATTGAGCTGTGGCAGAGTTATATTGTATTAATTAAGCCGTTTCAAAGTTATATTGTATTAGGCCAAAAAAAATAAGTCTCCGGTTTCTGGTATGGAGCTTGTCCAAAAAGTGGTGCGGCGACGCGGCTTTTTTTTTTTTACCTGACTTTTTTGCTTCAAATGTCAGCTGATGACTGCAAATGGTGCCCGACTAAACTTAGTGCAAATATATGGGAGTCCAGAGAGGCCACATAAAGCTTATTCTCGATCATAACCCCATCTAAAAACACGTTAACATTGTGCAGTAGCAGGATTCCAGTCAAACCAGTGAGTTTGGCGGTTTTGAGACATCATCTTTCACTGAAAAAAAAAATTTTTCATTTTGCCGACGCGCATGGCTACGGCGACGTGCGCGCATACCAGAAACCGGAGACTTTTTTTTTGGCCTTAATGGAACTGTGGCAGAATTGTATTGTACAATGGCAGAGTTCAATTGTATTAATTGAGCCGTGTCAGAGTTATATTGTATTAATTGGTGTGGCAGAGTTATATTGTATTAATTGGTGTGGCAGAGTTATATTGTATTAATTGGTGTGGCAGAGTTATATTGTATTAATTGGTGTGGCAGAGTTATATTGTATTAATTGGTGTGGCAGAGTTATATTGTATTAATTGGTGTGGCAGAGTTATATTGTATTAATTGGTGTGGCAGAGTTATATTGTATTAATTGGTGTGGCAGAGTTATATTGTATTAATTGGTGTGGCAGAGTTATATTGTATTAATTGATATGTCAGAATTATATTGTATTAATTGGTGTGGCAGAGTTATATTGTATTAATTGATGTGTCAGAATTATATTGTATTAATTGGTGTGGCAGAGTTATATTGTAATAGTTCAGCTGTGTCAAAGTTAAAATGTATTAATTGAGCTGTGCAAGAGCTATTGTATTCACATGATACAGTTTTACCTATTCCTATTGGTTGAGAGCCTGTCACGTGGGTGGTTTTAAATGGTTGGTATACCACCCACTGGTATTAAACACTTTTTTCCCCCGGCACCGCTGCGTTCTGTGCCAAATTGCTCAGCACGTGCCAGACACGTGCCAATCTCCATATGATGAGATTTCTAGTACATGTACTACAGTGGAACGCCGCTATAACTAGCACCGCGGGCCGGATCCACACAAATTGTTCGTAATAGCGATCGTTCGGTAAAGCGATTTTAAGGTGGCGGAGATCCGGTACTCACTTTTAAATCAACTAGTGCAGTGCCCGTTTAAAATGTGCATGTTTGGGAAACGCAAATTGCTTTGCCGCTGGTATAGGTTGCATACTTGCAGAGTTTTTGAGAACTGCTTGTGCAAACAACGCACGCGATTCAATGGTGTTGTTTTCACAGGTTGAACGCACACTTACGTCGAAGTTTGTGCCAAGTTTGAAGTTCGACCACCTACAATGGTCGCTCAGTCGACTGCAAAAATAATGTGCCCGTGTACATACCAAAACATGGTATGCAGTGCTATTCACCCATTGATCCATTAGTATTCACCCATACTGGACAATGTATCGCCCTACAATGCACGTGCGCGTGCCCGTCCTTTTTGCATTGTTTGCGTCATATTGAGCACGCGCTCTTTAGCTTAAACATGACGTAAACAATTGAAAAGAACGGCAGTGCGTGGTGTTATGTTCTAAGCTGCCACGTTTGCCTCCGAAAATACTGCTTTTTTGCAGCTTTTTCGAGAACCGCTTGTCCAAACCACTTCAAACTTGGCACTGCACATTCTGTGGCCCCGAGCAATACACCCGCCGATTTTCAACTTCATACGGTGCCCGGTTCTGGAGATAATCAACGGACAGACAGACAGAGATTCCTGGAATTATAGTAAGATAGCGCTCTCAGAACTTCACCCTGCATGCCCTGATACATGTACATGTAGTTACTGAAAGACGACTTTGAACTCGTGCCGACAATTGAATTATGTAATTACACAATTTTTGAGCTTACTACCTACGGCGATAGGTGGCTTTCCCCTTCTATTCCTTGGGGAAATGATAGCCACTTGTCACTTTCTGTTTATATTTTTCAACAACAATTGTTCAGTACGTTTTGTGCACAAAAATCAGGAGCCAAAGACGATGTTCGGTATAGCCGAATGTTCGGTATAGCGACGTTCCACTGTACTCACGCGAGGCACACACGATAAATATGGCTAAAGGTGTGTTTAATAAAATATGAAGTAACCTTGTTCAACAAAACTGTTGGAAATTTTTAATTTTTGACTTGTTTTGAATTTTTGACCCAGAGGTATTTATGAATGGGAATAAACATGCGCCTGGCCTGTATTAAACAAGTACGTTTAAACCGGCTACGGGCCTGGTCACTGATAATTCGGCTCGGGCCGTTATCGGCAACAAGGCCCCAGTTTTAAACGTACACTTGTTTAAAACCACCAAAGCACATATTTATTCTCTCATTAATTGAGCTTGTCAGATACAAATGTTCAAACATGGTGACAAAAACGGGGCACAACATTTTACTTGGCCAGATGATCCGACATATTTAAAATTGTAATTGATTTATGGTTTGGTTCTTTATAGCAATAAATAGTTTTATTTTCCTGATTGTAAATCCTGCATATAGCTCCGATCTTTTGAGTTATGCCTTGATAGAGTGGCGCAAGGGTCCGCTCTGCGACAATGGTGTCACCTTGTGAAGATCACACTCCGTGGTGCCTCGGTCATGAGGTACTGTTGACGTGCAACACATGTTGTTCCATTACAACATTCGGGATTCTCAAGTGTGTTTTTTTCCCTATCCAACTATGGAGATCGTGTTATGAACTCCACACTCGGCATTTATTTTTATTCTCTTAGACGAGGTCGTTGCCCAGCCCCGAGGGGCCAGGACTTTATACATCTGACTTTTGAAGCAGTTGGGTTGGGTTGTTATAGCCCCACGTCCCCGGGCTGAGGCAATTGGCGCCGGTGACCACATCCGGTGCCAGGGGTCGCCTGATGGGATCAGGGTGCAGGTCCATGGGAGGCTGCCTCAGCCATGGTCCCCCTGCACCGCAACCAATCGTCGCCTTGATGCCTACCACCGGTCTTGCCTACGCTACACCACATCACCACCAACGAGGTCTATGCTAGAGGGAGTGCCCCCACAACCCTGTCCATCACCATTCTGAGGAGCAGATTGCAACTACTGGGAGACATTGCGTGATCTGGCGACGAAGTGGCCTGTGCTGACAGCAGCATCCTGCCCAGCCCCAGAGGGCTGGTGTCGCCCCCCCCCCAGGACGCCCTCGCATCATCTGGGCATCTCAAGTCGCAGTGACGGGCCCACTGGATGACCTCCTCACCTTAGCCCGAGATCAACAAGCCCACAGGCATCTGATCCCTACGGTCCCTTGAAGTGGCCATGTGGGTTCACAGTGCACGGCTATACTTCCCAGCCTACAATGCACACAACTGTGCACACGACAATGTACTATTTACCTTGCGCAGTGCTTGACCCGAAAGCATGCGCATTGCCCCACTGGCCTGGGTGCCTCGGTTCTGGATGTAAAAGGTCCTTGACGGCAAAATGATACATACACCGGACCAAGGCGAACTGGGCAGGCCCAAAAAATGTGTACTTTTAACATGGTCAGTGACAGAATGAGTTCATTATATTCAACACAGTTATCGATACGATCGTGGCCCAGAAGTCTGGATTTGGTCCTCACACAGCTCTCCCCAAAAAATGGACGCCAAACAGAAGCTATTAAAGATTGAGGAGGACTAGCTGCTTCATAATCTCTGACCCTCACTGAATAGGGAATTTAGAAGAATTTATCTTAACCAGTCCAACCAATTAATGCAAAGACATGCGGGGAAATATGCCAAGAGAAGTGGATTGTGTTCATCATCTATGTGTGACAATTCCGTTCCCCAGCCCACAACTTCCACATGAGGTCAGCGATAGCTGCAGAGACCGATACGACATGGCCCCAGTCTAATTCTCATTGGATGATTATTTTTATCTTTGCCTGTTGCTCCGCTGTTGCTGGCTTTTTTTGCGAGCCTGGGTCACCGTCAGGTTCGACAATTCATGCGATTGGATTCTTTGTGCACAGAGAATGGTAATAGCCTTGGTCAAGGCGTCATCGATAGTGTCCGTGATGGTATCTGGCCGCTAACATAAACACTAGCTGCGTGCTATGCACTGTACGCAGGCGTTCGTTCTTCCCAAGCAGATTTTCATTTTGTAACTGCGCGAGGTCGCTGTTTGTACTGAGCTTGCAACTAGTGTTAATGGTCAGACACCATCACAGACACTATCTACTAACGCCTTGACGAAGGCTAAGCGAATGGGTGATTCATTCTGGAACTGATTTCTTAGAGCCGGAACCGAGCATAGCAAGATTGGACTTTCAGTTCCGGTTCTCACGTTGGAGCTGGGTAGAACCGGGTACCCGCCGGAACCATGCAGCACTAGTCCAAAGATTCTCTATGTGGAAACTGATTGTTGGCATGATGGCCAATGTACCTGATTTTCCAGTTGTCTCTACGGTGTCTCTGTGGAATGTCACACCTTGCTTCTCGCTTCCAGGGCTTGTCTCTGCAACTGTCTCTGCAACTGCCTCTGCAAGGATAGAAACATTAAGGTTTCACTATTAATTTCATGGAGCAAGAACAAATCCTCATTTGCCTAGTTCAATTAAGAAGGCACAGAGCTCACGAACATAGGATTTTAAATTTTCAGCACGGTAAGTGTCTTAAAAAAACACTTGCCTTTTTCTCCAGCTGCTGGTTTAACAATCTCTGGAGTTTCTTCTACTTTCTGTTCCTCAGCCTTAGTAGCCTCAGTTGCAGCAGGTTCTGGAACAGCACCAGTAGGTTCTGCTCCAACAGATTCACTGACAGCTTCGGCTGCAGCAGGTGCAGGTTCATTTGGCTCTTGGGCAGTCGCTTGTTCAGCAGAAGCCCCCTCAACTGGCTTGGCAGAAGGCTCTACCATAGGTTCACCTTCCTGTGAGGCAGAATCAGTAGCAGGCTCCTCAACTGGCTTTGAGGAGGGCTCCTCAACTGGCTTTGAGGAGGGCTCCTCAACAGGCATTGCAGAAGGCTCCTCGACAGGCTTTGTAGAGGGCTCCTCATCAGGTTTTGCAGAGGGCTCATCATCAGGCTTTGCAGAGGGCTCATCAACAGGCTTTTCAGAAGGCTCATCAACAGGCTTTGCAGAAGTCTCATCAATAGGTTTTGCAGAAGGCTCATCAACAGGCTTTGCTGACGGCTCCTCGGCCAACTCTGTAGAAGGCTCTACAACTTGTCCAACTGCTTCCACAACCTGCTCAGCTGACTCTTCTGTTGTTTCAGCTGCTTGCTCTTTCTCTTGGTCTGCTGATGGTTCAGCTGTCTGGTCTATTGCCTTCACTTCTTCCACATCCGCTGGTTTCTCAGCTTGCCCTTCAGGCTTGGCCTCCTCTGCTGTGTCTTTTACAGACTCTGCTGTTTCTGCTGGCACTGTCGGTTCTTTCTCATCTGCTTTTGTTTCTTCAGGAAGTTGCTCCTATAGAAAAAAAACATGATGAATTATACAAATACTTTACTTGTAATTTTTTTTGGGGGGGGGGGGCCGAGTAAGACTGACTGTATTTAACATAAAAAAAGGAAGCAATTACCTCAATTTTTTGTTCTTCGGCAGCTTTGTCCTCTTCCAATACTTTCTCCAAGGCTTCAGTCACGTCCTCTGATGCACCTCCAATGTTCAATTTCTCCCCAGTAGCTGAAATGACATCCTCAGAGCTGACTTCAGTAGGTACCTCGTCTGATGGCTTTGGTTCGGGTTTCTTCTCAGCAGTAGCCGGTTTCCTGTCCAGGCCCTTTGCAATGCTGCCTGCTGCTGGGGTACCAGGCAGGCTGCGCACAAAGCTGTCTTCAGAGATACTATCTAACTCGTCGGTGACTTCATCCAGTTCTACCACAGGCCCTGAAATTACCCAGAAATGACAGTTATACTGATGCAGAAATACTAACACTTAATAGGCTTAGTGCTTTCCAAAAGTTGTTGAAAAAAATTCAAAAAGGCTAACTTAGCTGAGTGTTGTAGTTGAGTCCATCACAAGTCCTTTCACAAGTCCAGTCCCAAGAACAATGACAAAGGAATGCTTTTGTAACAGTTCACTTGAATAACTAGTGACTTGACTTTAGACTGAAGGACTTGTGATGGACTTGTGATGGACTTGGGATGGACTTGTGATGGACTTGTGATGGACTTGTGATGGACTTGTGATGGACTTGTGATGGACTTGTGATGGACTTGTAATGGACTGTGATGGAGTTGTGATGGACTTGTGATGGACTTGTGATGGACTTGTGATGGACTTGTGATGGACTTGTGATAGACTTGTGATGGACTTGCAGGGACTTTTGATGGACTAGACTACAACGCTGTAACTTAGTCAGGGCTCACATATACATGTACACCTTGTTGGTAAGGGAAGAGGTTGTACATGTAACTACCCAAGCAACAATAAAATCAGGTGACGCAACGTTTTTCCAAACAAATACAAAAGCACTAAATAAGTTCTTAAAAATGTGTCATGGAGTAATTTCCATCATGCTAATGGACAAAATGTCTCCAAACAAATGGTGTAAGTTAGCTCCCTTTACACAACAAGTTAAAGCAGTTAACTGGCAAGCAACTGGTGCTTAGCAGAAAAGCTGCACTTGTGTGTTGCAACTATTTCATGTGTTTAATTCTCAACATTCTCAACTTTCCGTGATAAGTTTAAGTACGGTAACCATCAATTTACCACAAAAAATTATACAATTAGCCAGAAAAAGGCGAGAAATGAAGCCATCTTCTTGCTACTCACATTTCCTTGGGTTGCGTAGATATCTCTTGACGGCCCACTGCGAATTGTCCCAGAAGTTGTCGAACAAGCCCAGCACGCGGTGCCGGTCAATCGACCCGACGCCGGCGCGGTCGCAGGCATCGAAGAGCCTGATCAGAATCTCACGTCTAGCCTCCAAGATGGCCGCCCGTCGATACGCAGCGGCACAGCGCTGCAGGTGACCCATGAGCTCATTGAAGAGAGTTGGCGACATATTGGTGATGTACTTCTTAAGATACTATTAAAAAAAAAAAGTTTATGAATGTTAAATACTCTTTTCAGCAAAAAAAGGATGCAGAGTTTAAGGGCAGAGTAGATCATTAGCAGCTATCCAAAAAGTAACTGACAAAATTATCACTGAAAAGCATACTTGGCTTAAAGATAGTTATGGCACTAAAATCAATGTTAAATTATTCATTTTGAAGAAAACACTATAAGGTCATTTGGAAATTTCTGTTGGTAATTCAATTTTAATTTGGCGAAGCCGTGATGAATGGGTGTGCGCGGGCGCCAGAATTGACATGACGCGTGCAGTTGCTATAATTTGTTGGTTCAGTGTGTGACATCGCGTAACTGCAATTGGTTGAATGAGAATGTATTCAGGACGCTGATTTTGGGTGAATTCAAAACACAATTCTGCAACTTTTGAATTGAAAACGAGATCCTAGAATATTGTTTTCTTGGAATATACAGCATTCACTGAGCGAGAACGTCATCAGGTTAGTTATGTTAAGCACCCTTCTTTAGATTTTTAGCACTTTTGTTGCTTCAAAGGGAAAAAATGCATAAATGACATAAATAAAATGCATAAAAGGATGTGATTTGAAATCAAAATACAAATCAAACTTATAGACTGGCAACAAATAGAGGAAAGGGGCATCCAAATTTTCACTAATGACACAGCAGCGTAAGTTTTTAAATTTGGTTGAGTTGATTGAAGTCCAATTTTTAAATACATACCTGAACAAAATCATCTGCGCCAACTTTCTCCGTGGAGGTTTTCTCCTTGATGAACAGCTCGCTGACTTGAGCAGCTGAAATTAGAAAGAGAAGGATCAGCAAAGAATAATTGAGTCAAAAAAATACATCGCGTCTTGACAATTCTCAAATGTAGACTTCCCTTTTATGTGGTGAAGGGACTTATTGAAGCGATGAGGTAGGGTTCTTGCCCTTGATCTTTGCCTCTTATGTCCCTTTGAACATTCCAATAAACTGGGTAGATTTTTAAATAAAAGCACGGTTCACCTTCATTTATACCCATCACCCTATCCATGGGAAACGTCAGCTAATGGATACAGGACACGCAAAGAATTCGGGCGATTCACAATGCAGTGCGCCACCAAGAGTTTGCCACGGAGAGCTCATTTTTCCCAGTGCATTGTGGGAGATGGTCGACAAATTCGCAGCGTGGGACATTTGAAACTGTTTTTCCGGCCAGAAAGTTTGCAAAAGTATGATTCGAATATAATGTTTGCCCTTTTCTTTTCTTTTTATCAATATGGAGTTTTTTGTAAGGCGGCAGAACGCTATGCCCCAATCTATAACAAATTAGCTCAAGTTTTCTACTGACACTCATTCAAATGGGCCATGTTTTGTCGACCGTAGACTTGAAAAATGAACTCTCCATGGCAACTCTTGGTGGCGCACTGCATTGTGAATCGCCCGAATTGTGGGCAGCTTACCGCCATGATCAATTCAAGTACATTCCATGCATACGTTGTGCACAGACTGGAGTGTTGACGTGGGTCAACATTTCAGTCTATCCAATAACAGCTCAAAGACTTCGATCTGTACCACTTGTTCAGATCCCAACAAGCCGACCCGTGGATTAATTGGGCCTTTTCTGTAAATTCAACATTTTGTTCTTAGAATAGGTCTCTTTCAAGTCACTGAACACTGCTCGCCTCCCTCTAGATTCCTTCAGGCTTCAAAGCGTCAAGGAACTTTTTAAGGAATCCTTGATTATTTAATTTCTTTAGAGAATTAAATATATAAGCTCAGAAAATAAAACTACCTTTCCTGACATCATCGGGGAGTCCCTCCACCACATCGGCGAAGGACCGGACTGCCGTCTGTAAGACCTGCAGCTCAATCATGCCGTCGTCATCAATCAGCCACTCTTGGTAGTTCTGTCTCAGCCGGGCTGATCTCTGCTGTCTCTCTTCGTTTCTCATTCTTGACTGTCGCTCCTGTTCCTCCCGACGGCGGCGCGCATCGGCTTTGATCTTGGCAAGTCTAGCGACACAAAATTTGAACATACATTTATATTAATTGAAACAAAGTTAAAAAAAATAATGGACCTCCAGTTCAAGAATATCACAAGTTTGGTGCGTTATACAGGGTCACTGGACCTCTAGTAGACCTCTGAACTACCCCTAACCTTGTTCACCCTTTTAACCATGTACCCTTGCTCTTACTCAAGACTGACAGTCCCATGAAACCTTGTCACTAAGTTTTACCCTTACATTTTCGCAACGGAAATCTTAATTTTTTCAAAAGTACTTGGCATACTTTTTCTATGCAGTCTTCACATTTGAGAGGGTGTTTTACTAGTCTTGAGTTGGGCCAGTAGGAATGACATAAAATGTATATGTAACTACCTCTGAGTGAGTTTCTGGAGAAAAAATTATTAGTTTATCCAGCAAGACAACCATATTATAGTTGGTGCCCCTTGGAACCATGACAGGCTTCACTTATTGAACACTGAAATATGCAACTCGTGCATAATTTAAAAATAAAATAGAAGTCAAGTGTTGGAATTCTTACTTATTGTCCTCAAATGAGAAGACATGCTTTTTCAGTTCCTCTGTGACTTCTCGGAGTCCTCTGATGTACGGTGAAGCCTCCGGGAAATTACTGTATCGTGGGTTGTTTCTCATCAGGTATTGTCCCAGGAAATTGATGGGGTTAAAGTTTGGATCGGCCTCATTGCTCTCGGCGAGCCCTCGCTTCTCAGCTTCCATGAGAAGTTTCTCTATGCCCAAGATCAATGTCGGGAGGAGTTTGTCGAGAAGATATGCCCGGGCATCGACCGTGATGTGGTTGTCATTCAGCCACTCCAGGGCTAGTGTGTCCACGGGAATGCGTCTTGCCAATCGCTTCTTCTCCTCTCTAACCACGTCTACTTGGAGCTTCTTTTCTGACTTCCTCTGGAGGTACTTCTCCCGGACCCTCTGCTCATGGAATCTCTTCCAGCGCCTGACGGCTGACTTGACCATCGGCGTCAGAAAGTCAGCCATCTCTGTCTTTTCACGCAGGGAGCGCACTGACAGGGGACGTTCACGGACAGGGCTGACGGTTCGGTCCGGTGACTGGCCTGGGGGATGGGGCACACGCCCACCTGAGCCTTGCCTTGAATGTGGACGGGGACTCTCAGAGACTTGGAAACCAACACGTGAGGATGGTCGGGAACCTCCTTGGGATGGGGGTCTTGGATCAGAGTACATTCTGCGTCCCATACCCGCTGAACCGGGCAACGGACTGACTGTCTCAGCATTTGCCATTATTGAAACACCTGAAAACAGGCAAAAAGATAAAGTTGTTCATGATTAGCAAATATGAATATCTCAATGTCATGAAAATAAGTGAAATCCCTTCGCTAAATAGACATGTGATTCAAAACATCTCAAGCCAAAGCATTGTAAGAAAATATGCACAATTATGACAGCTTTACTGACTTTTAATCAGGTTTTGATTATTATTGATAAACAAGATGAAGGGGCCTTCAAAATTACTGACTTTTCATACCATCATAGTAAGACAGTTCGGGCCTTACTTTATCATAAAAATTGAAATAAGCCTGTCAGTTATGTTAAGTTGAATGATACCTAACGCCGAGTGAATTAAAGTATAAGATTACCGTCCACAATTTTTTTAAAACACAAGAGGCTTTTTTCATTATTTTGTAGATGTTCAGAATTTTTTTGAATGCATATATATGCAGAAGGCACATTAGAAGGCTCTATCATCAATCATCCTATGACGAATAATGCATTAAAGCTGTCTTTATTTTAATGGAATGGTTTTGAAAAATGAGGCTGACCTTCTGATTATTTTTCAAATATAAGCCTAATAATTTTCAAATAATGATCATTTTCGGTAGCAGCTGCTGGGGCATGCGGGTGGTGGATGGTAATCCTAACATTAAATGATTGTCATTTAGGTCAAAAAAATTACTAGGCCTAGTTCTGCTTCCGGTTACCCTACCTAGGCCTACCCTATTTTGACAGCCCCTAAACAATCCCTATATCCTAATTTTTTTGGCAAAAATGAGGGGAAAAAACTGAAAATCATCAATTACTACCTTTTACCCTTGACTACATGCAGGCACCTCCATATGATCGTACACAAAAAAAATTCATTTAAATTAAAAAAAAAAAAAAACCGGTACCTAGGCCTTATACCTAGCGCAGGTTGGACTCTGTTGTGTACACGCAACGGAGTCCAGGGTATGAATCTCTCCTGCCCTGGCGAAAAAAATTATAACACATTTTTTGCATATTTTTACCTGATGGAGGAAGCTGAAATTTCGCTTAAATAATCCTTGTGTCCAGAATTGTGCATGCGCTGGGTTTAGAAAAGGCAATTTTTATATGTCTGCAGACGGCGTGTTTACCGAAAATAAACCGCAATTCCACGCTTTTGTTGAAAACATTTTCAGTACGAACTCTTGTGTGAAGATTACGAGCGCGTGCATGCACACCTAGCACGCTACCGGCAGCAAACGGCACGCGCGTGTACGTCTTCACGCGGAGATAACTAGTTCGTTCTGAAAATGTTTTCAACAAAAGCGTAGAACTTGCAGATTTTTTGGTAAACACGCCACCCACGGACATATTTGTCTTTTCTAAACCCAGCGCATGCACAATTCTGGACACAAGCCTACAAACAACATGAACAAGGAATATGTAAGCGAAATTTCAGCTTCCTCCGTCAGGTAAAATATTTAAAACATGTTATAATTTGTTTCGCTATGGTGGTAGAATTTATACCCTGGACGTCAGTCGCAATGCAATGAAGACGTTGTCCAACCTGGGCTATTAAAGGCCTACCTAGCCTACCAAGGCCTACCATCAGACCATGTTTTTAAATGCCATAAATAAACAGAACTATTTTTTTTTGCCTTAGCATGTTTAGGTTCATTTTAAAAAAGTGTTAGTTACTTAACTACACGTCAGTCGTCATCATTCAGAGATCATTTGTTTGGAATTGAACAAAGCAATTAAACTAAGTTAAATCTGGCTATAGGCTATAAAATAAACAAAATAACCAGCTCGCCCCAAAAACTAAAAGGAGGTTTCCAAAATAAAAGTGATTGATTGACTGATCAATTAAATTACGAAGTGGCTATCGTTACGGCACTCGTTGTTTAGCGCCCTCTACGATATTTTTTTGATACGCACGCAGGTATATAATTATTTGTTTCCCCACGTTTATCGAGCAGTGCGCCAGCTCAGCCGATAGGGGGTAGGATTTTGCACCGTGAGGTTGCGGGTTCGAATCTCAGTTTTGCACTCGAATTTTTTTCCTTTTCTAACCTGAGGCTTTGGAGGATTTTTTTTAAAAGGGAAATAAAGTCCGAATTTCATAAAGTTCAAATTCACTTTTTTCCTTCTAATTTTATATTTTCTTGTCATGTTTTTTTATAAAAGTTGCCAGGTTGCAGTCTACCGTAACGATAGAAAATGGGAAATGCGTTACGGCTGCCGTAACAATAGCCACTGCGATTAAATTAACTCCTTTTTATTTTTTACAAAACTTTCAAGTTTCAGCATAAACGGCTCAGCACTCCATTTCCAGGCACTGTACTCCAGGCTTTACCCACCTTCATTCGATTTTCTGACACTCCAAGAAAACAAAGTCAGAGGAAATCACATTTTCGTGAAGTAGGCCTACGTTTCAATCACTGTGATGATGAAAACGATTAAAAACGATCGTAACGAAACGTCGAAAACCTCAACTATCTGCTGCTGAATACAGTTTCCCTGTTGCCATGGTGCAAATTGAGCATGTCCGATGACCCGTGTCGTTTCTTTTATGCATATTCATTTTTACATATCAATTTATAACCTTTGACCTCAAAAACAAGCAGAAATATCCCTGGTTCCCAATGTGCGGTTGCCAGCAAGCGGACAAGCCAGCTGGGCACCACTGATACGTTCCACCCAGGAAGCTGGAGTCCCGTCAGAAGTGTCCCCAAGAAAGTCCAGATTTTGGCCGTTTTTGAATGAAATATGTAAAAGTGAGAGCTCATAATTAAAAGGACATTGTCTGTCGACGAGAATTTGAACAATGGCCCTTGTAACCGTGCAGCGTTCACCTTCTAACAGCAACTCAAGCTCGACCATTTCGGTAAGTCATGCAACCAACAGGACAACTATACACACAGTTACAAGTCAAGATCAGTATCACTGGGTTTAAAAAGTGAAAACAAAACAACTGTTAATGTTAGGCCCAGGCCGGCCAAGGCCATGACCTTTTGTTTTTTGGGGGTATAGTGCAAATGGTGAACTTATTTACCACCCCTTATGCATGTACATGTATACTGTATTGTCACCAGTTGGAGATGCGGGCAAGCAACTCATTTAAATTTTATTTTTTCATTTTCCCAAAACTGCAAAAGTATTAATTATTGATGCGGGAAAGCTTTCCATACATGGACGCCACATTTTTTTTAATATACATGTATCTTCAAGTGCCAAAAAGTTACTTTCTATGGTTCTTTCATCTATTTTCCCTCCTTGACTCTCACCCTCCACCTTCCTCCAATCCTCTTTATTTATCAGTTACTCTTAATAGACACCTCTATTTTTAAGAGTTCTGTTCAAAACTGACTTTTGCAGATGACCGTCCAGTACCAAAGTGATTTTGCAGTAGCTTGAGTAACTTCAGCTGACATGCTCATATTCATTCACAATTTGCGCTGGAGACATAACTAGGGAGTTGGAGTGTGGTAACAAGAGACCCTTCCAGAATGGCCTCCCAAAAATTGTCCTTTTTCACCTCTAATATCCCACCCCAGATTTCATTTACATATCTCATACATTCAGCAGTCATTCACGAGGCTAATGATCGACTTGAAACAGACCACCAAAAAAACCCAAAGAAATGTGAAAAATCTTGACGATTTTGGTGGCTTGTCCGTAAAAAAAGTCCAGTTCCAACGGCTGTCGTCCATTTTGTTTGGGTAATTATGTAAATGCATGCATCACTTGATGACATCAAAAAAATCTGCGCACGCGATGTATGGGTACCACACCGCTTTCAGGCGCCACAAGAGTGTTCAGTTTTCATCTGGTGCGTTGTCGCGGAAAGCAAGACAACGAGAATGCTTTCCACAACAACGCACCAGACGAAAATTGAACTCACTTGCGGCGCCTGAAAGCGGTGTGGTACCCACATACATCGCGAGCTTGGTAATGAATGTTTTCCTTCATGTAACTTGAAATTTATAAAAGTTGTGGCCCTTGTAATCCTATTAAACCATTGCGTTTGATTGGTTGACAGACTGAGACTTGCAAATGTGGCAATTTTGTTTAATTGGACCAACTGAAGGTTCCCCCAAATTTTGGAATAACATTCATTGTGTACATGTACATGAAAATGTATCATGCGTGTTACTTTCTTGTGAATAAGAAGAAATAAAATACAGTATTACTGCAAGGAATAATTGCTCGTTGCTTAATGCGAAAAAAAAGCTTTCTTTCTCTTCCAAAGCAAAAACAGAAAACAAGAACTGTAAACCTACATTAGTTAACCATAACCCCTTGGGTATTTTTACTAAAAGGTGTCCTGAATCCATCAAAATGCCCCAATTTGTTCAGTATGGAGGTATCCTGAATCCGCCCAAATCCTCCAAAACAGGGGTATGGATTTTGATGGATTCATTTCAGGGTGGTTAGGGATAATAACAAAAGTCACTCAACATTTATCTATAGATTTACTTGCAGGGTTTTACCATCTTTAATAGGGGCTTTAAAAACTCCTCCCTCTCTGGCCAGCCCAGCAGTCAAAATAAATCAAGTGACTGTTTTTAACAGTTGAGTGCTCTCTGCCTTCATTAAGCAGGATTGACTGGCTGTGATTGTTATGAAATCTGATACAGCTATGTTTTGACTGTAGCCGTGTAGGAGATGGATTAGAAGCCAGCTGTGCCTACTACTGCCTACTAAGGAATTTGACTAGTTAAGTTACCATGCCTATATGGAAATGTGATGTGACTGTTGGTGACTAGCCTGTGTGAAAGGCATGGCAGGGGAACAGTATTCAATTTTTGACTGTCTGTGACTGATCTAACAAAAGGAGGGCTAATCATGTTACAAAAAATATGCATGTAATATTATGCATAATGCTTGGCAATATTTGCTGCCTGCAAATATGCTTTGTCTTGTAGGGCCATAGGTACTGGTAGCCTTCATACATATGTACGTTTACATTTAATCTGACAGGCATGCAAATTTTCTTTGGCTTAGATTTTTTTGTAATTCCCATGTCTGTCAAAAGTGCCATTAATTTAAAATTGAAGAACACTTTAAACAGAGTCTGCTGAAGTCTTGGAATTTCTCTCTTATTACAGGGATATTTCCATGGTGTCACCGCGGATTCCTCCTTTATTGATTACCGCCATGTATACAATGTAGCGTCAAGTCTTACCTAGAAGGTGACATAGTTGTGCTTCAGGCTTGAAATTGCTTTTTAAGGGTTCTTTTTAATCCTTTTTATGCCCCGCGGCGAAGCCGAAGGGGCATACTGTTTCCGCCTTGTCCTTCCGTGGGTGGGTGGGTGGGTGGGTGGGTGGGTGGGTGGGTGGGTGGGTGGGTGTGTGGGTGTGTGTGTCCGGACAAATCTTGTCAGCGCGATAACTTGAGAAATACTTTACATATGAACTTCAAATTTGGTTTGTGGATTGTCCTTGGTAATCCTAAGAAGCCTTTTGCATTTGGGGCCGAAAGGTCTAGGGTCAAGTTCACAGTGGCTGAAACAATAGAAATTTTGTCAGCGCGATAACTTGAGAAATACTTTACATATGAACTTCAAATTTGGTTTGTGGATTGTCCTTGGCAATTCTAAGAAGCCTTTTGCATTTGGGGCCAAAAGGTCAAGGGTCAAGGTCACAGTGGCTGAAACAATAGAAATTTTGTCAGCGCGATAACTTGAGAAATACTTTACATATGAACTTCAAATTTGGTTTGTGGATTGTCCTTGGCAATTCTAAGAAGCCTTTTGCATTTGGGGCCAAAAGGTCAAGGGTCAAGGTCACAGTGGCTGAAACAATAGAAATTTTGTCAGCGCGATAACTTGAGAAATACTTTACATATGAACTTCAAATTTGGTTTGTGGATTGTCCTTGGCAATCCTAAGAAGCCTATCGCATTGGGGGTCGAAAGGTCAAGGGTCAAGGTCACAGTGGCTAAAACAATAGAAATCTTGTATTTAATCTGAGATCATAGGGATTAGGGATTAATTCATATAAAACCTACAGAAGACACTGATGCTGTCAATGAACGTTCCATTTGACCAAGGTACATGTAAGTTGATGTTAGAGTGGTGTTATGTCATGGAAACAGTCACGGTTGCGGGGCATTTGTGTTTGTAAACACACCTGACTTGTTTGTTTATTTATTTGTCAGTGTATCCAAAACATTTGTTTGAAAAATATATCTGGTGGAAACTGTTCTGAGAACACTACCAGTACATTTCTGCAAAAAAAAAAAAAAAAACACCCAAAAGTATATGGTAAGCCTTCTAGTTTGATGGCCAATGCTGTTTAAAGTCAAATTTCTGTGGGGGTGGCGGCGGCAAGGATTTATATGTTTTGCACTGAGAACAATGTACACTCACCTCTGTATGAACTGACAGGTACACCCACTTCCAATTTTATGTGTCCCTTGAGTGAAACCTCGTTCCATGGAGGTTACTGAGAACACAATGGTTCTCTCCAGTTGCAGACAGCCTTTTGTTATGTCAATTCTGTTTGTCAGTTTTGTAGGATTTAGGGGTACATGTACCAGTACCTGCGCAGGGATCCACTTGAATGCCTCCCATTATGTTATGCAGAGACCTGTATTGTAAATGTGCAGACAGTACATATGTACTGTACTTCTTTGGTACAGTTTACATTTATTGAAATTGTGAACCAGGCACTGAAATTACATTACAGACATCATGAAATGGATTTAATGTGTCCCATTAAAGGGGACAACCGTTGAGAGAAAAATATTGCAAGGAACAATTTGCCAAGTTACCAGGGTTTGTTTGAGTTGTTAGGTTTATATTTATTTGACAAGAACATACATTGTAATAACTGTTATTTGTTGGTTGGGATATGTACAAGTACATGTACAAACACGTGCTTCATCTATGAGAAACTTTAATTGAAAATGAACACTATTGGTAAATAAACCTTAAGCAAGATGTTTACTTGTTGGAAGTGATACATGGAAGGGTTTGGACTTTCATGTACTGACTATACAATGTTCTGCTCGTCTACGACATAATTTAGTTTATGTAAATTATATGGTGAAAACGTTCTTCTTTTTTGTGTACATGCTGCTCAATGATTTATTTCAAGATTCCTCTCGGCAACTAACAGATGTGAAGGCATAATTTTTTGGAGTACACTTCATTTCATGAGAGTATGCAAAGATGTCGTCTCTTATTCCACAGTCAATTTTACGGCACTCTATGGAAATTGCTATGTCACTTGCCAGACTGGCGCCAGAGTCAAATCTTTGGTCATTTCATCAGGTCAATATCCTGAGGATCCTCCGCCCGTCAAGCTCACTTACGCCTCGCCAGTATGATTCACACCAAGCATACATGTTGCCCCATTAACATTTTGAGACATTATTAAAATGTGTCTACATCATGTGAACCATACGTACCAGTATACACGTGTACGTGAAGGTAACGCCACGGTTTGATACACAGTCCGGTTTTGTGTTACACCTGTTGGACTTGGAAGTTACAGTATCTTGAATTAGGGAGTTGTGGCCTTGATGAGGCTTGA